TTGTCCCCTGTACGGACACCGCAGGCTCCGCGGGACCCTGTCACCTCGTCTGGTCCCCTTAGATGCGCTGCTTCCCCTCTCAGGCGGCGGCATCAGCACCTCCCGCAGGGCGACCTTCTGTAATTACTGTTCCCTCCGCTCGCGTCACGTTCTTTTCTTCCCAGTGTCCTCCTCTCGCCATCTGCTCAGCCCCGCCCCCTGTTGCCCCGAGAGACGAGGTGGCTCCGGCTCCGAGTGTTTGACAGATCTCTCTGTGCGTCCCCAGCCTGGGCACAGGGCCAGGACATACGAGGCGAGCCCTCTGCTCTTTGCCCCAAGAAGCCCCCCGCCCTGCCAGCAGAGGGTTGTCGAGGACGGGGAGGCACGATGGGGTGAGGAGGCGGGTGGCACAGGTCACAGGGGCGGGGAAAGATTGAAGGAGGGGAAGGTGACCGTGGCCACGGAAGGCACAGGGTCCCGGGGAGTCCGTTGTCCCCGTTCTCGGGCGGGTCAAGAGAACTCCACACAGAAAAGCAGGCTGTCTGCTCCCCCCCGCTGCTCAGCGGCGGGAGGTGGCGCGCCGCGTCCTCAGGCGTCCACGCCTGTGAGCTGCCCCCCGATGCCCAGCGCGCGCCCCGCCCCCACAAAATCCCTTCTGCAGCAGGGATTTAGCCAGAACCTGTGGGAGCGCCACTGTCCCGGGAAAGGAGGCCTTGGGAGGGCCCAGACCAGGACGCAGGCCCCCCTCCAGGGAGGGCCGCCCACCTGCGGAGAGGCTACAAAGGCCCCACTCGGCGAAGTTCAGAAGCCGCGCAAGCTCCTCCAGGCAAAGCCCCCAAGGCATCTGTGCCCACGGGAGCCGTGGACAGCCGGGCCCAGTTTCAATGGGAAGGAAGGCTTCGCAAGGCCAAGGCAAACACATGGGCTCTGTTTCTCTTTGTTCAAAAGGACAGAAAAAAAAGTGTGTGTATTCAGTGTGTATAGACGCGGTCCGTGTAGAGGCTGTTTCTGTTTGGTTTGGTGCAAAGTCCACTCAGGCCCGGGTCAGTGTTGAGAACACGGGGGCACGCGCCTCCGTGAGCAGCGTCCCGAGCTAGAGAGCAAGCGTCTCAGTTCAAAGCCAGACTTTTTCCCTCCTCCCTGACACAGCCCGCACGTGCCGTTTGCCGCCCAGCCGATCCGATCTTGCCGCCTTTGCGGACACTTATTTTATCGACTTATCGAATGAATCGGCGGACGCTCGTCCTGAAGTATCCATTGGCCGGCCCACCCTCTCCTGTTTGCTTTTAACGGTTCACCCCTGAGGCGCTGGACGCAAGGGCCCTGTTCCTGCGACCTCCGTCGGGCCGGAAGCGCGCGGGGCAGCCGCGGCCCCGCTCTCCCTGCGTCCCCGGGGCCGCCCCGCAGCCTGGCTTCATCCGGGCTCGCTGAGCTCTTCCTCCGGAACACGACACATCTCTTTTTGCTGTTAATTTTCATTTACGTTTACGTTTCTGTTTCCTTTTTGCCCTGGCACCGCCTATTCTTGCTCAGAGCGGAATCATCCGGAAGGAGGGTAACGAGAACAACTGTCCCGCTCAGCACCCCAGCCCCCGGATGGAGACGACCTTGTCTCTCTCACACCCTCTCCCCGATAGTGACGCCACATCACTAAAAAAAAAAAAAAGTGCGTTTCACTGATTCGTACTAATTAATTGACTCGTTTTTGTTGTGTTTTTTCAAGTTGATTTTCGAGAGACGGACAGAGGAAAACCTCACTCTTTTGTTCCACTCATTTATGCGTTCACTGGTCGACTCTTGAAGGTGCCTGGCCTGGGGCTCGAACCCACAACCTTGGACAACACTCTAACCAACTGAGCTACCCAGTCAGAGTCATTATCATCTCTTTTTCTGATAGAGAAGAAATGGGCCCACTTACCTCAACACCCCTCTACCTTCTCCTTCCATGTGCATTTTATTTCCTCTGTGGGTGACCTTTATAAACTTAAATGATACGCCGACAAGTTTCCCTCATGCTGCGTTATGACAGACAAGAAATCCTAACCCTCCAGTTTGGAAGAGGAAGACATCAGTCCTGCCTGTCCCCTTAGAAACGTCTGCCTCTTCATTTTATTTCCTATCGTTGAGATTGGCGGCACTCACATGCTTTCTGGTGACCACAGTTCAGTCTTACTTATCTCTAGGCTGACTCTAAACCATTAAAATCGGTACATAGCGTTGACTTTTGTTATAAGTCGTTATCTTTCATGGTAGCGGTCAGTACTATTCTGTGACCATCTCTTTTCTGTTCAGCCTCCGGTTTTTCCCGGGGTTTTAAGTTGCTCTTGTTTTTCACTTGCACTGTTCCGTTATATCATACGCTGTCGGGCGCTCCGCCGCAACGCCCTCTCCCGAGACCGGCCTCGCCAAGCGCCCGCCGCCGCCCCCCTCTGGTCTAGATGCCTCACTCGCCGTAACTTCGGCACGGATGCCGTCCTGGGACGTCCCTTCCTGCGCTCCCCGCGGGAGCCAGTGCGTCACCTTCTTCCTTGACTTACGCCCTCTCTTGCCCGGAGGACACCCTCGAGATGCTTTCCTGGGACGGGGCCGTGAGAAATAAACTTTCTGAATTCTTGAACATCTAAAACAACTGGCTGAAAACCTTGGCTGTATACAGAGTTGTCGGCTGAACACCTTTGTCCTTCACATGTGGGGACGTAGCCCCACCGCACGTGGAACTCCAGGCTGCCGATGACAAGCCCGAAGTTACTCTGGTACCCGATCCTCCTTGGATCGCGTTCTTTCTTGTTCCTGAGACCACCGGGTGTTTTGAAATAACTTATCTAAACGTGTTTTCCTTGATCACCTGTCTCATTCAGAGACTCTCCCGTGAAATCCCTGTCCAGCCACGGCTCCCGGTCACATGCCAGACTGTCCTTGACCCCCCCGCCCCCAGCGTTCCTTCTGGGGTCCCCCCTCCGCAGGCATTTAAGTCGCTGCCTTTTTCCACCAGCTTCAGCCCTCCTTGCTCTTCCCCCCACTCCCCGTCCTCCAGAAATGGGGTGGGATCCAGCCCCTCCCTGTTATCTCCATCAGTGTGAAAATACACCTGTTGTACCCCTTTACCGCCGGGGCAGTCGGGGTTCTGGAGAGAGAAGGCGCAGGCCAGCGTGAGAAACCTCCCACGCGAGTGGGAAGCCTCCGGTCTCTCCTTCCTGACCTTCTTCTTTACGGATCGACCTCTGCGCCAGGGAAGCCAATAATCACCTGCCACCCCACTAACCGTGGTGAGCGCTCTGATCGCTGTTCCTTTGAGGCATCTTTTCTAGAAATGCAGGCATGTTCTCTGTTTGCTTCTCGGCTTTTTAATAACTAAGCCGCGCTCCCCATGCCGCGGGCTGTGTAAACCTTCCTTTCCCCGCCGGTCTGGGATGACACTTGTATAAAATACGAAATTATGATGTCAGCCGTTCCGTCCCTCCGCACACTGTTCCGCTTTCGGGCTGTTCAGCCACTCGCAGCCCCGCTGAGTCTGACGCCGGTGTGGGGGGCTGGACCCCGCGGTGGCGGGGGCCCCCTTTTGAATCAGCTCCTCTCAGCGGGGTTCGAACCTCTTAAAAACCACCTGGGCCCTCCCTGTTCATTTCTCCTTTTATAGGAACTTTAGAATTGTTTTAGTGGCCCTCTCTCGGCAAAGAAACGCCTTGCTCTTTCTCTTAGAAGTAAATTGTTTCCTTTAACAAATCTTTCGTATCGATCACGCGTGCAGCGCTGTGCCGGCGCGAAGATAGAGACGTGAGTAGGGCGCGTACGGTTCTGCCCCCTTGGAGCCGAAATAGGATCAATTCTGTTCTTCCAAGCTCATTATTATTTTGAAAACTTGACCTCATTGAGCTTCCTATTTCTTTGTGTTCCTTTTTTCTTAAATGGTGTCTTTCTGTTTCATCATTCGTGTTTCTGTTATTAGTCGTCTTTGAAGAAGTTACTCCGCGTTTACCATTATATGAAATATGCGCCCAGTATTTATTTTATTTTATGTTGTTTTTATCACTTAACGGCGACTTTGAATATTTGCCTTCAAATGCATAGTCACACCGAGAGGCGCGGAGGACCGGATACGGAAGAGTTAATTTTAGAGACAGTCTTCCCACACGTTAAGCTCGTAACTCAGCGCCTCTCGTTTTGAACCGCCTTCTGCGGGCGGTATCTTCAGGAAGACGCGCTTCAAACAGGAAGACACGGGTTGTCGAGAAGACACTGAAATGTTAAATGCCATTAGACCTGGAGCAGCGGAGAGACATGAGAGCCTCCCAAATTGCTGTCCGTGGCCGAACCCTCTCCCTGAGCCGTTTTCCTTCGAACTCATGGATGCCGTCAGGACACGCTCCGGCGTGTGTGCCTCCGCCCGCGACGTGGAAAACGCTCGCACTCCGCTCACTGGGGCCAGCCCTCCCCATGGGGGCGCGTCTCCCTCGGTCACTGGTGACCGCGTCTCTTCTGCCGCGCCCGCGGGTTTCCCGTGAGAAGCACCTGCCTTTGTAGAGGCGGCCCCCTGCCCTGGCCCCGGGGAGGGCTCCCCACACGTACCCCCGTTTCTCTGAATCTGATGGCTCTCACGTTCAACTGTAGTTTCCTTGGGGTCCCCCCTTGTATGTTTTTGCTGTGATCGCCTCTGTCCACCTTGAGTGACCTTGTGTTTTCTGCCACAGAGAGGACAGAGGCCAGAACTCTGTGGTGTGCTTGGGTTTGGGTGACAGCAGGCATGTGGCCTCTAGGCTATTAAAGCAGGGGACGCCCTGAGCCAGGGTCTAGTGTCAGGTCAGCTAGAGGTCACGTGTGGGCGGTCCGTCTTTGCAGAAGAGGGCAAAGGAGAGCAGAGCTGAGCTCAGCCTGGGCAGGGCGCCCCAGTCGGAGCCTGTGTGACACCCCCCAGACGTGCTCCAGCCACGACCCTGGTGTCCAAGGCTGGGGGTTGCGCGTCTCTGGGACCCGTGGTCCCCGCGGTCCCCGCACAGCCGCTGATCCTGTGTGCGTGTTTACAGGGAATATTACATCACCATGGTGAAGTGGGCCACCAGCACCAAGGTCGCCGTGAACTGGCTGAGCCGCGCGCAGAACGTGTCCATCCTGACCCTCTGCGACGCCACCACGGGCGTCTGCACCAAGGTACGCGGAGGGCGGGGCCCCTGCTCATCGACCGCGAGACGAATCCACCTGCCGGTCCAGGTGGCAGCTGGCGTCCGGGTCTGCGCTCCGGCGCCACCTGGTGGCCGATGCGAGTACTGCGGTAAACCCAGGGCTCCGGCGCCACCTGGTGGCCGATGCAAATACTGCGGTAAACCCAGGGCTCGGCTCTTCAGTGCCTCCCTGCGGCACGCGCTCCCTTTGGGCCCCAAATTTTCATTTTGCGACCGAACAGGAAAAAAAAAAGAGGCTTGTTGTGATGTGGGGGGGCCCTGAGGCAGCCACTGTCACTGCGCTGCCTAAGTGAATCACAATCCGCGATTTACCTGGTGTGGGCACAGGATTGAGAGCAGATCCAGGCTATTCCGAGGGGCTCGCTGGAGGCGGGGAAGCTGGGAAGTGCTCGCAGCCTCTGGCCTGGGCCCCGACGTCACGCGTGTCACACTGGGGCAGGCCCGTGGCTCCCCGAGGTGTGCCCGCTGTGCTGAGCGGCTCTGCCGTGGGGCTTCGGGGTTTGGTTGTGTGCTCCTCTGTGGCGCCTTCTGCCACACAGTTTCGTGAGGTGTGCTTTCCATATATTGTTTGGCCTACAGACCTCCGTGACTCGGAGCTGTGAACGGGAACGCTGACGTAGGCCCGCGTAGGCCCGCGTGCACGCTCCCACGACGTCCGACAACAGAGTAGCAGCTGTTCGCCTTTAAACAGGCACATGCCCTGTCAGGGATGGCCCTCGGAGGGTCAAAGCGTCCCCCGTCCCGAAAGGGTTCCCACCTGCCACGGATGGTCCCCGTCGCTGGGGAGACGGACATTTTTCTTGCTCGGGGACCCGTGGGCTCGGCTGTGAGCCACACGGTGGGACAAAGCAGCGAGCGGGGACCGCCTCCCCCCGCGCGGCCCCAGGGCTGTCCCTGCCGACGCAGCCACCGTGCCAGGGAGCAACTTCGCTGTGCGTCGCAGGTGCCGCTTGCTCCAAGTCCCCTCTCTGATGCTCTCATTTCATTTCAGAAACATGAGGACGAGAGTGAGGCCTGGCTGCACAGACAGGTAACCACCCCGCGCGCGTGCCCCCACGCTTGGCTGCTCCGGCCCCTGCTTCCCCACCCCGTGCACCATGTGGTGGTTTTGGGGGCGTCCGCTCCCCGCGCGGCCCTCATAACAGCCCTGGACGCCCCGGGAGGATGGCCCGGAAGTCCCGGCGCCTGACGGCGCAGGTGCTTGGTGAGGGCTGGGGCCTCGGTGGGACGCGGCCCTTTGGGGGAGTTAGAAATGGTGCGTCCATCAAAGGTGCCTTGGTAGGACCTGCTACGAGAGAAGAAACCTACAGCGGGGGTAACAGCTCTGTCTTCTCCGCGTGGCTTCGTGGGGGCGTTGCGCTCGGCTCCGCACGAGCCTCCCGGGGGACCGGACCTCAAACCCATTTCCACCGCCAACTCAGCTAAGACACGGCCGCGAGGCAGGCTCTGGGGATCGGAGGTCCGAGGACCTCAGGCGGGGCCAATGGCAACTCACTCCCTGACCCCAGAAAAGACTAAACTTACACAAAAAAATAACTATGCACTGGTCTGGCCCCTCTGTCTTCTCGTTCCGCGCCTGGCCCGAGCAAAGGCAGGCGGGGCGCTGTGGGAATGTGCTGCCTCCTTGTACCTCGCGGGATGGAAACCGCCTGGAAGTCCTGTGGGGAAAATCAAACCAGATCCGAGTCTCAGGGTCACGCGAGAAAAGCAAAGGTGGCCTTCTCGGTCGACGTGGAGGGTCCCATTTATGGAAATACCTTCCGGACCCGGGCAATGGGACCGTCGCGTGGCCCCCCAAGAACAATCTCGCGGCGCTGCCCGGTTCTGCATCCTTTATCTGGGGGTTAGTGATCCAGCCCAGCCTTCCGGCCGTTCTCTCGGGGGTGGGGGGCCTCAGAAATGGACACTGGTACTTTCCAGTGTATCCAGTTCTGCTTCCCACCCATCTTACCCAAAAAAGGAATGGCCTCTGGGGCCTCTTTTGCTTTCCTGTGTCCAAGTCTGAGGCCAAGTGCCAGCTAAGGAAGAGGAACGAGGGAGCTCGGGAACCCTGAGGTATTACCTGGGGAGTTATGCTGGGAGAGGGCCAGGGCGTCCCCGACTGCCACCTGGGCCAGTGATGCCTAAGCGCAGACAGCCACAGCAATGTGATAGCGTTCCTCTTACGTCAGACAAAACAGAGAGGTAGAGGACAGGGCCAGAGAAAGTCCAGCATCTATACAGGCACGTGGTCGACTACTGTGCATGGGTCACACCGGGCACGTGCCGGGCTCCGTGGGTTTCAGAGACGAGGCAGTGCCCCTGCTGGGTGCACGTCATGGCCACGTGGCGGTGGAGAAGCTTCCCCTGGAAGGGCGCGCCGTGTCTTGCTCCTCTGCCAAGGGACGTTTGGATTGTTTCCGCCTTCTCAGCCTGTGCGTATCGCGCCGAGCGAAAGCAGCCGGATACAGAAGCCCACCCCTGGAACGGTTCCGTTGAAATGCACAGAATAAATGCATTTGCAGAGACCGAAAGCCGGGAACGGCTTGCAGCAGCTTCCTGGAAAGAAGTTTCCGTGTGGGGCAACGGAGACGTTTCGGAGCCAGAGGCAGATGGGGGGGGGGGGGCGGGCTGCACCGGGCTGTGAATGTATTGCAATGCTGCCGTCCTGTTCACTTCTGCTAAAATGTTTCATTTTGTGTCCTGTGAATTTCACCTCAGCTTTTTTAAAAATTGAACCAGCTAGAGCCCTGGCCAGTGTGGCTCAGCTGGTTGCAGGTTCGGTCCCCAATCAGGGTGCGAACAAGAGGCAACGGATCAATGTTTCTCTCTCATGATGCTGCGTCCTCTCTCTCTCTCTCTCTCTCTCTCTCTCTCCCCCCCCCCATAAAAACATATCCTCAGGTGAGGATTTAAAAAAATAAAATAACTGAACCAGCTGCAGCCTCAGTTCTCAAGATGTCGCGGCATAGAAAGGGAGGAGAAAGGTGCACGCACATTTTTAAGTGTGGCAAACAGGAATCGCCTGAACTTGTGAGCCAACCAGAAGAGGCCAAGGTGAACGTGTGTCCCCTGGTGGAGCCCACCAATGCCCTCTCCCCTGAGGATACCCCGGAGAAAGAGGCCGTGCCCCACCCGACCCCCCCACCCCCACCTGTGACCCTCAGAGTCGGTCCTGATGCAAATTCACCATCACCCTGCACCAAGCCCACCGCCCGTCCCCCGAGGAGCCAGTCCTGCGGTCAGTTTGTGACCATCTTTCTTGAGCCGGGATTTCGGCATTGTTACTTCCAAATCTGGCCAAGATGAACGTGTCTCAACAATGGAAGGACGTGGCAGGAAGTCCACCAATTGCTCATGACGCATCTCACCAGGAAAAAGGAGTTGTTCGCACCGATCTGCTATGGACAGAGAAAACGGGCGTCACGTGCAATCAACGCCCTGTGACCCAGAGAGACCAGAAACACTTCCCCCCAAATCCAGGGGAGTCGGGACCAGAGTTAACATCCGGGTCTCCACCCAGGCCGGGTGGCTCCGTGGGTTGGAGCATCACCCACTCACTGAAAAGTTGCGGGTTCAATCCCCGGTCAGGGAGCCTGCGAGAAGCAACCAGTCCATGTTTCTCTGCCATGTCGATGTTTGTTGTTTTTTTTTCCCTCTCTCTCTCCATTCCTGTCTCTAAAAAGCAGGGAAGAAATGTCCTCAGGTGAGGATAAAACTATATCCAGCTCTCCTAGCCACCACACTTTCTCACTAAAAAGGCATTTACTGTCCGAGAAGCCAGGTCTCGGGGGGCTCCAAGGCTGGCCGTGCTCCGGCCCACCGCGGAACAGTCCAGGGGTCCGTGTAAAGATGACCTTCCCGTGACCACCGCCTTCTCTGCCCAGACACACTTCTGACCAGAATTGATTCTTCCTTCCGTTTATCCAGTCTTCTTTCTCTGCCAAACGTGCCAGCCCTTCCTCAGAAAACCGGGGGCGCCGTGGGGGTCCGTCCTGCCTCCGGCAAACAGAAGTGCGAGTACAAAGCCCAATTCCCTGCCGTTTCTGCATTTCCTCGACTTGGAAATGCCACGTGTCCCCCTCTAAATGGGAAAATAAATATTTGCAGATTAAAGGTTTCATTTCATTGCAAATGTTCCTGGAGATTAAATGCCATTTTAATCACGTTAGCTTATTTCTCTGGGCACGTCCCATTTGCATGCGCTCATTCGCGGCGGGGAGCCGAGGCCCGCGTGCCAGCTGGGGCCCGCTGCCCCCGCGTGCGCGCGCGGCTCTTGAATCAGAAAGTGCGTATCGCAGCCAGCTAATGGCTGTTCACGGGTGGAAATCCAGACTGGAGCTTGGAGAGGCTGAGATGATGCTGCGCCAACATCTCTCTGCGCCCATCAAGATGACAGCCACCCACAGGGGCTGGCAGGGGGCTGAGCAGCGGCTGCTCGGATTTGGGGGGACCAGGCGGGAACAGCGGCAGCTGGCTATGAATCCAGCCTGGAATCCCCACCGCCAGGGAAAACCTGGGGGGGCGCCGGGGGGCATGGGTTTTGTTCCCACCAACTTTCCTCTAGTTGGAAGCATGCTGGGAGGTTTCCTCCCCCCCAGTTGCTAGACCAGTTACATTGTATCCTTAGAATGGATACAGGGTGTCCTTAGAGTGGATACGATGTATCCTTGTTTGCTCTTCCTCGTTCTCTCCTGGGTGGGCTATTCCACCTAAGCTGGATTTGATTAAATAAAAAAATAAATAAAAACAAAGACAACAAGGAGAGTGTAAAACTTATTTTCAGGCCGAGTCAGTTTGCCGTTGCTCAGAACTCTGTCCTTTACGATAGCCCATCAGTGGCCCCCAGGGGATTCCGCAAAAGCCATGGCTCCAGGCCACCTGAGCACGGGACTCTCGGGCGACACCCAGGTCCGCTCTGTAGTGGCGCTTAGTGTGTCCCCTGCCCATTCCCACGGCTCCTTGGGCCTTGCGAAGCTGCAGGCGGGACTCCGGATTCCCAGGAGGAAAGCCCCCCCGCAGCCTGGCCCCGTCGGCTGCCTCGGATTAGAGGTAGCACAGAAAGTGCCCCTTCAGACGTGCTTGTCCTCGTTCGGCCCCTTGGAAACAAACGAAGCCCTTGTCCTAAGACTCACGGGGCGCTGTCGCCCGCAGAATGAAGAGCCGGTGTTCTCCAGGGACGGCCGCAAGTTCTTCTTCGTCAGAGCGATCCCGCAGGGCGGACAGGGCAAGTTCTACCACATCACCATGTCGTCCTCCCAGGTAAAGGCCCGCGCTTCCGAAACCGGCGTGCCGGCTGGGCGAGGGCCGCCGCTGGCTGACCGCTCGGGGCGCGCCTCCCCTTCCAAGTCCCCGGGCCGAATCCCGGGCCCCGAAAATGGAAGGGCGTTCCCGAAGGCGGGGCGGAATGGGCGCGCGTCGGGCGAGAGGTGCCAGTGGGGCAGTGGGTCACGCCGTGCCCTTTCTGTTGCCACCAAGACCCAAGTGGCGCTTCTGACCCTTCAGGGTATCCGAGGGGACTCTGGCGTCTGTTGTTGGGCGTGAGCCCGAGGACGCGTGTCGGCTACTTGGTACGACGGCTCTGCGCCTGTCAGCCTGTCCGCTCCATCGAAGGGTGTCCCCTACAACTCCGCCCTGGAGGCGGGGGGCCCCGTGCACGGTGGTCCCCACAGCCCAGCCTGCCACGGCGCCCGCCCCATGCCCAGCCGGATGTGGGCGCCCGTCTGCCGGTCGCTGCCCTGAACCCGGGGTCCAGTCCAGCGAAGGGCAGAGTGCATGCGCGCTTGACATGCTGGTTCAGAGCCAGCGGGGACAGCCTGGGGCCCGTGTCCCTGCAGAGCGGCCACCTGGGAGCCTGCCTGCCGCCTCAAGATGAACGTTCAGGGACTCAGTCCCCGGGAAGAGGCGGGGTGGGGGCATTTGCGGGGGCCCAACCCTCACCCTCGGTGTGGTTTCCACTTGAGGAGCAGTCTGTTACCTGAGACCGCGGCAGGCGAGCAAGACAGGGTTATCAGAGCCCTGGCCAGGCGGCTCCGTTGGCTGGAGCACCATGCCATGCACCAGAAAGGTCGCAGGTTCGATTCCAGGTCAGGGCGCAGGCCTGCGTAGGTCATGAGTTCCATCCTTGGCCGGGCACGTGCAGGAGGCAGCCAGTCGATGTTTCTTTCTCTCTCTCTCGCTCTCTCTCTCTCTCTCTCTCTCTCTCAAATCCACAAACACATGCTCAGGCGAAGATTATTTTAAAAATAAATAGTGTTATCAGAAATCATCAGTGGACAGAGAGCTAGAAGGCTCATGCTATGACATGCCCCAAAAGGCATTGTCGACAGCACGTTCCAAGCGTGTCCCCATAATAGCGTGCGCGGAATAGCAGAGACCAGCTGTGACTCTGTGACGCGGGCCGGTTTCTTCAAAGGCGGGGCGAGGTCCAGGCGCTCCCGCGTCACGGGTGGTCCGGTTAGTCCTGGGGGCCTCGTGCTGAAGCCCCCACTCCTGCGTTTCCTCGGTCCGGGTTACTTTGGTCGCGACGCAGACACGTTCAGAGGTTCCATTCGGCCCCAGACTCCGGATTTGCTCTCGTGCGCGGGGGCCTGTGACGCCGCCCAGCAGGAAGCCGGCCCGCCCGCCGCCGGGAGCCCTCACAGCCCGGCCTTTCCCACGGCCGCTGTCCCGCAGGCTCGCCCCGCGCCTGTGCCGTCCCCTTCTGTGGCCCCCACGGTCCCCCTGGGGCATCTCGCCTGACTTCGCCACCACCCGATTGGCCGCTGCTCCCCAGGCACCTGCCGCATGGGGCAGCTGGCCCGTGGCTGCCACCCGGGCACCTGCACGCCCCTCTTCAGATCACGCGGGCCCCGCGGACACAGCCCCATCTCTGTCGCGCGAGGGTTGTTGCGGGGGCCCCGAGAGAGCGTGCGCGCGGACGCACGCAGCATGCAGTAAGGCCGCCTCAGGCCGGCCGTGTCCGCGCGCTGGGGACGCGCCCCCTGCCTTGCCCGGCTCCTCCCTCCCTCCTTCCTTCCCCGCTTCCCGCCTCCCCGTCTCCTCCCCCATCTCACCCACCTGCCCGCAGCCCCCTCCTCTCCCTGCCCCTCCCCCACCGTGACGCCTACTAACTGCATTTCTACCCCTTAAAGCAGCAGCACGTGAAGCCTCCTGAGAGGCACGCGTTGCAGGGGGCGCGGTGGGAGGGCGGCACCAGCCGGTCACCACCACAGACGTGGCCCACGCGCACCTTCGGCGGGGCAGGGAGCCGTGGGCTGGGTGGTCCGCCGAGACCAGGTGGCGGGGCGCGGCGGGGCGGGCGGCACCCTGCACCTGGCGGCTAAGGGCCCCGGGCCGGCCGTGGGCCCCGCGCTCCGGCCGCTCACGCCGGCCTGTGTGCTCCAGCCCAACAGCAGCAACGACAACATCCAGTCCATCACCTCCGGGGCCTGGGACGTGACCAGGATCCTGTCCTACGACGAGAAGCGGAACGTGATGTGAGTGCGCGGGCCCCGCGGCCGGGCGGGCAGCACCCCCAGCCCCGCCCCCCACACCGTGTGCAGATTAGTTTCAGGCACTGGGCAGAGAGCAAACGCGGCCACGGCCGTGTCTGTCCTGCGTGCACGGCACCCCGAGGTCCTAGTCCCCCCAGGAAATGTGCGTAGGTTCCCGCTCCCGGGCGGGAGCCAGGGCGGGGGCGGGGGGGCGCGGGTGGCGCTGGCCCGGCAGCCAGACCCGCAGGCGAGCCCGCGCGGGCAGCCGGGGTGCGATTCCGGCGCTCGTCCGTCTCTGGGGGCCGGGCGCCCTGCGGGGGCCTCGCCGGCTGCATCGCGTGCCACGCGGAGTGTGGCGCGGGGGGCTGCTCGCTCTCCCCCCCGCACACAGAAACAAGCTGAGGCAGAAAGAAGCGATTTCCCCCAGGTGGTCGGCCCCTGACGGGCGCAGCTGCGGCTGATTCCGTCCCTTCGCACCCAGGCCCAGGTGCGACTGGTCCTCCCCGACCACGTGCCTCTCCCACCTGGGCTCCTAACGAAACCAGCCGGCGGGGGTTGTGCAGCCAGGGTTCCTCCCCGGGGTCCTGCTCCTCCAGAAGGTTAATATCCTGCAAGGGGATTCCCGCGTCCGCACCCCGGGCAGCAGAGCCCAGCGGCAGATGCGGGGACCCCTGGGCCAGCAGAGGCGCCGCCCGGCCCGGAACGTCGCTGGGCCCGCGCGGAGCGCAGGGCGGGGTCCCTGAGAAGCGTCTGCAAGCGGGGGAGGGGGCCGGGAGCCCCACGCCCACCTGGGGCCTGCTAACCCCGCCCGCGTACTGGTCCCCCCAGCTACTTCCTCAGCACGGAGGACCTGCCCAGGAGACGGCACCTCTACAGGTATGGGACCCCCTCCCACGCGCGGTGGCTCCCTGCTTCAGGGGGCGTCCAGCGGGGCAGATTTCAGCCGCAGGTCCGGGGAGGCGGCCGAGGAGGCTCCCCCGCAGTGAGCGGTGACAGAGCCTGGGGAGAAGGGACAAGAGCTGCTCAGGCCACCCAATCAGCCGCTTCGTCGGTATTTCTGCTTTTGGCAAACTGAGTTCTTGCTCCGCCCTTCTTTGCTCCTGGCGGAACCGGGAGCCTTCTGGTGCTCTTTGCTTTCTGCCGTTATTCAGACACTCACCAGAAGGAATGTTCTGCCCGGCTGTTGCTGGGGGGCTGCCTGGTTTGGGGTGGAGCTAGCGGTCCCCACATCCCAGCTGCCTTGCTGTGTGACACTCGGTCAAGTCCTGTATCCTAAAGAAGGGGGCGGAGGGAGGGGGACCTCTGAATCCTGCAGAGGGACGAGGCTCTCCCGGGCGTGTGTGTCTGAGATGAGACTCAGAGGCATAAATGGGCACGCTGTGCCCTCCTGGGGCGTCCTGGGCACGCAGGCGGGGGCAGGCCACCGCCGGCACGCACCGCAGCCACTCAGAGGGACAGCGTTCCGTGGAGACCTAAGGGCTTGTGGCGGGTGGCTCCTAGCCTGACGGAGCCGAGGCCTGGTCTCCCCTCCCCCCGGCGGCGACTGTCCCCGGGACGGGGCTGCCTGTGGCCGGGAGGACACGGCCGACCCGTGGGTCACAGCCTTGCCCCCGCTGCAGGCTGTTCATCAGGCGTGTGTGTCAGGGCGTCTCAGATTGGTCCCTCACTGAGTCTGTCAACGGCGACCCAGGTGGGCCGCCAGCTGTCCCTCCGACCGATGTCCCCTCCCTCCCTGAAGCGGCTCCGCCCTCATAGATGGGTGCCCTGCGCTCAGGCCGCGCACCGCCCTCACAAGGCGCTCACTGGGGCCGAGCCTCGCCTGCGGGGGGCGGTCACAGGCCCTGGGCAGCTCTGACTCCACAGCAACACTCGCCCGGCCCTTGGGGCGTGAGATCGCTGATCAGCGTGACCCCGCGCTTCCTTCCCGCTGAGTGGGGGGCGAGGTCGCCCGGCCACTGCCCGGAGGACTGGCCTTGGAGACAGCCAGCGCGCGGCCCGGCGGGGTTTCTGGACTCCCTGCCTGTCACCCGCCAGTGAGGGACCCGCAGATACGGGGGCCTCTGTCCTCAGGAGCCCATCGTGTGCTCAGAGGGACAGATGTGGACACGAAGTGCGAGATAGCGACACCGAGCACCGCTGTCCCCACGTTGGGGCGTGCCCGGGCCGCCTAACAGCATAGGTGACCGAGGAGAGTGCCACAGAGGGACCGCACAGAGGCTTCCTGCGGGGGGGGGGGGACGGGCCGCACCGGGGGCCCGGCCGGGAGGCGCGGGCGGGGACTCCAGGGCGCCTTGCGGGAGGGGGTTTGGATCCGGGCTCTGCCGCCTGCCCCGGCTCACACCCCGCCTTCGCCCCGCAGCGCCAGCACGGTGGGCTCCTTCAACAGGCAGTGCCTGTCCTGTGAGCTGGTGGGCAACTGCACCTACTTCAGCGCGTCCTTCAGCCACAGCGCGGACTTCTTCCTGCTCAAGTGCGAAGGTGGGTCCCCGCCGCCCGGGCCCTGCCGCCGCCCGGACACGCACACCCGCGGGCGGGGGAGGGGCGGCCCAGGGCGCGCGTTCCAAACAGGGAAGGGTCCCGCCCAGCCCACGGTGCCGGCCCACCGGGAACGTGGCCGTCTGATGCCATCTGGAGACTTTACATCTTGTAAGGTTTACAGATCATCACATCCTTGCTGCGTCCGTCCGTTAATCCCAGATTTGTCTACCTTTTCTGTTAAAAAACAAGATGCCCTGTGAGCTCGCTGGGGTAAGTACCTCACACACCAATGAGACTACGCCTACAAAGAGAGCAAAACCACCTCAAGGATCCGCTTCTGACGCCTGTGCAAGGAATGAGGCTATGGAAGGGCAGTCTCCGCCCCGGCCGGGCTGCCCAGCGGGTTGGAGCGCCATCCCGTGCACTAAACGTTTGCGGGTTCAATTCCTGGTCAGGGCACGTGCCTAGGTGGTGGGTTCAATCCAGGGTCGGGGCACGTGTGGGAGGCAACCAATGTTTCTCTCTCTCCCCCCCTTCCCTCTCATCCCTTCTTCTATCTCTAAAATCAGTGAACATACCCTTGGGGCGAGGATTTTTAAAAATTCAGATACGGCTCCTGCCTTCAGGGACCCCTGTTTGGAGCTTGGGGAGGGCATGCACAGAAATGTCACTTTGTGGGCTCAGAACCCTTAGGAAGATGTTCTGGCGGCGGGAGCATGGCGCTGGGAGACCCGTAGGGACCCTCTAGCCAGGTGCTGGGAACTCGCTGGAGCCTACAGCGCACTTTGCATAAGGCGTTGTCCTTGCCTCGGAGAAGGTACAGACACGAGGTGCGCGGCTCTGCCGAACACAAGCTCCCGATTTAGGGCCTGGACACCGTCCTGAAAGCCCCAGCCCCCTCCTCCCTCCCCACTGGCAGCGCCGCCCCCGGGGGACAGATGGGAGGACCGAGACGCCGGCTGCACCCAGGAGCCCGTGGCTGGCCAGGGACGGAGCCAGGACTGGAATCCGTATTTATGCCGCTCCTGCAAACCCCAGGTGCCCGTGAACACAGCTTTTGCGCGCTCTGTGCAGAGGGGAAACGGCGCTTTTGTTGATCGTTTTCAACCAGATGTCCCCTCTGTGGACCCAAGTGAACCGGTCACTAGCGGAGCCTGAGATGCAAACGGGCACAGCCCCCCGCAGGTCTGTGCCTCTGCCTGGGGCGGTTGTGGGGTCCACCGCCACCTGGGGTTTCCCGGTGCCTGGTATCCCGCCCCCCCCGTCCACACCACGCCTCCCCCACTGCCCGCCGGACCCCCCTGTGGCCACCGGGGCGGCAGTGGGCAGCTCCGGAAGTCTCTCTTTGATGCCCAGTGTTTGCCAGGCACCAGCGGAGCCCCGGGTGTGCAAAGAGGCCCCGCCCTCGCGTAGCCCGCAGCCTGGTCGCATCAGCAACATCAGGCCCCGGCCCAGGGGACCGGCGTGAGCGGGGAGCCGGCGTTGGCTCGGGGGACGGGCAGCCGCCTCGCCCACGCCGCGGGTGCCGACTGTCGGGGGAGCGAAGGCCACAGGTCCCGTGCTCCAGCCCCTTACTGTCAAGGAGGCAAACAGACAGCCACCCCAGGGCAGTGAGAGGCGGGGGCGGCGCCGGATTTGGGGACGACGCAGGGGGCAGGCGAGGGAGCAGCTGGTGATGGCCCACGGAGGGAGGAGGGGACCTCCTGGGCCCCTGACGCCCCATCTGTACAATCGCGTGGCAGCAGGGCCTGCCGTGAAGAGCAGCGACCCCGGTTGACTTACTCCTTTTTTACGAAGCGGGGACAGCAGGGCTGGGGATGGTGCGCATCGTGACGTGGCTGCCGCGGGTCGCGCCGGGGTCACAGGTGGTGGTGGTCATGGTACCGAGAATGACGTTATTGATGAGGATGACGATGGTGCTGGAGTCGATAACGGTAATTACGTTGTTGGTGCTGTTTTTGGTGGTGGTGGTGGTGGTAGTGATGTTGATAATACGGTGATGATGTTATCGTTGATGAGGATGAGGATGGTGATGATGGTGATGCTCCCCCAGCGGTGACCCCATATCTCAGAAGCAGGGAGGGGGAACCTTCGGTCCTTCTTGCCTGTTCCCTGTCGGGGGAGCCATTTCACCTCTTGTTTCTGAGGACTAGAAAAACAAAGGTACGCAGCAGTCTGTTAATGGCCATTATGCCTCTATTCTGGGCAAAAATTAGGCTAAAATGACCATGGTTTGTCGTGGGACATGTCTGCGGACAGGCTTTTGCACACTTCTGGGGGTAAGGCAGAGTCGGCCTTCGCGTCTGGCTGGAGCGGGTGTCGAGCGGGGGGCGGGGCCCCAGGCCGTCCGGGCGGCGCGGGAGGCTGGCGGGGTGCAGCGCGTCTTTGTGCGGAGAGTGGGAGGGAGCCTGTCCCGACTCGCTGCCGAGACAGACGTCACGCCCGTGTCTGGTGGTCACACTGAGGCTCTCGCTTGCCTGGGACCCTCTTCCCTGGGTGGGGAGACACCCTGCCCCCTAGGTCCTAAGCATAGCATCAAATGTCTGCCCCCCGCCCAGGATTCCCAGCTACCACTCAGGAGCATTTCCATTATTCATTATTGTGAATAACAGCGCCCAACTATTTTGCCGCCACTGTGGCCGAGAACCGCAAAGAACGTCGGCTTCGTTTGGCCCTTACAAACGGCACAACGGTCCACATCGAACACGTGAGGCGAGCACAGCTCAGACACCGGGGCCCCATGGTCGGAAGTGGGAGATTTCAGACGAGACTCATGTCTACGCTCTGAACGGTGTCCCATCTGGGCTGCTCCTTCGGCATCGGCAAAGAACGGGGTTCGGAATAACGTCGGGGCCGGCGCCGGGCGGCCGCAGTGCGCAGGAGCCACCGGAGGGGGGTTTGCTCGCGAGCGCGTGCGCGCGCACGCTCTCTCTCTCTCTCTCTCTCTCTCTCACACACACACCCTCACACACACACCCCCACACACACACACACACACACACGAAATGCCAATGTCACGTCTGCATGAAAAGATATCCCGCTTCCCTCGAGATTTGAAAAATGTAAATTCCAGCACTGCCAAGACACAAGCCTTGCCCGTAGTGTGGTACAAAAGAAATCGGACGCTTTTTCCGGGTTATGGCACAGAGCTCGTACCCTGCTGGAGGCTGACAGCTGTCCCTCACGGGGTGCACATGGCCCCGGGGCCCCCGCCCCCTCGCGGAGGCTCGCCCGTCGGCGTGTGAACCGCGGCAGGGCTGGGACAGTCCGGGAGCCCCGTGTGTGCCGCACGCCCCTCGCTCCGTCCCCCTGGGCGTGACCCCGGCAGGTTCAGAGGGGCCGGGGCTCAGGCGAGGACACCGCGTGAGGAGCGCCTGGCAGGGCCACCGCGAACCACTCACGGGGACGCAACGTGAGCAAGGAGTAGGCTTCCTTCGCTCACAGCACGTGGGGGCTTGTGTTTGAAACCACAAGTTTATTCAGTGAAAACCGACTACAAAACCTTTTCAACAACGCAGCTGCGTGGCTAGTTCCTGGGTTAACCCACAAGCGCCGTCTCGCCCGTGGGCACAGGTGCGTAAGAGGGTTTTCTGTCGTCCTGTTTACAGTAACAAAAAAAGGGGAACAGCCTAACTGCTGCCTACATCGGTAGGGATGGGACGGAACAATTATGGGGCATTGCCGTAACGGGGTACCGGGCATCTGGTGACGATGATGCGTCACCAGCTTTTAAACCCGTCTGTCCTTGTATAGGGCGGTACTTCCCATTCTGTGGCTCATGCGCACGCAGCATTATAATGTTCCTCCTCGTCCCTGCGGGCGGGCACATAGCTACTCGCTCGCCCCACGGGCTCTGATAACTGCGGGGAAGGGGTGCCCCCCGTCAGGCCTCCCTCTCCCGCCGGTAGCTGGCTGGGCGCCTGGCCCCTCAGATATTGTTCCTGTTAAGGACGCCACGCCTCCTTGTCTGCAAGAGCACGGGGTCTCTGAGACGTCGCCCAGGCCCGGAAGCGTCCCGCTGCTGTTAGATTGTCCTCCAAAGTGGCTGTGCTCGCCCACACTCCTGCCCCGTCAGACTAAAGACTGAGATCCAGCGTCTCACACTGCGGTACGTTGGCGCCGCGGGCACAAGCCTGCAGGAGCCGAGTAGGGCTGCTGAGGAGAGGACCCGCGGGCGTCCCTCCTTCGTAGGGCGGCCAGGAGTCGGAGCTGACCCAGCCGCGTGACGCACGCACAGCGCACTGTGGGTGACCTAGACATCGTGAGGACTGCATGCCGTGCGGCAAAAACACCTCCAAGATGCGGGGCCCTGGCTGGGTGCCTCTGTTAAATGGAGGGTCATTCCGCCCCCGAAAAGGGCGTGGGATCAGTCCCCGGTCAGGGCGCGTGTGGGAGGCAGCCAGTCAATCCATCTCTCTCTCCCTCCCTCCCTCCCTCTCTCTCTCAAATCAATAAAAACATCCTCGGGCGAGGATGAGAGAAAATTTAAATAGGCAGGGAGTGATAAATATTGTACTACCGTCAAGATAACAGTTACATCCGGGAAGGCAGCAGGCTGTGAACCAGGAGGGGTAACAGGTCGCCTCGAATCTGTGTTTAAATATTAAAGCAAACAAAGGCATGATGGTGTAACATTAAGATTTGATAGCGCTGCCAATTGACATACAAGTGTTCTACTTTTATCTGTGTGTTTCCAGTATTGGCTCACATGCAACTAGGAGCCCATAGATGCAGAGGGACTTTGCAGGACATTTTAGAAACGCGTAGGTGGCTTCTGGGTGGTGGGGGTAACAGCCTCTTTCACTGGCCCCCTGTTCCTTTCTTGGGTGTTTGAAGTTTTCTAGAAACCTGTCTCGAGTTCACGAATGTAGAAGTGAGATAGGATGTCCTATGGCGTGGACAGGACACGCGGCTTGGAACACGCCCGCCCGTGAAACCAGTCGCTCAGACCCGCCGCAGGGCGCCAATGCCTGGGAGGCGCTGAATACAGGCCATGGTTCACGTTGGTCCTCGGGATGCAGGAGGCGCTCGGGTGGCGGGCGAGCGTGCCCGCCCCGAAGTGAGCTGAGAGGGTGCCCGGCGGCCCGCGCCTTCGCGACGGCTTCTCCGTTCTCCCGCTTGAGCTCCCCTTGTGGGAAAGGGGGTTGCCGGGCCAGGGGGTGAAGTTGGATTTAATTATGTGGCCCCGCGGCCAGCGCCTACGTCCGTCCCAGGGAACGCGGTCCGTTGGGCCTTAAATCCGCAGACTCTCAGACCCTGCTGACCGCCTCCCCCTCCCCCCCCCGCCCCGTGGCCGACGCGCAGGGTGAGCAGTCAACACACAGGACGTCGGTTCCGTTTGGGTCCAGGGAGGTAACAAGTAATTTTTCAGTAGTAAGTCCCAGATACTGCGTGGGACGTACTTGCATTAATAAATAGGTTTCTGTTGTTTATATCTGAAATTCGCGCATCCCTGGGGATCCTGCAGTCCTACCCACAGGCGACGGGGAGGGGCACGCGCTGGGGGCAGGAGTCCGGGGGCCTGCGGACGCGGAATGGGCCCCAGGGGCGTCTGGGTCCGGACCCGCAGCTGCAGGTCTGTCTCCCAGCTCAGCCAGGGCCTGGGGCAGTGGGGGCTCTGGCTGAACCGGCCCGTCCCGCCTCCCGGTGAGGCTGTGACCCGTTTGCTTCCCTGCCACGTCCTCCTCGGGCCCGGGGCTGGGACGTCCAGTCTGCAGCCTCTGCTCAGGGGTCCGTAAGCCCCCGCTGGGGTGGGGTCCACAGCAGGGACCCTGGCTCTCCACTCGGTCCCTTACCGTACGGCCCCCGGAGGGGAGCGAGAGGCCCTGGGGACGGTCTCAGGATATGGAGTTCCAGCCGTCCCTCTGCCCAGAGAGTGCGGGTCATCCGGCGCAGACGTGGCCGCCCCGCGGGCGCATCAGAGACTCCCAGTCCCCAACCCGAAGCAGAGAGCAAGCGGCACGCCTGACCAGGATCCCCGACAGCTCTATCTCCCTGCCTCCCCCCTGCCTCCCCCCTGCCTCCCCCCTGCCTCCCCCCTGCCTCCCCCCTGCCTCCCCCCTGCCCCCCCCGCCTCCCCCCTGCCCCCCCCCTGCCTCCCCCCGCCTCCCCCCTGCCTCCCCCCGCCTCCCCCCGCCTCCCCCCTGCCTCCCCCCTGCCTCCCCCCTGCCACTTCCTCGCTCTCTGTTCACTCTCCCAAGGCCGCCAGGACCCGGGGGCAGCCCCCGCCCCGGCTGCGCTGTGCTCACTCGCACAGCGTTCCCCGCAGGAACACGCCGTGAAACGCCCCCTGGGCCCCCGTCCTGGGCCCAGACACTGGCAGGGAGGCAGCGCCCCCCCCCCCCGCCTGCCCGCGTGCACCCAGGGCTTGCGCCCGCTGCAGCAGGAAAGGACAGCGAGCAAGTGCACTGGGACCGCGCACGGGACAGTACCCGCCCGTGGCCCCTGCTGGGGTGGGGGAAGCAGGCTGGGGGCCGGGCACTCCTCTAGGCTGGGGGTTTGGAGGAGGCGTGTGGGCAAAGACTTCGTTAAGGAGAAAGACAAGCCCTGCTGGTGTCTGGGACCGAGGTTTGGACGGAGAGACCAGGCCCGGGGGCCAAGCTGGGCATCCTTGGGGACGCTGAGAAAGGCCAGCTCCCTGGGACGGACCGGGAGCAGAGGGGGGCGGGGCAGGGGCGTCCTCTTCCCGTGCTTCAGCGTGAAACGGAGATGGTTCCTCGGCTTTTTCTTTCTGAGACCCGCTTCCTGAGCCGCCCGGGGCTCTAACCTCAGGGCAGCTGGAGTGACTGGAGGGAAAATGGGGGGACACGGGGCAGCGTTTGCCAAAGTCGCCCTGTCACGTTCATGCGTCTTCACCCAGTGCCACAAGGGGCCAGTGGAGGGAGTCTCTCCTTCTGGAGCAGCCCCCCGGGGCAGCGTGGAAAAGGTGACGCAGGAGAGAGACCTGAGCGAGTCCCGACGCTCGGTGGTGCCTGCTTGGGGACGACGTGTGGGTGGTAGAAACACAGCTATGAGGGTGTCGGGCAGGCGATGCTCTGTGAAGTGACGTTTCGTGGCATTTCGGCACGTAAAACAGGCCCTCTGTCCCGGCCAGGTGCTTGGTGGGTTGGAGCGGCACCGCGCAAACCAAAACGCTTCGGTTCCGTCCCTGGTCAGGGCGCGTGCCTGGGTTGCGGGTCTGGTCCCCAGCTGGGGTGCGTGCGGGAGGCAACCGGTGGAGCGCTCGCTCTCTCTCGCTCTCTCTCTCTCTCTCTCTCTGAAATCAATGAACATCCTCGGTGAGGATTAAAAATGAATAATTAAAATAAAACACATGTAGGTTTACTGAGGTCATTGTCATTGCCAAGGGTACAAGGCCTTTAAGTGCCCACGGGCCTGGCCCTGCCGCCCATTCGCGCCGCCCCCGCCCGGGCCGAGGGTCGCAGGCGTGCGAGCGAGCGGGACCGAGGCTCGAGGCTCGGATCCGCCTCTGTCCTCACGGCCCCTAACAGCCTCTTTCTGCTTCTTTTCCCAACGCAGGTCCTGGTGTCCCCACGGTGACCGTCCACAACACAACCGACCGGAAAAGTAAGTTCTTCTGCTCTTTCCTCGTCTTCCTGCGACTTGGGGGAAGGGAGCAGGACAGGGTTCTGAGAGCCCGGCCGCGTTTCTGTTTGGGGACAGGGACGGCGGGTCCTGGGAGCCCGCGCGCACTCCGCCCGGTGCCGGAATCGCTTCAGTGCCAGGGAAGGACAAGTCCGAGCCCCCAGCCCGAGGTCCCACCCCTGACCAGGGCCAAGCCCGGAGACCCTCAGAGGCCACGCCGCGCCTCATTCGCAACACGCTGAGCCCCACTCAGCCTGTCCCCATCTTACGACCTGCCATGGGGACAGGACTCGGGGGTGCCCGAGGCTCCCCTGTCCTCGTGGGTCCAGAGCGCCTTCATGCAGGAGCTCAACGCCCATGCCACCGTGGGGACACACTTTCTGAGGGGCCCGGGGGAGCCCACAGCTCTTTTTTTGCTCGAAGGGACCCCACGGTTATCTTCTTATTTCCTTAAGAAAAGGCATCTCTTCCGCTTTGAACGTCTGTGGAAACTTAGACGCACACAGCTCACTCACTTGCTGATGGAGTTTTTCCCTTCGGCAGACCCTGTGGTCTGAAGGAAGCGGAATAGGTCGTAGGGGCCGGTCACTTCCTGGTGTCGGCTGTGCATTCGTGAGACGAGATGTCCCACCTGGGGGACGCGGCGCGGAAGGGGCCGGGCGCACGGAATTCGATGCACCATTTCTGAAAATCCCTGTGATGACCGGGGGGTGCAGCGGTTTAACGAGAGTTCAGATACTTCACCGCCGGCCCCCGAGCAAGTGCGATACAGCCCTGCCGGGAAACCATACCGCCCCTTCTCGCCCATTTGGCCGATTAGCAGCAGAAACCCATCGGCCCAACCGCACGGACAGGTGACCCCACAAAGGTCCTGGGCGACCTTCACGCCACCTGTGTGTGTCGCTGTATTTGAGCCCCTGGTTCGGGGCCCCCCTCCCACACCCTGGGACCCGGGAACTCTAGGTCTTGGAGTTGTCGTCACCTAAGTAAGGCGCTCACCACCACAGCCTCCGATCAGGGCTCCTAGAGACAACCCGGCTCCCGCCAACGCGGCGCCGAGTCCCTGCTGGCGCGGGAACAGGGCGCTGGAGGCCGCAGTCCCGCCTGGTGCGCCGGGAGGGCTGCTGGGACCGGCCGCGTGGAAGCGAGGGCACGTGGGGGCCGTGCGCCTTCGGCGGGGTGGCAGGAAGGCCAGAGAGCCCGGGGGAGGTGGCCTCCAGGCAAACGGAAGGCCTTGCCTGCCCACTGACGTGTGGCCTGCCCTGTGTGATGGTGCCGGACTGGAAGCCGGGGACACTGCCCGGCAGGGAGGCCCTGGTGGCTCAGGCGCCAGCCCCAGCCCTGCCCGGAAGTCTGAAATTGCTGTGGCAGAATTCTGCGTCCTCCCTGCCCGCCCCCGCGACCCCAGAGCCACCCTGGGAATCCTGGACGGCTTTCCTTTAGAAAACCTTATCGACACACAGAGCCCGCGGGCTGTTGGCAGATGGGACTCTGAATAATTCACGAGCTGTTTCCTTAAGAAGGTAATTGTGGTCCGGAGCGAAGAGTATTCGCTCATGAGCCCCAGCAGCCCAGGTGCTGGGGTAGAAAATCCAACCGCGTCCGATGACGGCGTCGCCGGTTTTCACGTCCCCGTGAGCGCGAGCGTGGCCTCGGCTTGCGGGCACCCAGCCCCGGTGCGAGGGGACGGTCGTGTGGGTGGCCTTTTGTAAAGAAGCACAGCCAGATCCCACTGGCCGCTGGCATCGGGGCGGGGCTTTCACGAGGTCTTCGGCATTTGTCGCTTGGCTCGGGGGTTCTCGCTGCTTCTTCCCGAGCAACCCCCCATGGGGACGTCCCCTCTTCGCGCAAGTAGGAAGGGACACGGGAGAGGCTAGGACGGGGCAGCAAGCGTGGGCTGGCACCCCGTCAGGCCTGCGGTTGCCTGCGCGTCCAGAAAGTCTTCCGGGTCCCAGGCTGTGCTCACGGGTGGCCTTTCCGGAGGGCAGGGGTGGCAGTCGGTGCGGGCGGTTCCTTTGAGAGCGAAGGCCGCACGGTAGGTGGGCGTCCGGCGAGGACTGAGCAGAGCGCGTGCTGTGCCCAGGCCCTGGCCCTGGCCCCCTCCCACCTCCCGGGAGCCCTGCGCACACAGAGAAAGAGAGAGAGAGAGAGAGAGAGAGAGTGTGTGTGTGTGTGTGTGTGTGTACACACGCGACTTCCCGCGGAAACGTGGGGAACAGGCCAGCCGCTCCTTCAGAAGGGTTGCCGTTGGGTTTCATAAGACTCGGGTCATTACTGTCCCGAAATTCAGCCCAGTGGGGTGAATTTCCCGATGCCCCAGCCAGCGGGGTCTGCGAGGAGCCCGGGGCACCGCGCCTGCCGGGGCGGGGGGCACGGCCGGGGAGGTGACCCCCCGGGGCGGGCTGTGTTCCTCCACATCTGATACTGGCTAATTCCACGGAGCGCTGGAGGAGGCTCGCATTTAATTACGGAGTGGCCCTTCGCCCGCTGCAGCCGGGGGTCGCCCCGGCCCCCCCATCTCCGCAGAGCCTGCGGGGGCCATGCCAATCTAATTTCCTCCGCCAAGCCTGGCCCCCTCTGAATGCGATTATGGAGACAAATAACACGGCTTAACCCAACTCCCCGGTGGGACAGCCAGCTCTCTGCTGATAAGACCGGCTGTGTGGGCAATCATTAAACGAGAAATCTAATATTTAACTAAATTTAATAGGCTGCTGCCTTGGTGCCTTTCTGCGGAAGGTGGGAATTCAAGGGTAGGGGGGAGCTATTCACACGCAGGTGATGGATCCGGGGGCGATTAGCCCAGGGCTGCAGCCGAGATGCAGGACTTGCAAATGGGTGTTTCGGGGGCAAGTCAGTGTTCGGGTACCTCCGGGCGAGCTTAACTCTGCGGAGGGAAAACACCACACCAGCTGAACGTGACGTTTCTCCTTTGGGATCAGCGTTGGAAATAGCCGAGCGAGGTCGGAACCCGCAAATTCAAATGCCCCCCGTCGGGAGGGAGGCGCACGTCCTACAGCCGTGAGAGGCTCTGTTCGGCCCCCTTCCCCTGGGCGGCGGGGCCGGCCAGGGCGGCCTTGCCGCGCCGCCGTGCCGCGCCGCCGTCCCGGCGCGTGGGGCTGCACCTCCGGTTGGGCTTGTTGGGGAAGACATTGTACCTGCACCCCTGCTAATTCCCTACCTCTTTGGGGGTGACCACTGCGTAGCTCGACCCACATTCGCGCCCCCTGCCCCCGGCCCGTGGCTGCCACACTTGGGTTTATCTCTTCGGCGGACAGGTCAGGACCACGGGCTTGGAAAGGCGAGGCCCCTGGTGGGCGCCTGCTGCCCTGAAGGACGGCTCCGCGTCCGCGGTCACACTGCTGGCGGCCGCGGCTCCCTCTCGGGGACGTGCGTGGGGGGGTCCCCACAAGGGGGCGCACTCGCGGCTCGCCGTCGCATCCCTTGAAGATAAAATTCCCCTTCCTAACAGACCACAGGCTGTCCCCCTAGGAGGGAGGAGCCCGGGCGGGTTTGGCTGCCTGCCGCAGGGTGAAATGAGGCGGCAAGGCCCTTTCAGTAGGAGGGGACTGAAGTGGCAGATGCGGGTCTTTGGTGCCCCTGGGGCGATAGGCGCGGGGGAACCTGTGTGTTGTTACGACCGAGGAGTCAGGTGGGTGCGGGGCCGGGCCGGCAGCTGGTGGTCCTCCCTGAGGGGCCCGGCGCCAGGGAACCCCGCGATGACGGCAGGAAGCCGGGGTCTTTTCTTATCCTGGAAAATTGTCTCAAGATCCCCCCTGTTCCCCTGTCCTCTCCGGTCGTTGCGGACACTCTGTTTGTCCGAACACATGAAGGGTCCGGCACAAATAACACCCTGGTTTGTTGTGTGTGTGTGTGTTTAAGGTTTTATTTATTTATTTTTAGAGAGAGGGGCAGGGAGAGAGAAAGAGAAGGTCAGAAACATCAAAGTGTGGTCGCCTCTCGCGCGCCCCCTGCTGGGGACCTGGCCTGCCACCCCGGCGTGTGCTCTGCACTGGGAATCGAACCAGCGGCCCTTTGGTTCGCAGGCCAATGCTCAGTCCACTGAGCCACACCAGCCAGAACATCAACACCCCTTTTTTTAATTACCAATTCTTTTATTACAAAATCATCAGCATGTCCTTCTGTAACATAACAAGATCACACTCAAGCTCACCGTAGGGCATTGTAGGTGAAACGTTCGCATTAAAACTATAAATTACTACTCCCATGTTCCCCGCCTACCGACCCCACTCAAGCAGGCATTACTTCTGCCGGACCCTGTGCACGGCTCCGGTTTCCCCAAACCAGCCGTCCTGAGCTCAGACGCACCCAAACCGACGGTGTGAGAAAAGCCAGTGACAATAAAAATCTCTTGGGGGCGGGGGCTGCCTGACACAGCGGGGAGGCCTCCCCGCCACCCAGGCTCCTGACTGTCACCGCAGCGAGGTCGCTAACGCCTCCGTTTCGTGGTCCGTGCAATAGAAACCACGCCGGGTCAGCGCCAGGGCTGGCTGAGGCATGGGCGGCGCGGTGCACCTCGTGAAACCCCGCGGCTTCAGGAGACCGTGGCGGAATCCGAACATGACGCTTTTTTCTCTCTCCTTCAGAAATGTTTGACCTAGAGACCAACGAACACGTGCAGAGGACCGTGAACGACCGGCAGATGCCCAAAGTGGAATACAAGGAGATCAAGATCGACGACTACAGTTGAGTGTTGAGCTTCTCCCTCTAGAAGGAGAAGTGGACGTCCACCCTGCCTCGCCCCACGGTCCCCCGGCCTTCCCCCACGCAGAGTCACTCTGCAGGGCGCGGGGCGGGTGTCCTGTGTAGAGAACCCGGGCAGGGAGACGCCGTGTCCCACGGAAACGTCACAGGGAAAGCCGGCCCGCCCACACGGACGCCCTTCCCTGGTTCAAACTTCCACGCAGAACCTAGAGCCCCGGTACTCAGACGCAGATTCATGAGAGCGCTCCAGTTAAGTGGATATCTATTGTTGTGCTGTGTTTTGGTAAGGAAGAACCAAAAGGCAAGAAAACAAGACAATTTTAGCCTGCTAGCGGACGACGGATGGAGGGGGGGTGGGGGGTGGACGGTAAATGGTGGCTGGACGGACACAGGCCTCAGGCCAGGCCCGTAACTCGCAGGGCCCAGGGCCGCATGAACATGGGGGCGCCTCTTCCCCAGGGTCTCAGGACAGCAGACCATGACGCCCGCGGGAGGCTCTGACACGGGGTCGCACGTGCCTGCCCAGGCCACGCTGGGAAGCCCACTGGGCGGACCTCCGCAGCCGGCTCGCAAACCCCTGACGCGCCCCGGCTGCGGTCGGCGAGCCTTCCCCAGCTCTCCCTCCCAGTCCCCTCCCATCTGCCACCTCCTGCCGCCGCCTCTAGCGACAGGTGGACTTCCTTTGTGGGGGTCTCTCCTTCTCCGGTCCTCTCTGCCCCCTGCCCTCACGGTGACATCCCAAAACCCCAGGGCACTAAGGGGCGATGCTGTCCTCCTCAAAAGGCGCAGAAAAGACCTTCAGACACCAGTTATCAGCCTTCGCCCTCCTCCCCACCCCCGCATGAGGCCTCTTTCCGCGCCAGGGTTTCCAGCGACAGGAAGCCGTGCCCTGCAGACCTTTCCGCGTTGCTTTGTGCTGTTTTCTCATTTGAGGCCACGGCTCCCGTGAAACAACAGGCCTCCTGGAAGGGCCTCGGGAGCGGCGGCCTGTCCTGCCCGTCCGCCCAGCCCGCCCGCGGGCTCGTCAGTGGCAGGGAGCCAGGCCCGGTTTTGTCGACAGTCAGTGAGAAAGCCCGAGCCTGCTGTCCCCCAGGCCCTCGACCCCATTTGCAAGCCATTAACATTCAGCCCGAATCTGAGCGAGGCCACCGGAGAGAGCAGGCCCAGCCGGGTGGGCCTGGGGAATTCCATGGGGAAGGCCGCTAATTCCCATTTAATTGCTAATCGGGGCTGTAGGTAACGTCGATAAACAATTTCTGTCGTGGGCGGGACGGCGTGTTTGGGGAAGGACCACGGGACTGGCAAGGAAAATGCCGCACACGCCCGCCTCCCGCCACTCGACGTCACAGTGCCAGAGCTACCCCGGCTCCCTCCTTGCGTGGGCGTCCCCGCGTGGCCCAGTCCCCCGGCGGGCAGCCCTGCCCGGCACCGCCCTGCCAGCAGGCAGGCTGGCAGAGCCCCCGGCTTTGCGCAGAGGCTCCCCACGGCTCGCAGCCTCCGCTCTGGGCTGCCACCCGTGCTCACCGCCAGCCACTCGGGTCTTCCTCTCCTCCTCGTCCCCACGGCCCCGGGACCCCGCCCTCCGGCTTTCTTTCTCCCTGCCTCCCTGGGTCCCCCCAGCCCGAAGGCAGCCCTGGAGAACCCCGCCTCTCCGGGTTTCCAACTCATCGTGTCTGCAAGACGGAATCTAGGCTTCCGTTGGGGGACCGCGCAGGGAGCCCCAGGCCGCCGGCCCTCCCTCCCCGGCCACAGGGCCCTGACCTGCTGCCTCTGCTCTGCGTCCGCCAGCCCTGCCCATCCAGATCCTGAAGCCGGCCACCTTCACCGAGACCGCCCACTACCCCCTGCTCCTGGTGGTGTGAGTACCGTCCCCGTCCCTTCGGGGGCGCTAGCGGGGGGCTCAGTAACTCCGTGACACCTGAGGCCCGTGACAGGAGGGAGATGTGCTGTTGCAAAGTAAACCCGTAGGTTAGCCCTCGGCGAGGGCCCTGCGGCGGTTGTGACTGTAGGTGACTCTGCACGTCAAAAGGCCTCGAGGCAGTTTGTCACCACGCAAGCAGGTCGGCAGTCACACTCCCCAGGCGTCACGCTGCAGTGGCCGGTCACCGGGCCCAGACACAGCCCGGAAGGCCAGCGGCGCTTCCGGCTACAAAAGTGCCTTGAACCCGTGCATTGGCCAACAAAGAATTGTTTTGTATATCCCTGCGCTCAGGAACAGGCCCCCAGGTTTAGGACAGCCGGTTAAGGGCTCTCCAACCTGCCCCCGAAGGCGGGGGGCGGCCCCTGCCGGGTGGGCACAGCCGCCTGGGGCAGCCTGCAGCCCGGCCCGCCTTTTCCAGGGACGGAAGCCCGGGCAGCCAGAGCGTGGTGGAGAAGTTCGAGGTGAGCTGGCAGACGGTGCTGGTGAGCAGCCACGGAGCCGTGGTGCTGAGGTGCGACAGCAGAGGCAGCGGCTTCCACGGCACCAAGCTCCTGCACGAGGTGCGGCGGCGGCTGGGCGTCCTGGAGGAGCGGGACCAGCTGGAGGCCGTGCGGTGAGGGCCCACCCCGGGGCGCGGCCGGCGGGGGGCGGGCGGGCGAGGCCGCGTGTCTCCTCGGCCCCTCTGCCGGCCTCACCCAAGTTCTTCGGGTCGGGCTGCAGATTTTGCGTGCAGAAGCGTCCAGTGTGAGTGTTTCCATGGGAAAAGCCCCCCAGACACTCGCGGCTTTCGCGTGGCTGGGTCGCTTGGCTGTTTCACGGATCAGAACGTGGTGCAGAGACAGGGAGACCTCGGCTGTGTCTGCATACGGTGCTGTCCCCCTTCGCAAGGTGGAGAAGGACAGAGCGTGCGTGTGTTGGGATGGGTCCACGCGACAGGCCCTCCCATGATGGAGAGAGGGCCTGTGCCCACCCAGGTGGCCAGTCAGAACACCCGCGCGGCCCTGCCCGCGGCTCCAGTGGGTCTGTCGCCTTGCCACGCGCCTGTCTCGGCGTCAGCGAGCCCAGCGGGGTGCCACAGAGGCAGGAAAGGGCTCGGCACCAGGGCACGGAGGCTCACAGTTACTGACGGAGGTTCATTGTTGCCCAGAGAAAAAAGCCATCAGGCCCCAGTGCCCGGCAACGCCCAGCCGCCGGGCTCAGCGGGCAGAGCGTTTTCCCGGACGGATGTGCCGCGGACGCGCTGACAGACAGGCCCCTGAGAGACCCACTCCACCGACTCTGCAGACTCGCATCCTCGGAATGACAGGAAGGACCCCAACGGCGACCTTCCTCGTGACCCGCGCGGCCCCACATGGCCCCCGGGCGTGTGCAGAGGTGGCCCCCAGCGCCCGGCGGAGCGCATTTTTGTGGACTGAGGGCCGGGCAGCTCAGCGCCTCACCTCCCTGCTGGCCCGGCCGCGGGCCTTGCCGGTTTAAAGGGGTTCACTTCCCTGGCTTTTCCCAGCGCGTGCTCTCTCCTGTTAACAACGATGGCGGCACATGGCGTGTGCCCAGTCGATGACCTTTAAATGATAGGGAGGGAATGGATGCCGCTCTCCCCCAGGGAGTTGTGAGCTGGGCGGGGGAGGCTGCCAGCGTGTGCGGAGCCCTGTGTGTGTCCGGCAGAAGATACAGAGGAGGGGGAAATATCTGCAGGCCAGACAGCCCGGGAAGGTGCGCCCGTGGCCTGCTTTGGCCTGGACGTTAACAACACACGGTACAGGGTGTCAAATGGGCTTTAACGATAAGGGACGATGTTCGCTCCGGAAATCCAGAGGGATGCAGGCCCAGGGCTGCTGGGTCCGAGACCCAGCAATGCCACCGAAGACCCACGCCCTCGGCATCTCCCCGCTCGGCCAGCCACCGCGGCCGTCTCCTGGGCTGCTTGTCCTCATGGGCACAGAATGGCTGCCAGGAGCAGGTCATCGCCTACTTCTTCGTTCACCGCCAGCAGGTTGAGAAGGGAACTACTTCCAGAAACGTCCAGAAAGGAAGGGAAGCACCCAGCACAACTCTCCCTGTGTCTCCTGGCCCCTCTGGAACCCCGGCCCTGCAAGGACGTGCGGGCAGTCGCCCCGAGGCCAGCGGGTCCGCCGTGGGCCCGGGGGAGGAAGACAGGGCGGGGCCCTGTCAGGAAGGAGGAGGACGGGGACGCCGGGTCAGCTGCCAGCCCAGACGTCTCAGGCTGGACGCGGCGGTGACCATGGGGCTTACATCAGCAGCCGTGGGGGCTCGCCCTGCAGCGTTGACATTGCGGTCCCCCCTCCTCATGCCTCTCCGCCTGCCCACTGCGCTCTCCTGTCCTCCCGCCTCGGGGCGACATCCAGCGGCCCCCCTCCGAGCTCGGGGGCAAGAGGGCAGCCGGCTGTTTCACCCACGTGGCATTTTCTACATCTAAGGGACTTACCTGCCATCTGTTTGAAAACAAAGCAGAACCCTCTCTGGGAAAACAGTAGATAATGCGACTGCTAAGCCGCTGAAGGTACAGAAACAAGGCAGGTGGCCCGTCACACCGTTGAGGCCACCGTCATCAGCGGGCAGGCTCCCCGAGGAAGCCGAGACCCTAACGGTTCAAGCCCAAGGAGACCGCCCTCGGCTCCGTTTAGGGTCCGGGTCGGCGCTGTCGCCCCAGCACGATGGCCAGCCTGGACCATTGAAGAAACCGCGCGGCCGGCGCAGCACACCGGCTCCCCGAAGCTCCCGGCGCCTCCGCGGTCCCCTCCGCCCCCCACCCAGCCTGTGTCCTGGTGCCCAGGGTGGCGCTTTCCCTCGCTGGTGACGTGCGCCAAGCCCCTCACAGAGGCGGAGGCCCCTGTAAGGGGAAGGGATGGTTTTGGACAGACAGTGCAGCCGCGCAGGTGCGGGGGGCACGGGCCTGCGAGCAAACCGGCGCCCAGAAGGGGCCCCAGGGCCAAGGCCGCGCCCCCGGGGATGGGCAGGATTCGCCAGGCGGAGCCGGGGAGCTGCCTGGTCCACACAGAACAAAGACGTTGTGAGCCCAGGCAGGGGACGTGCGGGGCGGGCAGGCGTGCAACCCTTCTGGGATGGGGAGCTCACCCCCACCCCCGACTCCAGACCACAGAGCCAGAGCGCCTTTTGTCCCTGCCGACCTCGCAGTGTCTGGGAGAGCCGGGGGTCACGTGGCCCAAGCGAGGGTGGAGAGCGCAGGGCGGGGGGGCCCCCAGCACGGCGGCGGCTGCTTTGCACCCAGGGACCTCAGTGGGCAAGCTTTGCCTACCTGGGCGGCCTTCCGTGCTGTGGGGCGGGGCCCTCGCGTTGTCCCGTGGGCAGGCAGCGCAGACACCAGCTAGACGGGCACCGTGAACACGCGGGTTAGAATCCCAGCGTCTCATTCCTCAGGCACAGGGGGCCCTTCAGGCGGGGACGGCTCGGGAGCACGGTCCGGGGCCCCAGGGACGGAGAGGCAGCCACGCTGGGCGCTAACCCCTCTTCTCGGGCTTCGCAGGACGATGCTGAAAGAGCCGTACATTGACAAGACACGCGTGGCCGTGTTTGGGGAGGTGAGTGCGCTCTCTGTCCTTGGATCGCCGCCCTGTTCAGGACGCTCCCTCGCCCCGGCCCGGTTCCGGTTCCGGTTCCGGTTCCCTGGGAGTGTCCCTGGGCTGGTGGTGCGCGAGCAGTTACGTTTTTAAGAGCGAAATGCTGATAGGCTGTGGGGTCCCCTAGGGAAAATTGATTCGCCGGGCTCTATGTTTTGGAACCGTTCTAGGTTCTCAGCGAAGCTGAGATTGAGGTACAGACATTCCTGCCGCTCGCTGCCCCCTCGGCCCCCGCCCCCCACGCACAGCCTGCCCCCCCATCAGCGCCCCCACCAGACGGTGCACCTGTTAGAGTGGGCGAACCTCCGGTGACACATCGTCCTCACCCCGAGGCCACAGGTCACTGAGGGCTCACCCGGGGGTCGTTCATTGCACGACTTGGGACAGGGGCACAGGGACATGCGCCCATCACGGCAGGATGGCCCAGAGCGGCCTCCCCGCCCCGAACGTCCTCTGTGCTCCGCCCACCCTTCCCTCCCCGCCGGGTCCCTGGGAAGCGCAGACCTGTGTCTGGTCCGCGTGGTTTTGCCTTTTCCAGAATGTCACACAGTCGGGATCAGACACTGGGTGGCCTTTGCCGTCTGGCCCCTTCCCCGGGTACCAAGCAGCCACTGTTTTCTTGTCCTCGACTAGATTCTAAAAGGGGAGCAAACGTAAGCCACGCAAAGGATAAACACGCAAGGGTCACCGGTTTCCCACCAGTAATCTGGGGAGACTCATCCCCTTAAAGTTGTCATTTCATGGCAGTGCAAAAGCCACACTAATTTGTACAACCCTGAGGAGCGCCCCCTACCGGGGACCTGACCCGCAACCCAGGCCTGGGCCCTGACTGGGAATCGAACCGGTGACCCTTCGGTTCGCAGGCCGGCGCTCGATCCACGGAGCCACGCCCGCCGGGGCTGCATCACAGAATATTTAGTAGGGGAAGCATTTGGTTTTCACTTTTTACCGGCCTGAAAAAAACTTGAATTTTTTTTTTTTTAAGCAACCCCATGATAACATTTGCGTGAGTGGCCGGTGCGTCTGAGGCTGCTGTCCCGGCTGAACGAATGGCGTTCGCCCACACTTACTGCCCTCCTCTCTCCCCCAGGACTACGGGGGCTACCTGAGCACCTCCATCCTCCCGGCGAAGGGCGAAAACCAAGGCCAGATCTTCGCCTGCGGCTCTGCGCTCTCCCCGATAACAGACTTCAAGCTCTACGGTAACGCCCTTGCCCAGACACGCGCCGAGCCCCCGCCCCGCGGCCCCGCGGCCCCCCCTGCATCCCCGCACCGCATGCGCACCCACAGCAGATGATAAACTGCGTAGGCTGTCAGGCTCCTGGGTGGGGAGGGAGAGGGAGGACTTCACGTCGCTTGTCCCGGTGCCTGTCAACCGCATCCTGGAGCACATGACAGGGACCAGGGACTAACGACCCAGCCAGCGGTCCTGAGACCCCCCCCACCGAGGGCGGCCCTGCCCCTCGGCCCCTGCGCAGCGGCCCCTCACGGGCCGGGCGTGGGCTCTGGGTCCCGGGCGCGGGGTCTGGCGCGCAGACGGGCAGAGCGGAGACTGCTGCGCGGTGGCCGTGGACACAGATCCAAGGGCCCCGCCGCCCCCTGCCCCCCACCGGCCTCCCCCCTCCCGGGGCAGTCGGTCGCCTGTCCTTGGAGACGGCGCGCAGCTTCCTCGCCGGCACGAGCCAGAGACCAGGGACGGGGGTCCGGAGGACTTGCTGCAGGGGACCAGCTGTGGGGACCAGGCCACGGCCCGGGCAGCGATGTGGCTCCCTGTCACTGTTGGGGGGTCTGAGGCTCCCACCGCCCCTCCCTCTGGGCTGCCAGCCCCTTTGCTCTGGATGTGAACGGCTGTGGGACGTGAGCCCCCGACGTGCCTGCCGAGAGGTCCGGGGGCCACTGTGGCACCCAGCGGCCCCAAGGCTCCTGCGCCGACCTTTACAAAGCGCTTGGATGCAAATATCCGCGGACGATCGCCCAAGAGCCCTCAGTTCCAAATCTTAACTCGTTAGATGAGTTTTCCCACGGGAATACACGTAGCTGACTTTACATTTTTGAAACTCTACGAGTCTTAATTTGTTTAATCACGCCATTTCCGATGCGCCTGATGCGCATGCCCATCGGTGCTGCCGTCGTCCCCGCCGGCTGCCCTCCTGCCCAGGACGGGGCATTGGCTCTGCTGCTTGATGAGGGGGCGCGGGGGGCGTCCCTGAAACCTGTGGGCGCTGTTTGGGGCACTTGGCGGACGGGGCAACCCGGGGTCCTCACGCAGGCCCAGGCTGGGGACAGAGCGGACACGCTGAGCCTCGAGCACGTGGCAGATCCCGGTAGGAACCCGCGCTCTCAGTCTTGGTTCGCTCCCCGGTACGGCGAGCCGGACGGGGGCCTGGCTCTTTGGGATTCAGACTAAGCAGGTGTTGCTGAATTAAGGTTTGACTTTCCTGCCAGAAGCCCAGTGCCCGGCGCTCGCGTGCTTAAGCGTCTCCCGGCCCCCTCTGCTTTCCCGGGGAACACCCAGGCGGCCGAGTCAGGTGCTTTTCAGACAAGCGCTTGCTGGGCCAGAGCAAGCAAGCCCGCCCCGCCCCAGCCCCGACCCAGGGCGTCTCCGCGTGGGCCCTGCACGGACGGGGTGACCCTCTGTTTCTCTGCTTGCCCCCAGCATCTGCGTTTTCCGAGAGGTACTTGGGCCTCCATGGACTTGACAACAGGGCCTATGAGGTAGGTCCCGGCACAGCCGCCCCTTGGCCAAACGGGGGGTTTGATGGCGTTGGTCGGCTCTTCTCTGAGTTCCTCTCTCCCTCCCTCCTGAGCCCCAGCAACCCAAGCCCGCCCCTCCTCCCCTCTCCTCCCCTCCCATTGAGAAAACTTTCCAATCTCCCGGCTGCCGTTCTGTGGCCAGAGGTGACTGCGGCCCCCGTGGGTGGGCGTTCCTTCCCATTCTGGAACTTGGGGGACAAGGAAGAAGGGGGGAAGGTCTTTGGATGGCGGAGTCTGTCCCGTGGTCGTCAGAGGGTGTAGGTGTAGGTGGCCCCGGACTCCCTGGACCCAAGGCTGCCTTCCCTTTGGAAGAATAAGCTTTTGTTCAGGGGACAGACAACTCCTGAGATGCGTCCTGCTAAGTCACAGCCGTTCAGTGGCTCGATGTGGACGTCCCCACTGATGGGGCGAGGAGGCGGCCTTGGGCCGTGCAGCAGGACAGTGGCCCTGCGGTTGGAACCTTAGCGAGGACAACAGAACGGCTGGGCCAGGATGCCGTCTCCCCCGAGGCCAGCGTGTCTGTCCCCGCCCCCGCCCTTCTCCTCATCAAAGGGGGTCGCAGGGGGAAGCAGAGGTCTCTGAGCCCGCTGGGCATTTCCTTGCCCGCAGAAGCCCCCGTTCTCCAGAACTCCGATCCGGGACTCTGCCCTTCGTCCTCAGGGGCCTCCGCACACACAGCACCCTGTCCCCGCGGGACAGCTGCTAACGCTGTCCTCTTGCCCCTGCCTGTGCAGATGACCAAGGTGGCCCATCGGGTGTCAGCGCTGGAAGGACAGCAGTTCCTGATCATTCACGCGACCGCCGATGGTGAGGACCGAGGACAGCTACTCCCTGCGAATCCGGCGAAAGCAACACCCTGATGGAGTTCCGGGTGTGGACAAACACGTCCCTCTTTCTTCTTTTCTCTCAACAGAAAAAATCCATTTCCAGCACACGGCAGAGCTCATCACAGAGCTCATCAAGGGGAAGGCTAATTACAGCTTACAGGTGCGTGGCCCCACGCCCGCGCTCAGGTACGCGTGGAGGGAGACTGTCCTCTCCACGCGGAGGGGCTGAGCCGTGTTCAGTGCGGCTCCCTCTGCAGCTGACAGGCCTGTGCGCGGTTGTCGGCCCTGGGCAGGCGCCTCCCATAGGCAAATCAGCACAGGCTCATTTTTTAAGTCGTCACGATAGTTCAGCCCTGCACGCAGGCTGAGTTTAGACGTAGGCCTCCCCCGCCCCTCCACCTCCACCCTGTGCGCTGAGCAAGGCCGCCCAGCAGCCGCACCAGCCAACAGTGAGGCCGTGGCGTCCCGGCGTGTGAGGGTGGGGCCGCCGCAGCGTCAGCGGGCCCTGAGCCTTGCCACACCAGCCAGCCTCTGGGCGGCCCCACACAGTCGCTCAGCAGCAGCCAGGGGCCCGAGCCGGCCACGGCTGGGCAGTTCCCAAAGACCCCCACCCTCGCAGACTGCGACCCAAACTCTCAGCCTTCTCACTGCCCTCGAGCTCTGACTCACGGCCCAAGTGCCAGCTCTTTCCAGCGAGGCACAGTGCTGCTTCTGGAAGCTCCTTCCATCTCCTCCTCAACCGCTGGTTCCTTTGGTAAAACAAGTGTGCCCCCAGTGGGGCCCAGGGGCCGATAAAGGGGGGGACTCCCTCAACAGCCTGTCCCTCGGAGAGCCCGGCACTGGCCTCCGCCTGCCCCCTGCCCTGTCCTGCGGAGGGTCACCTGCGGGCGGGGCTGGCGGGGGAAGCTTCCGATGCAGGCGTGGACGGCCGGGGAAGGAAGGACTTGGTTCGTGTTACACGTGTGCTGCTGCTGAGATGTTGAGATCCGAGTGGACTTGGTGGCCGCCGTGGCATCCCACACACAGGGCAGAGCCACGGTCGGGGGGCTCGCGTGGGCCGCTCCCCTGGGTAGAGGCTGGTGCGGCAGCAAGGTGCTGAGCAGCACACAGCCCGGACCCCGCCTGCCGGTACAACGAGCATCTTAGCAGAGACTCGGGGAGTTGGTAACAGCGCTCAGCTCCAGACTAGGGCACAGGGCGCGGGGGCCTGGGGACCCAGAGCAGGATGAGGCGTGCTTCCTCCTATTTCTCTTTTGTTTCTAACATGTTGCCCTTGTACTAGTCGAAGTTTAACGTACATGTAATAGCTCCATGGCCTCAGGAATACATACTCTAAAATTAAGTGAATGCCATGCTTCGGAGGCGTCAGAGGAAGGCACAATTCTAAACGCAGGAGGCAGCCTGGTAACACGGAAGAAAGGGGGCTTCCAGGTCCCTTACACTAGGCTTTGAATCTGGCTGGGACAGGCGCCTTTCTGTGGAAATGGTGCAGCGCCCCTAGTGTACAGGAGGTGTCATTACACTGGCCATAGACTCATGAGCTACCATCGTTTGGGCGCACCATAGGTTCCAGACCTTGTTCTGAGCGCTTCCTGGGGATCGCAGCATGTAAGTCCCACAAAACATTACGAGCTAGATTCTGTTCCAGTGGCCATCTCCACTGGACACAACCGGAAGCTTACCTGTCCACAGCCACCCTGGGCGTGAGTGGTGAGCCAGAACACTAAGGCAGGTGGCAGCAGGGAAGCAAGACATTTTCCACACTCACGAGGCTTAGAAGAGAGCACGGGATTCTGGCCCCTTCCACAGGCGCTGCAGCCCCTGCAAGCGTAAGTCCCCACGCCGGTGTCCACGTTGCAGGTTCAGGACCCTGCAGAGCTGCTGAACCAAATGACTTCTCCCGTAGCCAACGCTGACGCCCCTGCTCCCAGACGAGCCCCCGGGCGAAGGCCCCGGAACCGTGCAGGAAGCTCACGTCGCGCGGTCACTGGGACCCGCACGGAGCCTGGCTGTGCAGCCCACGGGGAGGGTGGGCTGCGCCTCACGTCTCGCCTTCCTTGCAGATCTACCCGGACGAAAGCCATTACTTCCACAGCGCGCCCCTCCGGCAGCACCTGCAGCGCACCATCGTCAACTTCTTTGTGGAGTGCTTCAGGGTCCAGGACAAAGTCCCGGCAGCCACAGCCAAGGAGGAGGAGGAGGACTGAGCGCCGCCTGGCCGCCCCAAGCACAGCGTGGCTCTCCCTGGACCAGCGTGGGGCTGGGCACCCCGCCCCCCTCTCCCGCCCGCCCGCGCCGGGGTGGGGGGCAGGGAGCGATCCCGATCCCTAGCATGTGTGTCTCAGGCCCCGAAGGCCGTTTTGCTTCAGAAACCAGCTCCTTCCCGGGTGGAGGTGCCCAGCGCTCCCACGGGCTTCCAGGGAGCCTGGGACCGTCACAGCCTCCTGCTGGCCACAGAGCGACAGCTGTGTCCCATGGCCGCCCCCGGGAGCAGAGGACGGCGGCCGTGAGGAAGCCAGCCCGAGCTTGAGCTGTCCGGCAGCGGTGTTGACGCTCGCCTGCCCGGAGCGCCGCGTCCCCGCCGGCAGCACCGCATCCCGTCTGATATAACCACGCCATGGAAACAACTAGAGCACAATCCCTTTAACAGCACTGCATAGGTCGGCTTGCTCCTGTCTGTCCTGAGACGTTCGGCCTCTCACGGGGCTGTGCGCACGCAGCCCCGCTGTAGCTACGCTAGTGGTTAACCTTCTGGAATTAATTCGTATTTTTCTATGGTTTTTACCTGCCACTGTCTGCAGTCCTGGGGTCGTTTCTCTGTGCTGGGTCAGTCGGCCGGTGGGTCTGTCTGTCCCTTATCCTTGGTTTCGCTTTGCTTTCTTCAGCCTGTGCGTCAGCTTTGCGCTTGTTTGTGAGAAGAACAGACCGGGAGTGAGTGCTCGCTGCTCAAGGCCGGCCTTAGACTTGACGGAGATACTTCAACACGCGGAGGAAAAAGACATCCCGCCCTACTTCCTGAAACAAGAAAGTACATAAATAAAAGCTCTCTCCCGCCCAGCAGCAACAGGGTTTGCTTAGATCCTCATTGTCTGTTTTCCAGTGTCCCCAAGTCTGTCCTCTTCCTCCTCGGGAAGTTGTCAAGTCTGTCCTGATGACATTTGGGTTAAAAAAAAAAAAAAAAAAAAACGTAAAAAGACACAGTGTGGACTCCACTGCAGGTCTGTCACGTGGGCTCGGGGGATGGGAGCCCTTGAGGAGAGTGGGCGTTTCTGGTCATCGCCCCCCTGCCCTGGGGACGCTGGGCGACCGCCCCGCCACGTGGAGGAGCCCCTGGACGCTGGGCGGCGCCCACGCCCCGCCGCCTGGAGGGGGCTGCGTGCGTTTCACTCCATTGTATATAAAGACAGGCACGTGCGCCGGGTGTCTCACCGTGTCCCCGGCCCCTCCTGCGGTTCCCGTCCCATGTCACTCGCATGCCGGCTCTGGCCTGCACACTCTCTACGTGCTCGGTTGACACCTGTCACGGCCGTTCCCTCTGACACGTGTCCCCCACCTGAACGTCAGTCCTGACTTCTCCAGCCTCCGTCCCACCGGGGGCGGCGGGGGGAGAGGGGGCTTTGGCACCTCGTCCGCAGAGAGAACACGTCCGTGTCCCCTGGGGGTCTGACCATCACCACCGCGAGCCGGGGAGCTCCCTGGAAAGATCTCCAGGGCGCGGCTTTTTCAGGCGACACATCGCCGTGTGTGGAAGGCGTCGACGCGCCGACCTGCGGGCCCCCGGGAACGGGCGCGGCCATGCTTTTGCTGGGTGCCCATGGGCTCGGAGCTCTGGCCGCGAGGCCTGGCGGGCGGGGCGTGGGAACGCGGCCTGGTGCGTTTGTGCGTCCACGGAATAAAACATTATTTTGCCACTCGGAGAGCTCTCTTCTTCCCTGCGCGCCAGCCTGAGGGTGTGCAGGGCAGCGAGAGGTCTTTCAGGTGCCCGCTGAGCGCTGACCTGGGCGGAGGCGGGGCACCCGCGGGGCTGGCCGTAGGCAGGACGGGACCGGAGAGGCCCGGGCCAGTCAGGACAGCGAGTGCGAGTCCCCTCGGGAGCGCGCTCGGGTGACGACAGGCGTCCCCGTGCTGGAGGAACGCGGCCCCCCGGGAGGCCGCAGGGCTGCCCAGCACGGGACCTCGCAAACAGCTGCTCCAGTGAGACATCCGTTCGCCCGTGTCTCATGGAGTCGGTCGCCCCGGTGTAGACGGCGCCCAGCCGCAACGCAGGAGGGCTGATGCGATCGGCCCAAGCCCCCGGAGAGGCCGAAGGTCAGCGCAGTGCCCACCGCCTCCCCCGGCGGGCCAGCCGCGTCTCAGCGCCTCCCTCCGCCTGGGCTCCGTGAGCAGGGTCTGGGGGCGCCCCGGGCTCCGGTCCTGAGAGGCCGGGCTCCCTTCCGCAAACTGGGAGCCCCGGGGGCCGTTCTCTCTGAGGTCAGCCCCCCACCCAGCCCCCTGCAGCACGGATAGGGGCTCTAAAGCCCATGGGGGGCGAGGGGTCGCCCAAAGCCACACAGCGGGGCAGCCGGCGCCCCTTCCCCTCGCCTTGCCGTGTTTTGCCTCGCCCTGAGCTCTGAAGCCGGAGCCCCCGGGGTCTGGACTGGGCCTCTGGGGTCTCCCCGTCCCCGGCGCAGGGCCCCCAGCACGGCTGGCCAACACGGCGCCCGGCTCGCTGGGAACGGAGGTCAGAGGTTAGCCCCTGAACCCGCGGCAAACTGCCGGGGTTTCCAGTCCCCACGCGGCTCTGGCCCGTCTCTAGGTCCCCCTCGTGGCTCAGCCGACCGACCAGCATCGTGAAGTGGGGCGAGAGTCACGAGTGATGCCTGCGGACAGAAGGGCCCGGATCAGTGCCCCCCTCAAGCCCCCGAGCCCCAGGACAACCGCGCGCTCACGAAGCGCCGCGCTGAGCTCGCGCTCCTCTGAGCTCGCCCCTTCCTCGGTCACACACGCCCTCAGCAGAGGACCCTGAGGCTCAGGCTCTGGCCCCAAACCGGCAGGATCCTGCATGGCTATTTCCGAGCACACGGACGGGCCCTGGGGACCGCGCTTCCGGGCTGCGCGGAGGGTCGGCCGCCGCCGTATGTCCACCGGCGCTCCCACGCGGCGCCCACAGTCCCTGCCACAAGCCTCGCAGCCCCCGCGAGCTTCCCGGGCACTCAAATGCTGCTCAGTTCACTCTACAGGGCAAGAGCTTCCTGCTCCCCGTGGGCAGGGGTGGGGGTCCGAACCACCAAACCGTGACTTGCCTCACCTGTGACCCCGAGCCCCGATTTATTTGGGCAACTGTATCTGCCCTAACACCGTCCTGCCAAGTGGGACCGCCGGCCCACGCCTGCGTGCTGCACACTCACCCACTCACGCCCACAGTCACACACACATGCGCTCACATGCCCTAACTGCAAACACATGAACACAACGCACACTGTGACATACATACACATGCACATGCACACACAGCCCGCCTGGACGCCGTTCCCGCCCCTTCCGTCTACAACGGCGGCTCCGCTCAGCGAGACCCCTCCCAGCATCAGTGCCGCGAGCCCGTTAGGGGGCCTGAGGCCGCGTCCGGCCGGTCAGCGTGACTTGCCGAGTGTCTGGGTGGCAGCCAAGAGGGGTGGCCAGGCCCACAGACGCGCTGCGCCCAGCCTCCGTGTGGGGCCGTGCCCCCCAGACACGGTGGGCGGGCATTCTCAGAAGGGGCCGTGCAGTGAGGGGCGCCTCCGCCCACGAGGCCCCTGGCGGAGCGGACGCCCGGGCCTTCCGCTGCAGCTGCGGCGCGGGCCCGTCGCGGCCACGTTTCTTCGTGGAGGGGACAGTATTTTAAAAGTAAATCTGTCTGGCCGAGTCCTACACAGAGCCACGGCCGATTCGCTGACGGGGAGGCCAACGGCCCGGCCGCGCCCTGACCTCTGCTCGGAGTGCGTCAGCCGGCTGCGCTCTCTGCACGGCCGTTTGGGCGGAAACGTCCACGGTCCCTGAGAGTCAGGCTCCCTGAGTGACACACTCACGCGCTCGGAGAAGGAGGACTCCACCCACTGAGCTGGGCTTTCCCCGAGCGCCTGGCGTAGGGCCCAGAGAAAACCGGGAACAGCCTGGGGCAGAGGTCCGCTGCCTGCTCTGGGGTCACACCTGGCGCCCCCGCCCCCCGAAGGCGGAGCCTCTGCCCCAGGGCGGGTCGGAGGAGGGGAGGGCAGCTGTGGCCAAGCTCAGAGGGGCTGAGCCTCCTGAGCCCCTGGCACAGCAGGAAGGCGTCTCTCTGGGCGACCCCAGTCCCCTGCACCGCAGGGGTGGTCCTGAGCCCTGGGGTCTCCTGCCAGAGTAAACACTCCCCCACCCCCCGTGTCTGTGGGTCCCCGAGGGGTCTCAGCGCGGGGCCAGGCTGGCGAAGGGCAGCGCCCAGCTGTCCCCAGCCCCAGCCACGTCTCCTGTCTGTCAGGTGTTCACGTGCACAGCTGAAGGCTGTTAAGTTTAGTCAAATCGCAAAACGCAGCTTAATGGCGATCAGGAGAGGCGGCTCGGCATCAGGTCATTGGCTCTGAGCCGCCAGCTGGGGCCGACCCTCCAGCTCCCGCAGCCGGACCCCCAGGATCCCGAGGCCCACAGCCGCCCCACCCACTATCCTGCAGTCGCTGGCCCTTTCTGTTTTGTTTTTTTAAAAAGATTTTATTTATTTTTAGAGAGAAAGGAAGGGAGAAAGAGGGAGAGAAACATCAATGTGTGGTTGTGTCTTGTGCGCCCCCTACTGGGGACCTGGCCCGCAACTGTGGCCTGTGCCCTGACTGGGAATCGAACAGGCAGCCCTTTGGTTCCCAGGCTGGCGCTCAGTCCACTGAGCCACACCAGCTGGGGCGTCCCTGGCCCTTTCTCATTGTCCCCGCCCAGCCCTGCGGGGTCAGCACAGTGAGGTCCTGCCCAGCACGCATCTTCTGAGTCTGTTGAACTTCTCTAGCTGGACCAGAACTTCTTTATGCACTAAATACCGTGCCGTACTGGGAAAGGGGCGACTCTCGTGGCTGTCCCCCCAAGCCGTGGCAGATGGCCACGGTTAAATAACCGGCAATGGTATGGCAGGTCCCTACACTCACCAGCAGCCAGCCGCCCACCCTCTCCCACTGCCAGCCTCCCACCCATGACTCCCTCTCACAAAGAGCCTCCCAGGGAGGAAGGCGATGGGGCCAGCAGCCAGCCCCGTGGGCGACCAAGGCCCTAGCTGGGCGTTGCCCTCAGACAGCGCCCTCTGTGAGCGGTGAAGGGACACACACTCAGGCCTGAGCCATCAGCCTCCAGGGCAAGGCGAGGAGAAGGCATGTCTGCAGGCTGGAGAAGCAAGGAGTCTTTTTTATTTTTTTAAAGCCTCACAACTTAAAGGGAGGGAGAAATAGAGGGAGGGAAACATCCATGTGTGGTTGCCTCTTGTGCGCCCCCTACTAGAGACCTGGCCTGCAGCCCAGGCAGGTGCCCTGACTAGGAACCGAACCGGTGACCCTTCGGTGCACAGGCCGGCGCTCAGTCCACTGAGCCGCACCAGCCGGGGCCAGGGCACGAGGGGGCCGAGCCTCGGTCTAGCTGAGAAACATCCACGCCTGCGCGGAATTGCTAACGGGTTTATTTGAGCCAGAGGGACGTTGGCGCCGGGAGCCAGGCGCTCCAGACAGTGACAGTTGGCCGTTTCTTTACTGATTTTGGAATTGAGGAGGGAATGTAAGGAAGTCAGGTACGGGCGGGAGAAGGCGGGGCGGGGCCGGGTCATGGCGCGGGGCGGGGCTCACAAGGCTACTGCGCTCTGGAGGACGGTCGCAGTCTGCATCCGAGGGGCGCTAACAGGAACGGACCCAGGTCCACTTCCAGCGGGGGCGTTACGCGCCCGGGCAGCCCGGCCACAGGGCCTGCCCAGGCAGAGGCGTGCCCCAGGTCATACGGGAGGGCCGTGCACCCGGCCTTAGAGAGCGCAGCCATTTCCCGGGGCTGCTCCGTGCCCACACGCGCCCCGCCTGCGGGTGGCGTGCGCTCTGCTTTCGGGAGTCGCCGCAGGGGATGAAAAGTGCGCCAGGGGGGACTTGGACCGGCTGGCAAATTGGAAAGCCGATGCTTCCGATGGTCCGCGCCAGCCCGAGAAGGTGAGCGGGGAGCGGCCTCCCTGCTCGCCGGCTGCTCCTGAGGCCGCGCCCCGTTCGGCTTTTGGCGCTGCCCCGCGCGGTTCAAGGCGGTGGCCCGGAGCCCGGCCCCTCCGAGCGAGGCGGGACCCGCGCAGCTCCCGGGGCGGGTCTCAGGCCCCGCCCCGAGCTTTCCCCGCTGTTCTCCGCGCCGCCAGCAGAGGGCAGCAGAGGACAAGCGCTGGGCCCCTTGCAGCTGGCAGCCCCGACCACGGCCGCGTGGGCCTCCGTGCCACCGTGGGAGCCGGACGCTGAGCAGGGCCGTGCGAGAAGGCCACGAGCGGAAACTTAGGGCAACTTAGGAAGCTGTCCCTCAGTGCAGGGGCTTCGGGGCAGGGGACGGGTGCAGCTTCCAAGGACACGGCTCCTGGGATGGGCGGGCTCCTAGGAGCCGCAGGGCGGAGGACGGAGTCGGAAAGCTCAGAGCCGCGGCCCGGGAAGGGCGGGCTCCGATGCCCCGCCCCCGGAAGCGTAGGCACCACCCCGAAGGCTGCGCCCGCCCAGCGCTGGGTCTCAGCCTGCAGGGCGCCTGTGAAGCCTGTGGACCGAAGAGGGAGCGGAACCTCCCAGGCGCGCTTATCCTCACCCGGGCCCTGGGCCGCCACGGGGCCCTCGGGCCCCCGGCCCACGGCTTCTTTACTGAAAGGCTTAGCTTTGCCCTCAGCCAGCCCGGGCCATCATGCCTCCGGACTGGCACACCTTTGAGGTGTGAGCAGTTAGCGCCCCTGGCGCGGGAGCGCCCCCAGGAGAGGTATTTGCATCCCTGCCTTGCGTCCTCTCATCTCCTGAATCGTCCTGAGGGTCCCTCCTGCCCTCAGACGCTGGCCATTACTCCCGAGGGCATCTGAGGTCTCGCTCCTGCCTCACGCCTCCGTTTGGCGCGGATAAACTCTTATTAGCCACTCTCCACAGGTGCGGATGGTGCTTAGGTCTCCATCGGCTGCAGCAAGAAGCCAATTAGAGGCAACGAGGCCCCCGCTGGGCATGGGGAGCGGGGAGACGGGCGGGGACGCCGTCCGGCCAGCAGGTGGCAGCATCGGGCCGAGCGATTCTTGGCTCGCCCCCGGCGCGGCGTCGGGGGCGGTGAGGGCAGAGGCTGAGCCACCCTTGGACCTCACGGTGGGGCGTTGCCGGTGACCAGGACTTATCCGCAGGGCCGGGGCACCGGGACACAGAACGGAGGAAATGTGTCGGATCCCGCTCCCGCGAATCCTCCCCTGTCCCCACGTGTGGCTCAAGTCCACGTCCAGGCCGGCTGGTGACCGCCGCGGGTCCCAGAGAACCCGGGGCGGGGGCACAAAGGCAGGCCCTCTGAGCGGTGAGGCCAGGACCGCCTCCTCCAGGACCGCCTCCGCCAGGACAGCGGACCCCACACCACCGCCACCAGCTCGTCATGGTGGGGGAGAAACACCTGGTGGCGTGGGCGCCAGGCGCCGCTGGTCCCAAGCTGCTGGTCGGACTCTGAATCTGTTCTCATGGCTTGAGTCCGCCCGGCGCCTCTGCCCAGACCGGGCCACGTTCCCGCAGGGGCGTGGGCGGGGACCCCCCGCCCGGCTGCTGCGCCTGTGGCCCTCGGTTCGGGGACTGTCTGCGGGGTCGCTGTGGCTGCCATCGGCCACCCCCGCGCCCCGTCCTGAGCTATTGTTCCCAAGAGGCTGCCTAGTCTCCCGGGCCCCACCCGGCCCCGGAGCCGCCGCGTGCGCGAGCCCCTCCCCGGGTCTTAACTTTGTGGCCGCCGTAGCCTGACTCAGAAGTAACTTTGTTTTTATACAAAGCAGAGAGGCTTTCAGAAAAGTTCAGCTGAACTGCGGGGGAAACAGATCACATAGCTGGGGGGGGGGGGGGCTGTGCATTTGTGTGCGCATGCGACTGAGTGTGCGCATGGGCGTGTCCGGAGCCGGCGTGGGGAGCCCGCCGGCCCCCGGGTTGACCCCGGCGTTGTGGGGAGCGGAGGGCAGGCGCGCGGCGCGGCCGGGCCGCAGTGGCCGGTGAGGGCCCGGGAGGCCCTCCGTGCCCGGGAGTCGACTCCCTACACTGACGGGGGATGGCGGCCTTCCCGGAGTTACTTCCTTCGGAAAGGAAGTTGGGAGGACGTATTTTTCCTTGAAGGTACTTCGAGTGGATCCAGCTTGCTGGACAACCCATAAATTATGCAAAAAATACAAAACAACAAGGGATCGCCCAACTCTAAGTCAAGTTCAAAAGTACATTTATTTAAAATGTGGGCAAGATATCAATATAAAAGAAAAGCATATAAGGAATACAAATAAAGTACAAAACATTCCAAGTCTTCAATTCCATAATTTAGAGATAGCAAGTCTTATTTACACCCTTCACTTGTAGCTCGAATTCCCTTAACAGTGTCTGAAAACATCTAAAAACCCGGCAAAGAAATCATAAAACCTGATGTGGACTCTTAAAAGTCATTTAATACAAAACATAATTTATGTTCCTCAATAAAATCGCACATCTTAAAAAGATGCAGTATATTTAATTAAACGTGTTCTCCGGCTCCAAACGCTGTCGCCTCTGGAAGCAGCTGGAAAACGAGGTGGGCGGGCAGGGGCGGGGCCGCTGGCAGAGCCCGCGCTGGGGGCGCGCGGCACCGGCACCAGCACCAGGGTGGCACCGTCAGTTGAACTTGTACGTGGGCTCGCTCAGGAAAACCACCTCCCCGAACGAGCCAGGCAGGGCGGTGAGGCAGGCCCGGCGCGGCGACCCCGCCCTCCTCCCGACCCTCCCCCTGCGGCACCGCCCCTCCCGGGCCACCCTCAGGGCGCCCCACCCACCCGGGCCACCCCCAGGGCGCCCCACCCACCCCGGGCGCCAGCCTGTGGGGGCCGGAGGGCGTGGTGACCCCCACGAGGCCAGCCCGCACCTGCTCAGCCTGCCGGGCACAGTGGCGCCTGAGCGCGCGCGCTCAGGCCACAGGGGCGGACCCCGCCCCGAGGTGACTCCCACAGACACACAGGGCCGTGTTAGCAGCTCTCCCCCCACAAAGGGAAGGCCCCCCACACGCGTGTGCCTGGGAGAAAAACCTAGAAGGGCAGAGCCTGTGACGTGTCAAAACAGGACGCCCCCGCCGTGCCCCTGGGCCGCTGGCCCCTTCCCCCGCTGGCCCCTTCCCCCGCTGGCCCCGGCCCCGGCCCCGGCCCCCGTCCAAAGGATATGACTCGTAGTCCAGCGTCTGCGTGAGCACCCCGGTGAGCACGAACTCCGCGTTGTGAACGTCTGCGGGCCGCGGAGACAGCGCGGTGAGCAGCGCGTGCGCCCCCGCCCGGCCCGGCCCAGCCCCCGCCCGCGCCCCTGGGAGCCCCCGCACCGATGCCCCGGGCGAAGTACTCGCGGCACAGATGCAGGTCGTTCTCGCAGGAGATGAGCACAACCTCCGACAGGCTCTGCGGGAGAAAGGCGCGTGTCGGCCGGTGGCGGCCCGCTGCGACCCGTGGCCCCGGGGGAGGGGGGGTCCGGTCCCGCGGGGCCCACCTTGTTCTGCCGGTGCTCCAGCAGCCTCCGGAAGGACGGCGGCTTGGACAGCACCTTGCCCCCCGCACACTCTACGATCGCCTTCATCGTCGACAGGCTGGGGCAGATCCCGGGCGTGATGTAGAAATACTTTGCCTGAAAATAACACCGCAGGCAGGCGGGCGTCAAGCACGTCGGCTGGGTGAGCCCTCCGCCTTCCCGGCCTCCGTCCTGGCGTCTCCAACGGGCCGGTCCAGCGCCGCCCGGAGGGACCCGCTGCTCCCGGGAGGTCTCCGCACACTGACGTCTGCGGACCTGTCACCCCCAGAGGTCGCGGGAACGTACAGGCCTCACGCACAGGACGTTCTCTGCGACAGTACCAAGAGTGGCAAGTGTTTGCCTCAGTTTCTATAAAATTCTAATTAGCACCATAATAACCACGATTATCTGTCAGAGAGAATGACAAAGCTCCTGGACTCCTTATCTGTCATCTACATTTAATTTGGACTCAAACCAAGGAGAAAATGACTTTGATGGTTAAGATTTATTTTTCTGAAAATGAAATTCCTGAACTTCCGGTCACGACAGAGGCGTAAGTAAACATGCTTCATCTCCTCGCACAACCACAGAAAAAACTGCAACCAGCCCTCAACACAACACCCAGAACCGCCAGAAAACTGACCTGTATGAAAGTCCTACAACCAAGGACTTAAAGAAGCCACATCCATCCAGACGGGGAGGAGGGGCAGAAAAAGGTGTCGCCAGGAGAGGCGCTGAAACCAAGGGTCCCACATCCACGTGTGGTGGATAAAAATCGGGACGGACACCTTGCGAGCAAGGACCCCAGGCCAGACCGCACTGCCCAGGCTCCCGCACCAGGAAGGTAAACCCCCGTAACCTCTAGCGGCACAAACCAGCAGGGGCTGGGGCGGCAGAAGACACTGCATCCTCTTAAAGGGCCCGCAATGGATTAGGACTCACGCAGGCCCACTCCTCTGGGACTCAGCACCAGGGCAACAACTGGAGAGGCAACAGTTGCCCACGGGGAGAAAGTGAAGTGACCGGAACCAGGGCAAGTGCCGGGCCAACCTCCAGAGGCCAGGCGGCGGCCCTGTTCCTTCTCTGGCCCCCCTCCCCCAACTCAGAGCCACAGAGCGGAGAAGCAGGTTGCCCCGCCCTGGCTATTACCTGAGGCTCCGCCCCACACAACTTACAGGCGCCTTTTCTACAACAGGCCACGCTCCCGAGACAGGGAGTCCAAGCAGCTCTACCTGACACACAGGGTCAAACACAGGGAGGCTGCGAAAATCAGGAGACAGAGACATAGGGCCCAAATGAAAGAACAGAACAAAACCCCAGAAAAAGTACTCAGTGAAACAGAGGCAGCCAAGCGGTCGGAGGCAGAGTTCGAAACGCCGCTGTCAGGACGCCCCAGGAACTCAGAGGTGCAGCAACAACGTGCAGGAGACCCCGGCAGAAACGAAGATTACGTTCAATGAACTAGAGAAAAACACGCAGGGAACCAGCCGTGGAGGGGAGGAAGCCAGGGCTCAAACCAATGATTGGGAACATGAGGGGGAACTAAATATTCACTCGGAACAGCAGGGAGAAAGAACAACTCAAAAAAACGAGGACAGACTGAGGGGCCTCTGGGGCATCTCCAAACGTCCCAACATCCGAATCACGGGGGCGCCAGGAGGAGAAGAGGAAGAGCAAGAAACTGAAAACTTACTGGAAAAAATAATGAAAGAAAACTTGCTCAATCTGGCAAAGTAAACAGACATGCAAGTCCAGGAAGCACAGAGAGTCCCAACCAAGATGGACCCAAAGAGGCCCACGCCAAGACACACCACAGTTAAAATACCAAAGAGTAAAGATAAAGAGAGAATCTTAGGAGCAGCAAGAGAAAAACAGCGAGTTCCCGCCAAAGGAGCTCCCATAAGATGTCAGCTGATTTCTCAAGAGCAACCTTGCAGGCGAGAAGGGGCTGGAAAGAAGTATTCAAAGCGATGAAAAGCAAGGACCTACAACCTAGATCCCTCTACCCAGCAAAGCTACCGTTTAGAACGGAAGGGCAGATGAAGTGCTTCCCAGACGAGGCAAAGTGAAAGGAGCTCACCATCACCAAGCCCTTATTATATGAAATGTAAAGGGACTTATTTAAGAAAAAGAAGACCAAACACTATGAACAGTAAAACGGCAACAAACACAACTCTCAACAACTGAACCTAAACAAAACCCAAAACAAACGAAGCAAACACCCAGAACAGGAACGGAATCACAGAAATGGAGGTCACACGGAGGGTTATCGGTGGGGACGGGGTCGGGGGAGACTCGGGAAAAAGGCGCAGGGACTAAGGGGCGTAACTGGCAGGTGCAGAATGGCCCGGGGAGGCTGAGAACAGCGTAGGAAACGCAGACGCCGAAGGACTTGTGGGCACGCCCCACGGACGTGAACTGGGGGGGGGGTGTTGGGGGGAGGTGCCGCGTGGAGGGGGATAGAGAGAAAACGGGACTGTAATAGCATAATCAATAAAATGTATTTCCTAAAAAAGACTTACTTTTCTAACACCCTGCTCCTAAGTGCACCATAAAACGCTGCTTGTTTTGAACTACCCGTAGGAACCCAAGCATTGAGAGAAATCCGACTATTTTAGGTAAGACCCATCTTAACTGACTACTGCCAATCTTTTCAAGTTTCTCAGCTGCCTCGTAACAAACGTAAAAACACAGACGACCTTCATTCATTTACTCGGCCACTTGGACACAAAACACGTCCCAGAGCGTCCTAGATGCCCCATGTGACACACGCTTCAACGTCCGCAGCCCGAGCCACCCGGGCACGCGCCCGATTCACGATTCACGTATTCACGAGGCCCGCGTCCCCGCGGCCGCGCGCCCAGGCAGCGCCGCCGAGTCCCCTCCACCGCGGAGCGGCCCCCTCTCCCTGGCAGGGCTCCCCAGTCCCGCCGGACGGCGCCCCGGGCGCGCGGCCCGCGGAGGAGCCGGCTCAGTTACCTTGAAGAGCGGGGCGGAGTGCGCCCTCTTCAGGGACTCTTCCAGGCTGAAGGAGAACAGCACCTCGGCCTCGGCGTCTCGGAGGAGGTAGTTCTGCTCGTCTGCAAGCCGGACACGGGCGCTCAGGCGGCGGTGGCCGCACGGGGCCCTCGCGGAGCCCACCCACCGCGCCCTCCACAGGCCCCGCTGGTGGGCGGACGCCCCTCCGCCCAGGTCCGCGCTGGACCCCTGGAAACCTGGGGCGGCCCGGCCCGCCTGGACCCGAGGGACCCTGGACTCAATTAGCTCATCACCAACAAACGAACTGTCATCCGTTTACCAAAAACACATTATTCTAAGTACGGGAAAGTATACGGACATCCACAAGGATAGTTTTACCAAATTTTGAAGACTTCTGAGAATTTTTAATCAGTTTTCAGAGTTTTCACAGTAACACTTGAATAAATAGCAAAGTGTCCTAATCTTCTTATGAGCACGCCTCCCAGTCTTCGCCGGGGGCGCGGGGGGGGCGGGTATGTGTGTCCGTAGACCACACAGCACTACCCGCAGCGCCAACCGGGGATGCGCTCACCAGACGCACCGAACGGGAAGGGCCCCGACCCGCGGTCGGCAAACTGGGGACACAAAAGCAGGACGTGTGGGCCACCTCGGTCCATCACGCGCCCCCTTCCTGTCGTTCTAACGCAAGCTTCAAGGCCGCGAACACCCTCCCAGCGGGTGGGCGGGTGCGCGCGTCCTGGGCGGAAGCGACCGCCTCACAGGGGACGGCCGGAGTGTGACACAGCTAGAAACACATGCTCCGTGCACCAGCCACGCGCAGGGACACGCGGTGGAAGAAGCCAGAGACGTCACACTACACACGGGAGGGAAAAAGGACGGACCAAAAGGGCCTGCCACACAGGCAGCGCCGACGGTGAGTGAGGCTCCCCGGGGCGCCCCGCGGGGGGGGCCGCCCCCAGGAGCAGACGGGCCGGCGCTGAGAGGGAGCCCGGCGAGGGACCCCGCGAGCACGGGGGGCCCGGGGCGGGGCGCGGACGCGGGGCTGCCGGCCACACCGCGGCGCCGCCCGCTCACCGATGAACTTCTGGCAGCGGAAGCTCTCGTCCAGCCACTCGGGGGTCACGATGTGCTTCACCACGGAGACGGCCGTCAGGAACTTGACCGTGCGCGTGACCTTGCTGGCGATGAGGTGCGTGCACTTGGACGCGGACTCAGCGATGTCGCCGCCGAGGATGTACAGCTTCTGGAGGCGGAGACAGAGAGACGGTGAGGGCTCCGCCCGGCGTCCACGCTGCCCGGACACACACACGGAGGAACCGGTCCTCGGCCACGGCCAGGAGCGCGGGCCAGAGCCGCCCGCGGCTCTGCCGCAGAGAGGAGAGGCGGGCGCGCGAGGCCCGTTTCCGCGACCGGTCCCACAGGAGCTCAGCTCCGACCAGACGCCCACGGGACGCCGGCTGCACAGCCCCGTGAGGGCCGGGCTCCCCCCGTGGTGACCGAGGACGCACTCGGGCCGGCGGAGCCCAACCGCCTGCTCCTGAGGCGCTCAACCTCCTGTCCCTGACTTTATCTTGTTGAAGGCTTTTACTTATTTATTTTCAGAGAGAGGGGAAGAAAGAAAGAGAGGAAACCTCAGCCTGTTGCCTCTCCCACGTCCCGCCCGGCCCCCGACCGCGGACCGGGCCCGCAACCCCGGCCTGTGCCCAACCGGGGAGCGAACTGGCGCCGCTTCGGTCCGCAGGCCGGTGCTCAACCTCCTGAGCCACACACACTGGCCAGGGCGGTCCCTGTTTTTAAAAACAAGGGCACGAGGACTCTGTGATGACACACAGGAAAAATGGTCTCAGCGTCGCTGCCTTCGAAAGTGAAAAAACGGAATCGTCCCAAGTTGACGACAGAAGCATTTATAACCGTCCGTCTTTCTTACAGGTGAACTGTGTGAACACGTGACACAGGCCGACGCACTCCTGGCCTGCCCCCCCGCCCCAAAACCCCAGCCACACACTCCCAGGCCCCCGGGGCTGCCGGCTCCGCAGCGGCGTCTGACCTTTGTGGCCCACAGCCCCCGTCAGACCCCCGACCGAGAGGGCTGCCCGAGGGGGACGTCTGGGTGAGGGACCCTCGCAGCCTCGAGGGCATGACCGGAGGCCGCTGTGCTCCCTGCACCCGCGGCCCGGAGCCCAGGGAGCGGGCGGGCAGCCCCCCGGCGGCGGCACTAGGACGGCCGCCGGTGCGCGCCCAGCTGGGAGGGAGCCCCGTGCGCCGCACAGCCGGTCACCTTGACGTACTGCTGCACCTGGGCAGGCTCGAACCCCGTGAACAGCACCGCGGGCGCCAGCTCCGGCGCCAGCTTCTTGGTGGGCGGCGGGATGTCCTCGATCCTGTGAGGCAAGCACAGACCAGCAGGGCAGCGTTGCTGTTTACTTTGACAGAGTTCTTTGGAAGACAAGGCACTTGTGGCTGCCCCAAGCATTCCTGGCCTTGCGTGTGAGCGGCGTCCCGGAGGGGACACGCGGTGAGTGAGCACCGTGTCCAAGTTTCTTACCAGCGCACGGGGACCCACCCCCGAGGACCGCCCGGCACCCGCGGGCAGGACCCCGACTCTCAAGTTAACAATAATTTTTAGAAACTGGCTTTCAAGGGAAAGCAAAGCCTCAGGCTGGGCCCGCGCGGTGGTGTCCCGGCCCCCACGGCCCCAGCAGCCCCGAGCGGCGGGACCCAGGCAGACACTCGCCACGAGAGCTCAGCCTCTTCGTTCCCTTACGTTTTTCAAATCCCGCTGTTAGCTCGTATTTCCCTGAGACGGCCCAGGGAAAACAAATCGTATTTGTGGCATTTCAGTAACAAGTCTTAAAAAGGTCATCATGTAATTCTGGTTTTACTACAAGATTCACTGATTCACAAATCGCGTGGCAGTGGGAGGAAGGCAGGGAGCTGGGGGGCAGGGGAGAGAAGAGACCAGGAGACTGGGGACAGCGAAGGACAGCCGAGCCGTTCGCCTGTCCCCGAGCCCCCCGGCGGGAGACGGCTCTCCACGCTCAGGACAGAGCGCGCTGCCTCGGCCGGCCGTGCGGCCCCCGGCGGCACTTTCGGGGGCGCCCAGGCCTGGGGTGCCAGTAAGGTGCTGCTTGAAGAACAGGATTCAAAAAGGTTTTTTTTCTTTTTCAATAAGGAAGAAAAAGAAAACCAGGCTATCCCCCATTTATCTCCAGCAATAGAATGAGAAACGTCGCTGCGAAGCTGTGAAGCGGCAAGCAGACCCTTTCCAACCCGATTCACCGGGAAAACGTCAGAAGGGCCCCCACCGCCTCCCGCCCTCCCGCCCGGGGGGACGGCCCACCAGGCTGGGGGGCAGCTCGCACCTGGGTCTCTTGGAACAAGGCTGGGTGTTCGTCCCCTCGTTCTGCTTCAGTTTGGGGGAGGGTCTCAGACCCTGGAATTGAAACAGAATTTACTTTAGTCAACCCCCTCCCCGCCCGGGGAAGGCAGGGGCCTCCGAGATCTGCGCACGCGACCCCGGCGCCCATCGCCGCAGGACACGCCCCCCGCAGCCTGGCATCTGCGCAAGCGCAGAACGGCCACCGCGAGTGAGGGCAGCAGGCGATGCGCCCAGAAACGTGGGGCCCCGCCTGCCTCCTGTTCACCGAACCGTCACCTCCCGGGACCTCTCAGAACGTTCCGGTTTGCACTTCCAGCACCTCGTCCTGCACCCCCACTTACAACTTAGGAAACACGCTCAGTGCAGTTACACCCCTAAAAACAGCAGACGCCCCACCCCTGACCCAGCGAGGCCACCTCCAAGGGACACAGGCCGGACACGACAGCCAGCCCGGCGGCACTACTGCGGGCCGGCCGGGTGCCCCGGGGCCAGGCACAGCCGCCAGGCCAGGCACAGCCTCGCTCCGGGGGAGCGAGGGCCCCCACTCGGCCTCCCAGCTCGGCCGCGGGCTTCTTCCAAAAAGACATTTGCTTGGTTTACTATTTGAAACAACTGCCTTTAACCTTTCGGATGACCCCCCGCCCCCCAGAGCCCACGTCCCCTCACGTGGCCGCTGCCCGGAACCGCCAAGAGCAGCACATGCACAGCCCGGGGCGGGGCCCGCCCACTCTGGGCCCCTCCGGACGCGGGGCCGGGCTCTGCCAACACCGGCAGGGAGGTCTGCCTTCCTCTCCCAAGCCAACCGCCCTCCACTCCCTACGGCCCTCCATCGGGTGTAGTCCCCAGACAGCACTCGCTGGTGGCAAGGACAGAGACCGGCGAGGGACCGGCGGTGGGGGGCCTCGGCAGCCCCCACGTGGTCGGCCTTCTGTGACTGACGGAGCCACGAGAAACCTGGGCCGGACGCCGCCCGAGGACACGCGCCGCGAGGCCGGGGAAGGGGACGCCGGCGACCACGTTCCCTCTTGACGGGAAAAGCAGCCGCTGCAGCTCCTCCTCCACGTGCGTCGGGAGAGGACCTGCTTCTGCCGACACATCGCGGCAGGTCACGTGCCATCAGAGAGAGGGCGCGTGTGGCCCGGGTCCTGAGCAGAGGAAAGCAGCCCCTGGGCCTCCCGACCGGGCCGCGTGGAGCGTCGACACCCGCCATGCAGCCGGCGGCCAGGACACCGTCCCTGGCCGGTGGGGGCCGCGGCGCAAACCCTCCCCCTGCAGCCTACGGGGGGGCGGCAACCGCCAGGCAGGACACAGAGTCCCGCGCAGACACACCGGGGGACAGCGGGCCGGGACACCTGCCCCTTCAGGTTCCACGTCCCCAGGACAGCAGGACGGTGCGGCCTCGGGGCCGCGAGAAGGGAAGGCCTCTGGCGAGAGGCTGGGACAGTCACGGGGAGCAGCTGTGCTGTCAGGAAAACCGACAACGCCCCACCCACCGCACCTCAGGGGAGAACGGGCGCCCGCACGGGGAGGGCCCCCCACACCGCGGGGACCTCAGCCCCTGCGACGGGGCCCCGCCTGCCGTCTGAGGACACCGCATCGCCGCCCGTGGGCCCCGCTGCCGCCCAGGCGAGCCCGGGGGCAGCCCCAGCCCCCGGCGCCGCCGCGGACCCTGTGGCAGCGAGGGGCGCGCGTCTCCGCCCAACCCTGACAGGTGACCCCTGGGGCGCCCTTGAGAGGGGAACCCGAACCAGGGGCGTGAGGCGTTCCGAACACGTGAGAAGACGGAAGATGCCGCCTCCGGAGGCCTGCGGACAAGTGCGGAGAGTCCCCCGCGCGCCACGGCAACACGCCCCCGCGTGTCCACGGCACGGGACTGGCCCAGCGAGGCGCCGGCGCGACCTACCGCCAGCAGCTCCGGGGACACCTTCACCGGGACTCTCCAGGCATCTAGAGGGGAGAAACACGGTCCTTTTACCACAAGGCGCGGTCTGCACAGGAAAGCCTTGCGGAAGGGCGGCGGCTTCGGGGGCGGTCATCCCAGACCACGGGCGGCTCGCTGACAGCGTCGTGAGACAAACGTGAGGGCTGTCACTGAGACAGAGCCACCCGTCCAGGGGAGGGAGGAGCGGGCCGTCCCCACAAGGCGCGTGCGCCCAGCCTGCCACGTGTCCCACGCGAGGCCACACCGAGCACGCGGCACGGCAGCGGCGCAGCAGAGCGGGCGCCCGTGTCCGGCTCTGGGAAGCGGTCGGGCCGCAGAGAAGCTGCCAGGGACGGGCAGGGACGACCCCAGGCCCACGGCGTGTCACCCCGTGTGGTGTGACGCTCAGACACACCAGGAAGGACCGGCCGCCCGGGGCCGCGGGCGCAGGGTGCGGATGGGGGCAGCGCGCGGCTCAGGGTCGAAGGCGCCAGAGACCAGAGACGGAGCGTCCCGGGGTTGCGCCCACGCCCGCCTCCGGAGCGCAGTGGCCGAGCGGCGTCCGGCTCAGCGGACGCAGCACACCAGGCACCGTGATGTGTGCAGCGGGCTCAGGGCCTCCCGGGACCCAGAACAGCAGGCGCCCCGCCTCCCCCGGCCGCAGCGTCTGTCCGTCGCCCCAAGGGCGGAGAGGGCACCGCGGGGACGCGGCTGCGGCGTCCCCAGAGGGGTGGCGGGGGCTGCCTCGGGGGCGGGGGCCTCTCAACCGCCGGAGACCCCCAGGGCCCATCCGCCTCTAGGCGTCCGTGAGCGAGCCCGGGCGTGGGGGCAGCAGGAGGCGGACACTGGCCGGAGGCCCGCGGCCGCGGCGGCAGCGGGGCAGCGCCCACTCACCCAGGAGGCCGAGCACAAGGTGGGGCGTCGGCGCGAACGGGTCAGGCAGGCCGAAGGCCGTGTAGCGGCTGCACTGGACCTGCCGCAGGGCCTCCAGGTTCCCCAGCAGGACGTCCCCGAGCCACTGTGCGTTCACGCACGGGATTCTCCACTCTCTGGCCTTTTCATACTTCAAGCCCGTCGGCCTTTTTTGGTGGAGAGAACACAGGAGTCAAACATTAGGGCTGTCTGCTGCCCACACCTGTCCCCATTTTCCGGGAAAGCTGGTGCACACGTGTTCTCGCACCAGAAGCGGCCAGGACGCCTCAGCGAAACACAGGGGCAGGTCGGCAGGCGTCTCTCCAAGGCCCGCATCCACCCCGCTCCTGCGTGACTGACCCGCCGTCCCTTCACCTAACCCCTCCCGCGCTTTGCGGCCGCGCGCCGGCGCTGCCACGCATGGCACTGCCGTCCTAACAGACGGGCTTTCACCGGCACCCGGGACCCGCGCCGCAGCAGCGCTCACTCTTTGCAGATGAGGACCGTGTTGCTGCGGCACAGGTAGCCCGTGTACTTGGCCCCCGCCAGGTAGGCCATCAGCTTCAGGTCGTCCCTGTCGCCGTCGACAAACCCGGTCACAGAGATGATCTACAGAAGAAAAGAGCCAACGCGTAAAACGCAGTTCGACCCTCCACTCCAGCTGCTCACAGGGACGTGCAGGCCCTGCTGCCCCCGCGGGCACCCAGAGGACACAAGCGGGCGGTGCCGGCCGGCCCTTCGCTCCCCGTCCCGGCCCGTCTGGGGTGAGCCAGGCAGGGCACTGCCCGCCACCGGCCGGGTCCTGCCCGACGGCGGCCACGGCTGGGGCACGACTCCCCGTCTGTTTCAGAATCTTAAACGGCGGCAGAGACGCCGCAGACCCGGGCAAACCCGCGGAGCCGACAGACGCTGGCCTTACGTGCTGGGAGCACGGCTTGCCTCCGGGGGGGAAGGCCACCGGGAAGTGCAGGGCGCGGTGCGGGGGCAGCAGCTGCTTCCTCTTGAGGACCGTGTTGAGCCAGTGCGCGGTGACACAGCGCTTCCTCTCCCTGAGGGCCTGCGGGCACACGGCAGGGCTGGGGCGCCACGCACTCAGGGGGCGCCAGGCCGGCAGTGCTCCTGCCGACGGGGCGGAGCCTGCCCCACGGGCACGGCCGAAGCCGCCTGAGGGCCTGAGAAGGGCTCCCTGGGAGCAGGGACGCCGCCGCCGGCCGGGCAAAGCGCGTGCCCGCGCGCCACAGCTCGGGAAGGCGGCGCCCGCCACCCAAGGGCCCGAGACAGGGCCTCACGGGGCCCCCACGGGAGGCGCCTCCACGCTCGGAGAGGGGCTCTGGGGCCGCTGCTCAGGGGCACGACAGCATGGAGCGGCCACAGGTCAGGACGTCTTTCAGGAAGAGGAGAGCTCGGGGCGCTGTGTGCCGTCGGGCCCTGCGGACAGAGCCCCGCGGGAGCGGGGTCCACCCGCCCTCAGCATCAGCACCCCAAGCCTGCCTCTCTCCCGGCACAAAGGCACGGACGCCCGGTGCCCCCCACCCCGTCATCGACCTCCCCACCGCCCAGGAGCACCGCAAGGCAGACACCCCCTCCCCGCCCCGACACCGCCACCGCAGCCCAGCCGGCGACTCACCTGCGCGAAGGCCCCGCTGACTTGGCTCTCACAGAGCAGGTGGGTGCAGCGGCTGGAGAAAGTGGGGTCCACCGCGCCACCGTGCGCCTGGATGATCTGCACACGAGACCGGGGCGCAGTCAGCGGCGGGCCTGCAGGGCCGGCACGGCGGTGACTCCCAACCACACGCTTCCCACCGAGCCCGCCGCGTCTTTATACAGTTTCCTTCCCTGCTGTGTAAACACGCCTATGCAGTACGTGGATGGGTGTCTCCCCCGAGCACGTGATGTGAAGGCGGACTCCCCGGTCACCTAACTGTCCTTCCAGAGGGAAGGCGATGGATTACCTCTTGCTGAACGGGGTTTCTCCGTCTCGCGGCCCTGAGACATTTTGGACAAGCTAACTCGTGGCATGGGGCTGTCTGGCGCATTGCTGGGGTCAGCGGCCCCCCGACCCCCGCCCACTGGGTGGACGTCACCAGTGTTCCCAGCAGGGACAACTGAGGACGTCCACAGACACAGCCAAACGCCCTGGCGTGGAATCACCCTGCTGTTCTAGGGAAGGCAGCAAATGGCAGCGAAGGCAGGGAGTCCCAAGGGTGTATTTTTAAAACTGGGCCCAGCTCTGGGGCGAGTGGACCGCCCCGTGCCCTGCTGTGGCGGGCACGCGGCACCCCGCGCCGTCAAAGCCGAGCAGGCTGTGCGCAAAGCAGGAGCTCAGGCGCGTCGGAGGCCCGACTGCCCCGCAGGACAGCTCTGCTTCAGCAGCCACTGCCCAAAGCCCGCGATTCACGCCGTGGGACACAGCGCACGCCTGGGTCCCAGCCCCCGCCCCAGCCCCACACCATGTGCCCCAGCGGCGAGGAGCAGTGCACACGAACATGCAGTGTGCGCCGCCATTTGCTGGGGTCAGAGGCCGCCCCCGCCTCCCCCGGCCTCACACACCCGCCCGAGCCCCCGACCTGGGGACGAGGCGCCGCGTCCAGGCCACCCTCCCCGCCCCTCACACGTTTCACCCCAAGCCCAGCAGACGATGGTTCCGTGTGCTTCAAAGGCGTCACGGTTCCCCGTGGGGCCTGGGGCCCAGGCCCGCCGCCCCGAGCCGGCCCATGGGGCCACACGGCAGAGCCAGGGGACACTGGCCGCCTCCCCGCTGTCGCAGGCGGTGGCGGGGTGCCAGCCCTCATCCGGCCGGTCTCGTCTACCTGGGGTTTCCGCGCCTGCACCCAGGGAGCCCCCGCCCGCCTGGCCGGAGCCGGTCCTGCCGCCACGCCTCCCGAGAAACAAGCCCACGGGAGGCGCACCTTCCAGCTGGGAGTCCAAGTCCACCTGCGCGCACAGCCGGCGGGACCGACGGCCGGCGCGCCACTGCCGGCAGGAGAGCCCCCTCCCCGGCACTTGGGGGCCGCCGACCCCTCCCAGCCCCCGTCTGGCCACGGCCCCGCCCCCCAGCCGCTGCCCGTGTCACAGCGTCCCCTCCCCCGCAGCCTGGGGACGTGCCCTCCAGGTGAGCGCCTTCCTTCAACGTGTCTCTTGCTCTGCATGCTATTTCCACACCGCTATCATTTAACACCGGACCGACCCCTTGGACTCATTGTTGAACTTGAAATTTCCGTGACGTGGCACCGGACGAGGCCAGGGGTCGTGACCCGCCTCCGCCGCCCCCGGAGCGAGCCCCTTCCCACGGCCCCGCCCTCCCACGGCTCGTCTGCCGGGCCTGAGGAGGAAGCTCCTCAAGGGGCCACCTCGGCTGGCAGGCTCTTCCTCACGCGCCCCGACACCCGCCGGCGGCCCTGGCACCCACAGGCCCGCTCGCTGGGTCGGGGCGGCCGCCTCTCCACCCGCCTCCGCTTTCCCCGTCCTGCCCCCGCCAGCCCTGCACCTGCCCGGCACAGCCGCGGCCCGCGCACCACGAAGCTCCCAGGGAAGCAAGGGCGGCCTGCAGCTGTCTGACGCCCGCTCCCTCTCATTTTAAAAGACACTTTTTGACAGTTCTGATGTGTGGCACTGCGAGAAAAGTGTTTACTTTTTCTCTTCCTTAAAGGCCACCACGCAAATCAACCAATAAACGGGCTGCAGGTCCCCACGAAACACGCGGCCTCACAGTCCCCTCCAAGCTGGAATCGGGGTTGTCGGACACTCGCCTCCGCACAGACAGGAGCGACCAAGGCACAGAGTGGGCAATGGTCCCTGTCCCGTCACCAAAAACCCCGCCCCACTCCCACACCCCAGCCGGCTGCACACCAGTGACCCGCATCCCTTCGGGCGCCAGCGCTGAAGGGGTCCTGGCAACGACGCACCCCAGCCCCCCAGAACCTGAGAACCGGGAAAGCCACGTGCCCGAGGCCACAGGCAAGGCCGCTGGCAACGCCCACAGCGCCCTTGGGACATGGCACAGGCGCCTCCGTGAGCGGCCGGGGGCCTGCCGGCGGGGGCCACGAGGCCTCCGGTCTGTGGGTGCAGCTCACCCTTTTCCACGTGGCCAGCAGCTGCCTGTCGGACATCTGCTCCGGGTAGTCCGCGATGGCAAACACACACCCCAGCAGGAAGCCTTCCTCTGGAACTAGAGTTGTGCAGGAAAAAAAATTAAAAGCCCCGCAAACACGTGCGCAAAAGCACGCAACATCCCGCCCCGCCGGCTCAGCGTGCACTCAGGCCGCGGCCGCTCCCGGCCAGGCACGGGCACCACTGAGCGGGCCTCGGCTCGGCTGCCGAGGAGACGGGAGGCAGGACAGGACCGCGCAGCCTCCGCCCGGGCAGGGTGCTTCCCGGCCGTGGGCGGCCTGACGAGCTCCAGGCCCCCGCGTTCTCCCGCGTCCGAAGGCCGGACGCCGAGGACGGCACGCCTGCTCCGCGGCGACAGCCACGTCCTCACTGGGCCCGAGACTCCCGGCCCTCGGTTTGTAACAATGATTTTGATGTGCGTCCTTACCCACCCTCCCGCATTCTCCCAACATTTAAGTCAGGGCACGGCTTTCGAGAGAAAAGAAAGGAAAAACCCCCATTACTAACTCTCCACCGCCGGGTCGTGTCCAAAGAGCTGCTGCGGCTGCGGCTGCGCGAGCTGCGGGGGCTGGTGCTGCGGGGCCGGAGGCATTGGGGGCGGGGGCTGTGCCTGGTGCTGCGGCGCCGGCGGCGCCTGACTCAGGTGCTGGACCGAGTGCGTCGGCAGCTGCTGCTGCTGCTGCTGCTGCTGGTGCTGCTGGTGCTGCTGGTGCTGCTGGTGCAGGCGCTGCAGCTGCTGCTGCTGCAGCTGGGCCAGTTGCTGCTGCTGCAGCTGGTGCAGCTGCTGCTGCAGGGGCTGGAGCTGCTGTGGGCGCGGCTGCGGGAAGGGGTGGGGCTGCGCCTGCGGGAACGGGTGCGGCGGCGGCTGCTGCGGGAACGGGTGCGGCGGCGGCGGCGGCTGGATCTGCATGATCTGCTGCGGCGGAAGGTGCAGGACAGGGTGCGGCGGCGGCGGCGCCGGGTGCGGCTCTGGAGTCACCTTCACCTGGTTGAAGAGCAGCGTCCCGGCGCTGGCGTGGGCCGGCTGGCTGTGGTTCACCTGCTGCTCTATGTTTTTTGTAGGTGCCGAAAGGGACTGTAAGATCTAAAAGCACAAGGGTGGCAAAGTCATCCGCGGCTCCTGACTCGTACTAACAGTAATCACGAGAGTAAGAGCACACGCCTCTCGGTCCTTTAATAGTCCACTGAGCGGCCGCAAGCCGCAAACCCCTGCGTTTCCCTGCTGTATCTATTGTAAGGCAGCCTCACCAACTTCAACAAGAGAGTGAAGCCTTGTTTTGAGACCAGGAGAAGGACCCGAGCTCAGTGGAGTGGGACCAGCTGCAGCACGCGCGCTGGCGGCCACACGCCCCCAGGCGGCCTGTCCCACGTCCCCCCCCCCCCCCCCCCCCCCGCGGCCTGGCCCGGTGTCACCGCACACAGCCGGTCACCCTCCCGCCCCCAGGCCATCCCCGGCTATGTGATGCTAGGGAGCGACAGGCAGTGAAGGCACCCAAAGCCACGCCCCTCCCCCACAGCTGTGGCAAAGGGGTCCCCGGGAGTCAAACATGAAGACCCCTCACCCACGTGAGAGGGGAGCGGGGAGCCTGCCCCGGGAGGGACAGAGCCGTCGCCGAGGGAGGGCAGAGGCACCGACAGCTTGTTAGATGGTAAGTGTTCCCCGACGGGAGAGCCCTCAGCCGCCCTCCCGACGCCTGGCCGCTCCCGGAGGGACCAGCACTTCAGACGAGAGAAGAGCCCCCAGCCAGGCCGCCGCCCCCGGGCCCCGCCGCCTTGCGGGGGGCGAGGGGGAGCCCGCGGAGCTTCCGAGGGCGGTCGCCTCCGTCGTCCTGCAGTGCTGAATACAGCGAGGGACACGTGTCACACAGTGGACGGTCCCAACACGCCCAATGACAAAAATCGGAAGCCAAGTTCTTACGGGCAACGGGCACCAGGAGCAAACGAGAGTTCACGGAAACTATCCGCGCAACTCAGCCACACTGAACGCGCACTTGGCTTTGGAATAAAACTCCAGAAATTCAATTTTAACATAAACCAGGGCTACACAAAAACGCCAAGTATGTTTTTAACATCTACCTTCCACTAAACAGACTCCAAAACATCAAGGTTATTAATTTGCAAGGGCAGTTGCTCTGGATTTAATGACAGAACCACTGAGTTTAAAACTGAAGTCGGACTCCGGGTCCGGGGGACGGGGTGGAGGTGGAGCCCTGTCTGCGGTGACCTTACAGACCGGTCGCCTCCCTCAGGAGAGCCTCTTGGTGCTTCCAGAACCGCGAGGCAAACGCGGCGACAGCAGGGTAGCTGGCCCTTCCTTCTCGATGCTGAAAGGCCCCGCGGCACCGGCCAGGGCAGGGGACTTCAGCCCTGGCACCTGCCCCGCCCCAGCGGCAGGAAGGGGACCCCCGTGCCTCTGTCCTGGCCGCCCCCTGCGGGCAGTTTACCACTTTAGAGCCTCTGCAGCCGGTTGGTGATTCCCATTTTGTAAGTACACTTCCACCCTCAGAAGTAGCAACCCGCGCCGGGTAAGCGATGAGCAGCGAGGAAGCAACGCTGTCGGCACAACGGAGTCGGGCGAGCGGCCGCCCCCTGCACGCCAGCCACAGACCACGGGCGCCTTCCCCGGCGGGGCTTCTGTCGGGGGCGCCAGAGGCCGCCCCCCTCAGCTCCGCCGCCCCGGGGAGCCGCCCTGGGGAGTCGAGGTCGGACGCGCCGCGGAGGCCACCATGAGAGCAGACGGCCGTCAGGACAGGACCTGCCCGGGGCGCCGCGGGCCTGGCGGGCGGCGGGGGGCTGCGCCAAGAGCGCCCCCGTCCTCATGGGGCTCCCAGCCCTCCGCCCACGCCTGGCGGAGACCTGTCAGCGCCGAGGAATCGAAGAAAAGAGCAAGACTCCTCACGGCTTGATATCATAATCTGTCACGCCGAAAACAACAATTTTAATGACTGTCAGGTAGGAATTTTTCCATCATAACTGCCAATCTTTATTTAAATTGCTTAATAGTGGCTGCTGCAGTATAGAAAGCGTTGTGATACACGCCACATAGCTCCCAACCACTGAAAATTTTCAATTTAAACAGGATTTTGATGGTTAGCTGTTTCCCCAACTCCCTGATCCAATTTCACACTGAATCTGTCTTGTATTTCTAAAATGTCAGCAGCAAAACATCCTCATGTTTATACACCGCTGAGAATGCTCAGAGCAGCTCTCCCTGGGATCAGACCCAACCGCGCGCACCGGCCGAGCCCCCCGGGCTCCCCTCCGGGCAGGCGCCTCCGCGGAGTCCCCCCCACGGGCGGAGATGTGCCCACGCTCCCTGGTGGAGTCCCTTCATTTCCAAGGACATCACTCTACCTCCATATCCAAACAGGAATTTAGGAAACTTCGGACTCAAACCAAGAATCGCTGGGTTTGAAAAACACACTCCGCTCTACCCTACGCGGGATGCCTTCGGCTCGGAACCCACCCACTGCGGGGAGGGAGGGAGAGGAGGACGCCCCCTGAGCGCCCGGGCAGGGCAGGGCCCTCGCGCGGCTCCCCGCCCTGAGACACGCCCCGGCACGGGCGCCCAAGTCCAGGGGGCTCGCGGGCGCCTCTCTGCACTGGCCGCCACCCGGCCCCGGGCCGCGCTCTGCTCCCAGAAGGCACGGCAGTGCCGGAACTCCGCTCCGCGGCTCTCGCCGGCTCCCTCCCTGCGCGGGTGTCCAGGGCCCCGGGCACAGAACGGGCGCTCTGTGTCCGCCCACCCCCTCGAGCGCGGACGCCCTCGGACCACGGGCCTGCTCCTGGTCCCCTCAGCCACTCGCTCCCTGGGCCTCGGTGGCTTCCCTTACAACACGGTCGCTCCCCGGCCCCTCAGTCTCCCCTCAGGTTTCCCAGGCCGCCAGTCGTCAACCCTGACCCAAGGCGCCTCCCCAAGGCCTTCCCTCACGCCCAGCCCGAAGTGGCCCCGTCACTGCCGCGGGCACGGCTCCGTGCGCGGAGCGCCAGCCTGGGCACCGAAGGGTCGCGGGTTCGACTCCCAGTCGGCACCTGCCTGGGCTGTGGGCCAGGTCCCCAGCAGGGGGCGCATGAGAGGCAACTGCACATGGATGTTTCGCTCCCTGTTTCCCCCTTCCTTCCCCTCTCTGAAAATAAATTTTAAAAACCTTTTTAAAAAATTGAAAAACATCCACGAGAGCTTTTAGGCCACTCTGTCAAGAAGCTCCCGTCACAAAACCATAAATGCAACCAAGGCGGCCCCAAGGAACAGATGAGCTTATGGCCTTACTCATCTACGTGAGGGTCGTCATGAGCAAGGGGGCGGGGTGGGGGGCCAAAGGCTGCAGCCCTCCCCAGGCGAGCCGGCCACCTCCCCTGTCCCCGGGGCTGTGCCGCCCCCTCCACGCAGGCCCTCCCCCCTTCATGACAAAATTTAGGGCGCTGAAATACACACACACACACACACACACACACACAGAGGAGACTCGCGTTCTCACACAGCAAGCGGGCGAGGGTGTTAACTCTTCTGCAGAAGCAGGACGCAGAGAAGGGCAGGGCCCGGCAGCCGACTGTGGGGTCCGGTTCCAAAACCCCACGTTTACACCTTTGTTTTTAAGGAATGACGATAAGCCAGACAGAAAAAAACAAACACCCTGTGATTTAACCTATACGTGGAAACAAAATGAACACACAGAACAGAAACAGGCCCACAGACAGAGAACAGGCCGGCAGCTGCCGAGCGCCGCGGGCTGGGCGTGGGGGCCAAGCGCGGGGACGGAGCGGCTCAGGCTGTGGCGCGGGGGGCGCGGGCGTGGGGTCAGGAGGGCGCAGGGCTGCGCGGCCCGACGCGGCCCGTCTGAGGCTGCCCGGGAGAGCGCTGCCCGCCAGCTGTCGCGGAGGCGGGCGGCGGAGGAGACGCAAACACCACTCACGTGCGCCACGTTGGACGGCCGGCCCATCTGCTGCACGTCCGCGCTGTTGGTGATGTTCCGCAGGGTCCGCACGGCGGGGCTCCAGGCCACGGCCACGTCGGGCCTCTCGGAGCCCTGCAGACTCGGCCCCGCGGCCACGAGGCCCCCGCGGCCGTCCGGAGGCAGGAGGCCCCCGGGGACGGGCGGCACGGTGGCGCACAGGTTGATGAGGCCCGGCTCCTTGCCCGTGGGCAGCCTGCGCTTGGCCGCCGCCGGCACCTGCGGGACTTCGGCGGGCGTCCAGTTCAGGTTCCTCTCCTGCTTCTCGGGGGACGAGTCCGAGGAGTCGTCAAACATCAGCTCCCCCTTCGGCTTCTCGGCACTCGCCTTGGGCGAGAACTGCGGGTCCCCCGACGGGGACCCGTCCCGAGAGCTGGCAGGGCTCGACTTGTCGTCCGTGCTGCCCTCGTTTGGGGAGTCGCGTCCCTCGATCTCCCCCTCTTCGTCCTCTTCCTCCTCCTCCTCCTCCTCCTCCTCTTCATAAATGATGAGGCGGGGGTGGTAGAACGCCTCGTCCTTCCTGGTTTTCTCGGACACGCAGTCCAGGACCCAGTCGGGGGTGACGATCCTGATGCCGGCTCGGCGCAGCGCACACTCGTACTTCTCCTAGGACAGAGCGCAGGCCCGCACGTCAGCCCCCGGGGCCGGGCCGCTGCCCACCGGGGCTCTCCTCACGCAGGCGCGGGGCGGCCCGCCGTTCTCACGCCTGCCGGGGCGGGGCGTGGGGGCGCGACGCTGCTGACCTGGGGCCCCCTGGGGACGCACACCCTGGGGCCCCACAGGGTGTAGGAGAAGGGCCCTGTGCTGATCGAGAGGAGTGTGGTTCTGCGTATCCCGGGGGGCTGAGAGGGAACGCTACGGAGAAGCCACTAAACGCAGTTTGTAGTTCCATGCAGGACACGGCCTTTTTAAAAACTGTGAAGAGGACTCACAATACATATTTTCACAAATGAAAATGAACTTAAATTTTACTGGATTCGAAAGGAAACTCCAGAGAGTCCAAACACTGTCCTATTTTCGCCCTGAACGAAACCCAAATTCTCTGCATGTGGACGTCACCGCCGGCTCCAAATAAAGTTCCTGATCACCTTGCGGCCTTGGCAACACACAGCTCGGCACAAACGAGGCGCCCGACAGGACCAGCGTTGACGGACGGAGCCCAGGGCCTAACACCGAAGGGGCTCCTGAAGACAGGACCCCGGCCACCCCCAGGACGCTGCAGGACAGGGCGGGCCCGGGCGCTTACCCCCTTCGGCTCCGGGACCACGAGGTGCGTGCACTTCCTGTTGAGGCTCAGCTGGCAGGCGCCGCCGTAGAAGGTCAGCAGAGCCCACAGGGCGCTTCTGTCTTCCGGGGACACCTGACAAACCCAGAAAGCAGGCCCGCGTCACACACGACAGCTCCGTGTGAGAACACGCTGTGACAGAGAACGCTTCCGCGCTGTCTGCTCCCCTCCCTTATCACATGGAGTCAACCTGTGAGTGAACTCGTGGGAAAAACAGGTTCTTAGCTGTTCGCTTACGATGATAAAGAGCTTTATTCCCATCATAGTTCTATCACTTCTTTTTGCCTTGCCGCTAAATGAATGACTTAAAAATACCGCCTCCCCGCTCCGAGGACGGAACAGTCATTCTACAACAAAAACATGGGAGAGAAAATCAGAAAACCTCACACACACTCCACCTCCCAACCGTATTGTTTAAGTGTTTAATACACGAGCACCATCGACATCACGTGTAGGAAAGTCCTTGATCACTAACGGGTGACAAATGGACACTAATTATGAAATGGGCCAAGTAAAAAGATAAAAACATAGTGGTTTGTAAGCTCAGGGGACAACGTCGACCTTACTTAGCGCGAAAAGAGAAGCCAGACAAGCGCCGGGGCAGCAAGCCCAGACGATGCCGCCCGGAGAGACGGGCTTCCCCGCGACCCCGCCCGTCTGCCCGGCGCCCCCGCAGGCGCGGGGCCGACAGGGCGTCCCAGGCCCCGCGGCTCCCTCGGCGCCTCTGCGCGGGCACGGGCGGCGATGAGGGCTGCTCGCCCCCAAAACACTGCCACCGACGGCCTGGCGGTGACAGCCCGACAGGGACACCTTCACTCCCGTTTTCTACACTTTCCTGTATTTTTCAAATTTTGTAACTGGGAAAAAACGCTTTCCTTTTCTCTTTTTTGAAAGCCGCCTCTCTAAACGCCGTCCCCTCCGGAACGAAGCCTGGTGCCCCCCCAGACCCCCAGAGCTGGAGCCCCTGCCTCCGCCTCTCGGCGGCCGCCACGCGTTCTCCTCGGCGGCCGCCACGCGTTCTCCTTGGCGGGCGCCGTGCGTGCCCGTGTTGCGTCCTGCTGCCCTTGCCCCCGCGCCCTCGCACGCGCTCGCGACCGTGCCTGGGCCTGACGCACAGCGGGGGCTGCGCCGGTGCACCGGGCGCCCGCTCCGACCCGCGGTCGCGTCCAGCTGTGCCCTCTTAGAAGCCACACTGCGGACACCTCTGGGCGCCCGTGGCCGGACCTGTCCCCCGGTCACGTCCGACCGCGAGGACCGCGAGCGCTGGGACACTGGGACGGGCTCGCGTCGCGGGGGCGGGGGGCCCACGGGGCCGCCCCCGGCCTGAACGGTCGCTGGGCGCAACCTGCTCACGTCTCTGACGACGCGGCACAGGAAACGTTCCGGTCACGGGGCGCGAGCCCCCTTCGCAGGAAGGTGCCAGTCCGTTCCCTGGCGCACCGACGGGGGGCGCAACCCCCCTCGCGGACCCACGCAACCCTTTACTACCCAAGGCAATTCTGTCTTCACGTCAGACGGAACCTTCCCTGCCACCTTCTAACTTCACATTTACTCTACTTTCGTTTCCAAGTTTTAGGCCTTGGCGATTCTTTACATTAGAAAGACCCCCTTCACCTGTCAAAACCACGCGTGCACACGTAAGTAATGCTGTGCGTCACGGTCGCCCTGAACAGGCCGCGTAGCCAACAGCGTCGCTGCGGCAGGCTCCCCAGCCTGCCCTGCACCGGCCACACGCAGTCACACGGGGGCGGGGGGCGGGGGCGCTTACCTGAGACAGGCAGGCGGTGATCCCGAAGAAGACCTGGCCGGCCTCCGGAGAAAAGCCGTTCACGCTGAGGCGCCACGTTAAGACTCCAATGCGGCAGGATGGGCCCCCCCACCCCAGCCGGGGAGAGACAGACCGTGGGGACCGAGGGCAGGACAATGGGACTGGAGGCCCCGGCAGCGGCAGGGCCAGGGTCCCCGCGCGGCGCGCTCCCGAAGCCAGGCGGCGCGGCGCCCCCGCGCACGGACACCCAGCCGGGCCAGCTGCTGCGCAGAGGACGGAGCACACCCGCGCCCCGAGCGCAACCACGTCCTCTCTCTCCCCCCACCGTGGACGGGACGCCTACGCTTTCCGAGCCGGACCCGCGCGAGCTCCGCCTGCCATCCTGGAACTGCTTACAGAGCTGCTCGCTGTGTGCGCAGCGTCCCTGTACATGCTTCAGGGAGCAAGGTGCCCACAGCCGCATCGATTCAGTACGGGATAAACGCGTCCGTGAGACCCACGCGGCCCAGCGGCAGCGCAGACGGGGAAGGACAGCACCTCCTGCCCGGGGCTGACATTTTAGCATCACACCTGCCGTGGCCTCCAGCACCCTTCAAAGCGGCTTCCAAATCCAGTTCTGCTCGCGGCGGCTCTCCAGTGAAGGAAGCCTCCGCTCTCGGGGCGAAGCCGGGGTCCTGGACGACAGGGCGGGGGCCTGCAGGGGCCTCCGCAGGCGCTCGGCGTGGACCCGGCCAGCAAACCTCCAGCGACGTGACGAGAAAGAGTGACCCGCCCTGGCTGGTGGCTCCGCTGGGAGGAGCACCGCCCCGGCACCAAAAAAAAGGCTGTGGGTTCGATTCCCAGCCGGGGTGTGTAAGGGAGGCAAGTGACTGATGTTTCTCCCTCACATCAATGTTTCTCTCTCTCAAAATCAGTAAATGTGTCCTTGAGAGACAAAAATAAATTTTAAAAAATCCCCCATCCGCCCTTCAAATAACTCACCGCTCTGTTCAGCGACTCGCAACTTTAAAAACACGCCGTGTAACCAGGCACCATGCAGGTGGGCAGGCTCACCTGGGGACACTGAGCTCCGAGGCCGCAGCACCCGAGGCCGCACAGCCGTGTCCCGGGGCTGGGACTCGGGGACCCGGCCGGGAGCTGCGTCCCCTCGGCCGCTCCCCTTTCCCGCGGGCCAGGGCCCGGGCCGCATGTATCCTCCGACCAGGAAGGAAGACAGGAGGGCGGCGAGGACACACGGCCCTCCTGCCCCCCGGGACCGCTCCTCACCCGGCAACCGCCGCGCCCGCCTTCAGCTCCCCTGCCCGCCCCGTCCCCCGAAAAGGATACGGCAGGAGCGCTCCGCACTGCACGGACAGGGTCACCCAGGACGGCTGCAAGAGAAGGCGGGGGCTGGGGTCAGAGGGCGCCGCTCCCGGACCCCGAGGCTCGGCAGCGGCCGGCCACCACCCGCCCAAGTCCCAGGCCAAAGCCCAAGTCACACGTGAAAATTCCACTCCAGGCTTGCGCACACGTCCCTGCGTCGGCCTGCAGGCCGTGGAATGCCGTCCTCCTGACCGAGGGACGGGGGTCTGATGGCCGCCCTGCCCCTGCGTCCGACGCGTCCCGACCCCCCACCCCAGGTCTTCCTGGCCCCAAACCAGATCGGGCCGGACTCGTGCGCTGTCACCAGCGAAGCCAAGGGGGTTCCAAGGCCATAAATCATGAAGGGTAACTTCCTCTGGATTCCGAAACTCAGGTTGCTTATCAAACCCTCGGCTAAGGGCTAACTGCCTCGTGGGGTCATCTGTATTTCCACACATAATTGTGAAAATTACACAGATCGCTGCACTGAAAGCTAAGGCGCAGCGACGCCGCCCTCAGCCCGCTGAGACCAGCTCGCTCCCACGTCCACCCGCGCCAACAGGGTCTGCGGCCCCATGTGGCACAGATGGGGCCGGGCTGGCGCGCCAGGGACAGATAGGTGTCCCTGTGCTCCCGCGGCTGGAGATCCGGCCGACGGCTGTCACCCCAGCTCCGTCACCGCCTTCAAAGTGCCTCAGGAATCGAGGCACCTTCGTCCCCGCCCTAGGGGCCACCGACCGCGGCGCGGCCGGCCGTTTCGGGAGGACTTGACAACCGGACTCAGCGTGGAGCTGCTGCGGACGGAGGGCGCGCCGAGAGAAGGCGCCTGGCCCGGCGGCTCCCCGCTGTCGCATCCGGCCGGTCCCGGGCGATGCAAAGCCCCGACCCTCCTGCCCGCACCACGGGGGCCGCGCAGGTCTCGGCGGCGGCGGCACCCAGAGCCAGGAGCTCCCGGGTTGCGTCCTTGAGCACCCGGCTGCTTCGCGGAGGCCAGTGTCTGCAGGGATCCCCGAGGGGGCCCCCGCGGAGTCTCGGGGCCGGCGACCCGTGCGGCAGGGCTGGGGGCGATGGCGGACGCGGGAGAGGGGCGGCTGCGAAGGGAGGGCCCTCGGCCGCAGGAAGGGCCCAGGGGAGGCCGTGCTCTGGGAGGGCCCCGCAGGCTCCCCCTGAGCGACGCCCCCAAAGCTGCCCCCACGGCTCTGCCCGGCCGGCCGCCTCTGAGTCCGCCCGGGCGGACTCACCAAGGCCACTGAGGCCTCCGTCAGCACAGTCAGGAGGCAGGAGGGCCCACGACCAAGAAAGCAGAAATGCGGAAGGAGAAGCCGAGCGGCCGGGGGCTGTTCGCCCCAAATGCAAGGGACGGGATTTAATAAACCGGCTGCGAGTCAGCGTGGCTCCCGCTCCCACGGTGCCCCTGGGCCGCCGAGGGAAACGCTCCTGCTAAAGAACGACTTTAAAGTCTCAGTGCCTAAGAAACAAATACGTAAGCATTTATGAAATTCAAATACATGAAAGAGAAGCCGACTGTCCCGATGCATAATACCTTTTTTAAAAATGCACTTGTGCCCTGGCTGGTGGGGCTCGGTGGACTGAGCGCCATCCTGCGAACCAAAGGGTCGCCAGTTTGATTCCCACTCAGGGCACAGGCCTGGGTTGCAGGCCAGGTCCCCAGTAGGGGACGTGAGAGACAACCACACACGGATGTCTCTCTCCTCTTTCTCCCTCCCTTCCTCTCTCTAAGAATAAAAATCTTTAAAAAAAAAACCCCGCCCTTTTCAGAGTGAGCCCCCCTCAGAGTGCAGGGAAGCCTGCTGAGCTCAGCCCCCGGGGAGAGGCCCCCACAGGGTACCCCGCATCACACACGGGCGTCCTGGGGCGCGCGGCGCCGCTGTCCGTGAGCCGCAGGCCAGAACGTGTGCTGCGGTCCCTGTGCAGCCCCACAGCAGGCGGGCGCCTCTGGGTGGGGCCCGGGCCGGCAGGGCGGTGACGGCTGTCGAGTGCGGGACCAGGTCTTCCGTGCGGCCTTAACATGAGCCTGACGTGTCCAGAAATGCAACTCGTACGTGAAACGGAGAAGGCCGCTTTGTTTGGCCCGGAACCTGAGCCTGCACCGGCGGCCACGTGGACGTGCCCCACGCCGGCGACTCCACGGGGGAGCGGCGAGGCCTGCGCTGTGTCCGCGGTGGGCGCCGTCCGTGGACCTCGCAGGCGGCGACCGGCTTCCTGCAGCCTTGGCGTCGCTGTGCCCAGCACCTCCGTGCGGAAGGCACGCTCGGCGCTTCCTTGCCCACTTCGTCTTCCTTGAGGCTCCAGCCGGGGCAATTTCCTTACACAGACATGTGCACACACGCTGCAGGCCACGGGACAGCAGGGCCCCGGCCGCCACGCACACACGTGCAGCGCCCTGAGGCACGGCGGCCGGACTGCGGTCTGACAGCGACGGTGCGGACGGGGTGCGGGCCCGCGGCCACGGCTCTCCCAGAGCCACCCGGGGACACGCTCGGAGCCTCCGGAGGCGACGCGCCCAGCCCAGGGCGGCGTCGGGGGCCCTGCCGCCGAGCGGCGGCGCGGGCTCTGGGCGGACGGCACGCCGCCGGCCCCGCGGAACCAGCGAGCATCCCCGGCGGCGGGGGCCCCCGCTGCCCGCAGCCGCAGGTCGAGAGCCGCACCGCCGGACGCAGCCTGTTGTGTCCGTCTGGCTTGGGAACCTTCTGAGACAGCTCTTTCTGGTTGGTTTTCAAAACTCAGGTTCTGAGCCTGCAAGACGGAGTCGCAGGGCCTGGGCGCCGGCGGAGTCTGGCTCCCCAGCAGCGGGGCCCCCCGCCGGCGCGGCCGACCCTCCCGAGGCCCCTCCCTTGTCCGTGAGCCGCAACCACTCTCACGCCAGCTGTTTTCCAGGCAAAGCGTTTAATGGCTTGGAGAAAAGGGGAAGCGTGGCGGTGGGGCAGGACTATTTTAAAACAAACGTATGATACACGATATTAGAAAGAGGGTGAAGAGGAACAATTACAAAATTAAATTTTAAAAACAGACATTCAACATCGGTCCATTTAACTACGGGCCACAACCAACACCAAGAAAAACACGAGCAACCCTCCCGCCACCTGCAGCCCCGCTTCCCAGACCCAGCTGCCCACGGCCAAGGCGGGGGCCGTGCACACAGCCGCCAGGCGCACGGTGTCGCAGACGTCACCGGGGCCCTGGGGGACAGCGCTCTCCAGCCAGCTGGAAGTCCGGACCGCCTGCCACAGGAGGGGCGGGAGGGGCCCGTCCCAGGAGCTGCGAGCCCGCCAACAGGCCCTGCCGGACGCTGAAACCGCGCCCCGTGTTATGAGATCTTTCCAGGCCCGAGGCTTCCCGATGACCCACCCACCTCCTCACGTCAGCGTGAGGGGGCCTGAGGCTGCTGAGGACAGCACTGGGACATGAGGGGCTCCAGTCCCCACTGCTCCCCCCAAAGCACTGTGTCGGCCGAGGCCGACAAGCTCCACCCTAACTTCAGTGCGCTGCTCCCAGGACACGTGGTGAAACGCCAAGCTTTAACCAGGTTTGCTACCGACCTTCACGACAGGCAAGTCAAAGACTTCCCGGGCCTCTCCGACCTCCGGGTTGTCCCCGTCTTCCGAGATGATGTGCGAGGCCAGCGCGTTGTAGGACACTTCTTTGGCTTTCCCGGCTTTTAGGAGCTGGGTGACCTTTAAGGAAACACACAAGTTAAAACGGAACACAGTGCATCTCCTCGGTTTAGGCAGATAACCGTGAACAACGAAAGCTCTACGTAAACACATCCTCCACACGCACCTCTCGCTCCGAGTCACAGTCAGTGAGACATTTGGGGACGATAAAGAGCGGCCACTCTTGGTTTAAGGACCACGTGAGTGGAGAGCCCACTGCAGGCCAGCCAGGTTCTGAGCACCGGGGACAGAGAGGGACAGACGGGCGGCGTGTGGCCCTGTGCGAGCGGAGGCCCGGCTCAGAGTTGGCGCTGGGGCCGCCACCGACTGGGGGAGCGTCCGGAGAGGACACAGCAGGTCCCCGAGGGCCTCCACAGGACCCGGACTCTGGCCTCTGTCGACAGGCCTGCGCTGGAACCGCTTCCGCAGCACGCACTGCCGGCCCGAGAGCCCTGGACGGCGAGGCCGCGCTAGGCGCAGGCAGAGCCCTCGTGAAGCCGGAGGGGCGCGCTGGGCGAGGACACAGGCGGCTGTGCAGGGCGGCCGCGGGGGCTCGCACGCCGGCGCCCTCCCCCCGTGCTCCGCGGTCTCACCCTGAAACGGAACGGTGTCTCGGGGAGACAGGAGGGCGTCGCGCGGATAAGCGTTTTCCATGGGTGTCAGGGACAGGAGGGGCGAGGCGACGGGGAGAGCGGCTGCACTAACCAGGTCAGGGGGCGGGCAAGCGACCTGACCTGAAGGACTGTTGCCGGGGCCGGAGGAGGCCGGGGCCAGTCTCCTGCGGACTCGGAGGCCGCCCGGCGGCCGGCCCACCCGGCATGCCCGCTGCCTCACAGGCGCCCACACTCCCGACGCGCCCACCGTCCAGTGTACCCCACGCGCACCGGCGCCTCCTGGCCTCCCCTGTGTGCACCTGAAGGAAATCATCCCCCGCCCTCCCAGCTCAGTGCTGCGTATCTCAGGACTCGCCCGGAAGGACACGTCCCCCGGAAGATCTCAGCGGTGCCCCCGTGCACCCCCAGCCCCTCGCACCCTCCGCGACGTCCTCAGGTGCGCGACCCGCTCCGCCCACCACCACCCATGGGATCCGTCTTCCCGTTACACCTGGACCCAGCACAACGTCTGATGTGCAAGAGACGTTCGCCGTGTCAACTTTGAGTCCACGCTGACGGGATTCCAAGAATCACGTGTCCTGGCTCTAAACTTTTCAGAAAAGAAGCTGCTGCAGATCTAAGTGGCTGGTAAAGGACATTTTTAAGCACTTCGATGTGATTTACATTTGAGCGCACATGGCTCAACAGCAGCTTGTGCCAGGCTTTAAGCAGCCCTGGGTTCAAGTCCCTTGGAAGAGCCCAGCCCTTAAGTAAAGTGGGGCGGGGCGGGGGGGTGCAGGAGAGGCGTTGAAGGATGGTGGAGAGAAAGGGAGATACCAGCACTGGAAAAACCTAATGCTGTTTAGTAGCTGTTTACGTTTAAATTCAAAGCTGAAAGTCTCTTCACCCCAAAGGTACAGTGGAAGGATCACGGGGCAGGGGCGGCAGGGGGAGGTCAGCTGGGGAGTCCGGCTGGTTAATAAGGGCCCCAGCACAAGCCACCAGCAGGCCAAGACTGCTGGGCCTCCACGTCCCTTCCACGCCAGCCACATGCAGCCGCTACACCGCCCGCCGCACTCTACCCTGCCGGCTCCAACCCTCCCTCCCGGCGGGTGGGACACCCTGGCGACAAAGCTGCACAGATAAACTTGGAGAAAGGGGGCGTCAGCAGGGTAACCGGGGGAGGTAACTCAGCTAAGACGCCCTCCCACCGCAGGAGACTGAGACACTGGCTTTTACACAAATGGACTGCCTAGAAAAAAGCGTAGGGAAAGCTACAACGCCCCGTCGCAGGAGTCCACACTGCAAAGTTTTAAATGTTGGGAACCAGAGCGATACTTGGGTGTTCTCCGCGTTTACTGCGCGATTCACCCAAGTAGGAAAACCGAGGCGTTCAAGTTCGCGGGCGGGGGGGGGCCGGGGAGAGGGGGGAGGCGGGGGGGGCGCGCGAATGGAGCGCTTCTCAGGTGCACACAGATGACAGCTGGGTGGTTGTCACACCGGGCCGGCTCCCAGCGCCAGGGGCGCGCGCGCAACCCGCCGCTCCGGGGGGCCTGGGAGCCCAGACGCGCGAGCGGGCGGGCTGCGGGGAGGTGCGCCCTGGTCCCAACCCCGCCCCGGGAAGGAGACGAAAGTGCGAATCCAAGGAGGCCGCGGGGTCAGGGGCGGGAGGCTCACTACAGCCAAGCGACAGGACAGGACGCCGGCTCCCCCCGGCGGAGGGTGGCGACACTAGGCCCGAGTTAGGATTCCAGGGGACACCCGGCAAGAGGGACTCCGGCGCTGACCTCCACCCACGTGCTCTCCCCTCCTCGCGGGTCCGAGCATACCCGAGGGTCCCGCAGGACCCACACGAGTCCCCTCCCTGGGTCCCACAGACCGTCCCCCAGGTCCCCTCCCGAGTGTCCCAAAGACCAGGTCCTTTCTGTCTCCCCGGCCCCGGCCTGCTCCGCGCCAGGCGGCCCAGCCTCCGCACAGCCAGGCCGGCAGGCACCCGGCAGCGGAGACCGGACTTTCTGCGCCCGGGAGCGCGCCCGCGGCGGGAGCAGAGCCGGGCCGGGGACGCGGCGACGGGGGCGGCGCGGTACCTGCGGGTCGATGTCGCCCACCACGTAGTACTTGACCTCCCTGAACATGTCCTCGGGAACTTGGGGCGCCTGGTCCGCCATGGTCGCGGCGGCCGGAAGGCTCCGCGGCGGCTCCCGCCCCGGCCCGCGGGGCCCGGTCCCCAACTGCGCGGCCCCGGCCCGGTGCTGCGATTCGTGCTCGCTCCCCCGCCCTCCGCGCCCCCGCCCGCGCCGAGCGGCCCAAGCGCGGGAGCCGCGCGCGCCCTGCGGGACGCACCATCCGCGCGCCGCCGGGGGGAGCGCCGAGGGACGGGAGGACAGCCGACACCGCCCAGCGCTTCCGCCGCGGCCCGCGGACTGGGGGGCACAGCCTCCACGCAGCCCGCGCCGGGGACAGGGATCCCGTGGGCGCTGCTCCCTCGCGAGGGGCCGCCGGGGACGCGGGGAAAGGCGCGCCCCCCACGTGCGGCCGGAGTGGGCCGGTCCCGGGAAAGAGGGAACGCGAGGCCCCTCCCGTCAGCACGCGCGGCCGCTCCGGCGGCGCCTGCGCGCGGGAAGGGGGCGGGGCGCAGGCGGGCGGAGCGCGGCGGGGGCGGAGCGCGGCTCGGGCGGCAGGTCTGGAGCGCAGAGGGGCGGGACGTTGCCGGCTGCTGCCCGACCGGACCCGAGGTAAAGTCTCAGCCTGCGGCCGTGGAGGGCCTGGGCCCGGTTGCGGGCGGGGCGCGGGGGCGAGTCGGGGTCCGGGCCCCATGGGCTGAGCCAGGTGCCCCGGCTGTGCGGCCCGGCCAGCGGGCGTCTCTCCGCCACCCCGAGCCGCCTCCCCAGCGTAGCCCCTGACGACACCACACGGCTGTGACGTGGTCTCGCTCTGACGTCACCCTTTAGTACGGCTGTGCCGTGTTTCTGCTCCAACGTCGTCCCGTCCCCGCGTGCCGTGACATGCTCCCGCTCTGACGTCACCCCTCCTAGTGTTGGCGTTTTCCCGCTCCGACGTCACCCCGTCCACACGGCTGTGACACGTTCCCGCTCTGACGTCGCCCCCACAGTTGACGTGCCTCAGCTCCGATGTCACCTCGTCCGGAGGGCCGTGCCGGGTTCCGTTCCGACGTCATCCCGTCCGCACTGAGGGAGGTGCGGGCTGCCGGGCTCCGTGCCCTGTGGCCCCCTCCTTGCCTGCTGCCCGCTGGCCTGCGGGGCGCCTGGGGCACGAAGGCGTGAGGACCAGGGCCGCATGCCCCCTGTACACAGCCCGCCCGGACCCTGTGCGGTCCCGGGACTCTGCTGCCCAGCCCCGTGGTGGCCGAGAGTTGGTCCCAGCACCTTCTTCCCCAGGTGTCGTCCCAGGTCTTTACCTAGTGTGGCCGCCACCGGCCGAAGCAGAAAGCTGCCTTTAAGTCACTGTCAGTGAAGTGCTTTTAAAAAAAATTTATTTTCAAAATCACTGCGACGCCCTCCTGTGACATGGATTCGTTATCGTTTCAGGCTGCCGTGATCACGGAGAAGTTCCGAAGGCGAAAGCTGATGAGGTCGCCGTGCAAGGACGCGCCCTGGCCCTTGGAGCTGGTGGCCGTGGCTGCCACCACCCTTCTGGCTGGACAGTGGAGTGAGTGCGTGCGTGGGCAGAAAGCCAGCGCACAGCAATGGCCCTCACGTCTTACCACTTCTAATGTCTTCTGTTCTTTGTCTGCTCCATTTGTCTTTTTTTAAAGTTCATCCGAAGACATTTTTTTCCATTGCTTTTAGAGAGAGAGGGAGAGAGAGAGATGCGTTTGCCTGGTTGCCGCCCATTCACGCTGAGACCCAGGGAACCAACCCGCAACCTAGGCACATGCCCTGACCAGGAATCGAACCTGCAGCCTTTCGGTGTGTGGGCGGCGCTCCGAGCACTGAGCCACACCTGCCCAGGCTGCTTCCCGAACAGTCTGAAATCTGAAACAACCTTAATGCAAAACCTAACGTATTTCCTTTACAGGTAATAAGAACATTGCGTATGTATCGGAATAAGAATTGACCATCCTTCCTTTGAACGTGCAAGAACATACAGGGTCCGGCTGAAGTAAGGCCTGCCTGAGTGTGGTTGGTAGGGTAATAAAATGGGTGTAATAATTTATAGTTTTAATGTGAACATTTCACCTAAAATGTCATGGCGTGTTTCAGTGTGGTATTTTACAGAATTACATGCTCACGATTTTGTAATAAAAGATTTTTTAATTAAAAAAGGGCATTATTTGTGCCGGACACTGTATTCCGTATTGACCATCAATAGCGTTTCACATTCAGTGGTAAGAAAATGACGGTGTAATAAATTAGCTCTAAATACAGAACGAAAGTTATGCCCTTTGGCCGACCCGTGTGAGGAAACTTGCTTAGCTCGTTTCTTCCGTGGTTAAACAGGGACATAGCATACGACTTTAAAGACGTAACTCATGTCTCAAATGCTTGTCTTATTTTGTAAGCTAAAAGGGAGCTTGTAACTTTCTGCGGGACAATTTCACGCCGCCGTGACTCCTGGTGGCTCCGTCGGCCACAGTCAGAAGCTGGACCGCGCACACCGGCCTGTGCAGGGGCGGCGTGGGGCACGGGGGGCCTCCCCCCACCAGCAGCCGGTGAGTGAGCACCCTCAGGTGAAATCGAATTTCACAGGGGGAGCAGCTGTTCCGAGGAAGTCTGCAAAACGGACACCATGAAGAATGACCCATTTACCAGGAGGCTTAAAGATGGCAATTCAGTTTTTAAAAATCGGCACCGCTCAGTGGACTGAGCGCAGGCCTGCAAACCAAGGGGTCCCCGGTTGACTCCCAGTCAGGGCGCAGGCCTGGGCGGCGGGCCAGGCCCCCAGTAGGGGGCGCGCGAGAGGCAACCACACAGGGATGTTTTTCTCCCTCTTTCTCCCCCCCGCCCCCGTTCCCCTCTCTCTAAAAATGAATAAAATGTTTTTAAAAAATCAGCGCCAAAACTCATAAAAATGATTGTCAGCAAAGATCCATTTCTATACACTGTTCCTTCACAAACTCATAGGAAAAAGTACCACATGGGGACTGTTGTACATTATTCATGAATAAATAGGTATTTATTGATGATTTTTGTGGCACTTGGAAGATGACCCATTTTAGGGTAATAACAGTATCAGTTCATTAAGTGGGAGCTTTGCATTTCTTCAACTTTGGTGGATATGCTGCAAAAATGTGACACAGCGTTAACCTGTGTATACTTCTCCCAACTAAGTTTAAAGCATGATCATTTTGCTCATAATCAACCTTCAGAGGATAAACAGCCTGTTTAATGCTATTTTAATAAATGGGGTAATATATTTCTTATTTCCTATTTTGCAAAATCAGGTAATACGAGGCTTGGGGAAAAAGTGTGAAATTAGAAAAAGCAAAAGTAGAGCTGGGAATGTTTAACCCCAATTGTACCTACTGGTGGGAATTTGAAGCAGTTTTTTTAGGTATTTCCAAATAGTTTTTTAAAAAACACATCCCTTGCCCTGGCTGGTGTGGCCCCGTGGATCGAGCACCAGACTTGGAAGCGAAAGGTCACTGGTTCAATTCCAAGATAGGGCACATGCCTGGGTTATGGGCCAGGTCCCCAGCAGGGGGCGCATGAGAGGCACCCACACGTCGATGTTTCCCTTTTCCTCCCTCCCCCTCTCTCTAAAAATAAATAAAATCTTTAATTAAAAAAATACAAAACACATCTCCTTACACTGTATACAACAGCCTCAGTCTTGTTCCCATACCCTGTTCAGCTGGTCACGCACCCCTGGAAGTTAGACATCACCAACGTTCGGTGAACCTTTGGTTTGTGTTGACAGACTGCGACATCGAACCTTTGCGTGAAAGGGAAGAGACTTACGTTAGAGGCAGGAACGGGCCAGGGCGTTACCCCAGGAGATCCTGCGAGCTCAGCGGGCGTCGCTTATGGGAAAGAGTCCGCCCGCTGCCCCACGGGGCACTGTGTCCACCAGTCGTTGCCTGGCTCGCCAGGGCGGAGAAACAAAAGCCAGCAAAAAAAAGTAAATCGCCCCGAATCCTAGCCCCAGAAGCAACCCCCCGAAAGCCTTTCAGACACTGTCTTATGGAAATACATTTTTCCTTTAAAAACAGTGTACCATACACATTCTTCTGTGGCTGCTTAAAAAACAAAACAAAAGCCCTGGCTGGTGGGGCTCAGTGGACTACGGACCGGCCTGCAAACCGAAGGGTCTCCCATTCCGTTCCCAGTCAGGCACAGGCCTGGGTTGCCGGGTCCCCAGCAGGGGGCGCGCGAGAGGCAACCACACACGGCTGTTTCCCTCTCTTCCTCTCCACTCTCTAAAAGTAAATAAATAAAATCTTCAAAAAAACAACAACAAGAATGTCCTCCCATGTCAGCAAATAATCACAGACCTACATCATGTAACATACATAATACTCCATCTTTAATAGACCTTAATTCTGTGTTCTTGCACCTTCGTTGCTCCCAATTTACCGTTCCGGCGCTGCAGTGAACGAGCACCCGTGCTGGGTGCTCCGCCGTTCATGCCCTGAGTGCCGCGTGCCCGTCCCTCTCGCTCCACACAGCCTAGCGCACGGCCAGGAAGAAGGCGTATCAGTGGTGCTCCACTGAGGGCAGTTTGTCTCTCGAGGGTGACTTGGCAATCTTCACTAGAGGGGAGAGGGTACTGCTGGCATCTAGGGGTCGAGGCCAAGAAGCAGCTAAGCCTGTGGGGCACTGGACACCCCACAACAGAGAATGACCCTGTGCAGAGTGTCACTGGCACTGAAGTTGGGAGACCTGGTTTCCGATGACGTTGGAACAAACGACACATTTCGTTGCATTAGAACGTTGGAAGTGCCCTGGCTGCTGTGGTCCAGTCGACTAAGCGCCAGCCTGCGAACAAAAGAGCTATTCCCAGTCAGGGCACAGGCCTGGGCTGCGGGCCAGGTCCCCAGTAGAGGCAACCAGGTGTTGATGTTTCTCTCCCTCTCCTTCTCTCTCCTTCCTTTCTCTAAAAATAAATAAATAAAATAGTTTTTTAAATGTTGGTTAAAAAAAAAAAAGGAAACATCGAAAGCTTCTTGCACACACCTTGGCGGCTTGCTCAGACGGCTCTCCCCGAAGGGGTGCTCGGGGCTTCAGCCGGAGAGCCATTGCGCCCAGCTCCACAGACCCGGGGGAGGCAAGCAGACACGTCATCTCGGAGGTCCTACAGCCAAGTCCAGAAAGAGCAGCGTCCTTCCCAGTCCATCGGCTGGAACCTAGGCTGGGGATGCCAACCTCCACTGCAAGGGAGGCTGGGAAATGTAGTCTTTCTATGTATCCAGGAAGAGGACAGGGGATGGAGGGCCCCTTGCTAATTCCAGTCATTGTTTAAGAGATTTTATTTACTAATTTTTAGAGAGAGGAGACAGGAGAGAGAAACATCCATGTGTGCTTGCCTCTCGCGCGTCCCCCACTGTGGACCTCGCCCACACCCCAGGCCTGTGCCCTGACCGGAAACTGAGCCGGCGACCTTTCGGTTCACAGGCGGGCACTCAGTCCATTGAGCCCCACCCGCCAGGGTTCATTTTCAGGTTTTAAAAAAACAAAAACAGAAACCCTGCAAATGAAGATTAGAGAATGCACTGTAACAAAACCTTCTTGAAGATCATCTCAAAAGACCAGGCTCGCACATAGCTACGCACAGACAATTGTCGAACTGGGGGTTCTGGCTCCCCGTGGACAGGATTCTTAAAAAGCCACCAGGTGCCGGCCGCGGGCCTGTCGTGGACACGCTGGGCGTCCCCCCCCAGACCTGCAGCCGGTCCTCGCCTGCTCTCCGTCCCAGGCCGCTGACCCGAGGATTGTGTAAACAGACGCCCTCGGAGCCTGCGGGGCGGAACGCGGCGGAAAGACGGGGAGGCCAAGCGGGGCTGCGCGGCCGGGGGGGAGGACGGGTGGACTAGGGTGCTCACTTCCCGGCCTCCCGGGCGGCCTGGAGCCGGCCGAGCCGGCCGTCCTGCGCAGCCCTCCCTCCTCGCAGCGCCCCGGACGCAGGAGGCACCTGTGCACGCCCCTGCCCTCACCGAGCCAGTCGCCACTTTCTCCGCGTGGCATCTCCGGGCCTAACTCGAGCGCTGCCCCCGCGGCGACCCTGCCCGATCTCGAGGCAGCCGTGCAGCCTTGATAGGGACGTTGAGAAACGTTTTCTCAAAAACAAGATACGACACCCTGGCCGGTGTGGCTCAGTCGGTCGGAGCGTTGTCCTGGAAACCAAAAGGGTACAAGTGCGAGCGCTGGTCAGGGCGCGTGCCCAGGTTGCAGGCTCGGGCCCCGGTTGGGGGCGTTTGAGAGGCTACCGATCGATGTTTCCCTCCCTCCCTCCCCCTCCCTTCCTCTTAAATCAATAAACAAGTCCTCGAGCAAGGACTTGAAAAAATGAAAAATAAGATATGTCTGCCCTCAAAACACTAACCAACGTATGGGTACACACGCTGGCGCCGTGTAGGATTGACCCTAAACACAGCAGAGGCTTAGACAAGAGGTCCTCGTGCTCCAGGACTGGGTCCCCGCGGCCCAGCGGAGCGGTGGCTGGGTCTGAGGTGCCAGATACTCCCGGAGCGGCAGCAAGGAGAGAAAAACCGCCTCGTAGCCACTTCAAGTGAAGCACTTCGTGACAGGCCGGCTCTGGGATTAATTACGGCTTCCTCTGAGGCCTTCAAGGCAGGGAAAATAAAATTGTTATGAATTGTGTTGACTTCTTGATGTCAAGTGCCTGCCGCACTAACACACCAAGGACTCGGAGCATGTTTGTTCACTGAGTCACGCGTGCAGACTTGGGGGGCACAGCACACCCCCCACGATCAGACTGGCTGCACTTACCTCCTGCCACGTTGGCCTCCGCCAGGGGCAGGAAGTGCGTCCTGGAGCGCGAGCCCTGAGGTGTGGGAGGGTCCCACGGGGGCGTGGGGGACACGCTGCCCACCTTCCCGTAGTGAGATGAAGTGTCTGCCAGAGATCTCCAGCCGGAGAGCGCCGTGGGGCCTGGCCAGGGGGCCGGGCGCTTGTCCGTTGCACGTAGAGCGAGAACGACAGAAAAAAGAGGGACATGCCGGAAGCTTCGAGCCGCCATTGGCCGTGGCACCGAGCACCACACCCTAATTTGGCCTGGAGGGCAGGGACGTAGAGCCCACGTGGTGCGGACAAGCCTCACAATTCAAGGGCGGAGAGCTGGGCTCCTTTGCACAATGTACCCTTGAGTTCATCTCAGGCGGTTCACCAGCTGATGAGTGAAGGTCCTCCGCCGGGGCCTGGCTCTGGGCCGGCGATTTTCACGGCCTCCCCGCCCTCCAGCTCCCTGGTCTGCTCCTCCTCCGCTGACCGCTCCCTTCCCCAGGACTTGAGAGTCTGCCTTGGCTCTTTTATAGACTACGCTAAGGCCCAGGAACTCACAGTTCCTAGCAGAATTGGGGCTAAATCCTTATTTTTTTATGTATTCTGAATTCATTCTTTAAAGAAAAAACAACTAAAAGGTGTCTAACCACTATGCTGTACCCCTGAAACTAATAAAACAAGAACATTGAGTGTAAACTGTAATGGAAAAATAAAATTTTAAAAGATTAACAGATAACTGCACCCCTCCCCCCCACACACAAAAATTAAAAGGAACAGAGTTTAATTTCACATATAATAGAAATTTTAAAAGGTAAGCTCTCTGAAAATAATGTTTATGGCATATAAGATGTAACTTTGTATAGGTTGGAAAAAAAGAGCATGTATTTATATTTTTATAGCTAATATTTCTCTTTTGGAACCGGCTGAAGGCCAAGAGGCATTTCTTAGATCTAAATTCAGAGCTTCCCGGTTTCAGTGTCTTGTGTCAGTTTTAATTTTCTGATTTAATTAGCTTCCTAATTAGAAGGGTTAAATTAATTAACCTCATTATTTACTATATATTTAATGATGTCTCCTCTATCGGGAGTTCCTTACTTTTCAATAATTGGAAAGCTTATAACAAGAGGGGCTGCTCCTGGTGGTTCGCTTCCTGCTTCATGGGCCGCGTCAGGAACAGGACAGATGGGGGGTTGCAGGTGAGAGGTCAGATGCACACACGCAAGCCACTTCCCACTTGTTTTAAAACATGGGATGTGTAAGGATTTGGGCTGGGACACGATGATTTTTATCAAACTACAACTCAATGGCTCTTTTATGAAAAGACATCCTAGAACACAGGATTTTATAGTAAGGAGCCCTACCAGACGATCTTAGGGTATGCACAATAAACTAACCAAGAAGCATCGAAAAATACTGAGTAATTATAATGGAAGGACATTTTCCAAAATTACCAGTTGGTATAAATGGCTTAATGAAGTATTCCGTTGTCTCCTCAGACTTGCCCATGGGCTAGATGCGTGTCATCTAGAGAAGACGTGATATAACCCTAAGCCTAATATCGCTAATATTGCGGCTTGTGTAATCCCACAAGTCTCTGCCCCGCATGCCTATTTAGGTATAAGCATAAACGATTTGTAGACACGTTTTAATGTACAGATACACAGGAAAAAGCAAGTTCTTCCTTTTTCGAGAACAGATGTGAGGCCGTGGCTTCAAAGCAGGCGCATTTGTCTTTTCCCCACTTTTGATGCACTTTGGACAGTGGGTGCGCACACCAGCCCCTGCGGGCGGCGCCCCGGCCTCGGGCTGACCCAGCCCTGCCCAAGCTCCAGGGGGAAGCCGGGGCGCGGGCACGATGTCACCCGCGACTCGGACCCTGCAGTGAAGCGAAGCCATCTGATGACAGAACGGCCGATCCGGCTGGACTGGACCGAGCACCTCGGTGTGCACCGTGGGATGAGCGAGCTCCCTCCGACCGGCGTGCGTTCACCACCACCGCGCGTGGTGCATGCGCTGGGCTCCGCGTCGGGGGGCACCGTGGGGCTGGGTGCCTAGGGAGGACCTCTTCGAAGGGGCCACCATCGCGGGGTGGCCGGACCCCCACTGCCATGGCAGGGGCGGCCTGAGCTCATCCCGGGCCCGGAGCGAACGTGGCGGCAGGCTCCTGCCCAGAGGGAGACGCTGGGAGCGGGGTGGGCACGCGCACCTGGAAGACATACAGAGAAACAGGGGGTCTGGCTCCAGTAACGCCCCTTCTGTTAATTACAAAATCAGAAGCACATCGTCCTGTGCGGTAACAAGATCACAGTCAAGCCCGCCGCAGGACATTCCAGGTGAAACGACACACGATCACGCCCAGGTCGTCACCCGGCCACCCACGCTCAGGCAGGCCGTCCTCCCGCCGGGCCCTGGAGGCGGAAGGCCTTCGGGGAAAAGCTGCGCACGAAGAAACAGCAACCACGCGTGTTCCTCATAGATTCGAGTCTGGCTGTGATAAATCCCTCTCAAAAAAATGTAGGGGCTGACAGGGGAGGGGAGGCTGGGGGCTGGGTGGAAAGGCGACGGCGTCAAGAAGCGTAAACTGGCAGCGACAGAACAGCCGCGGGGGCGTCCAGGGCAGCACGGGGGTATAGGCAGGAACGTGGCCATTGCTATGCATGGGGTGCGGGGGACTGGAACTCCTCAGGGATCGCTTCATAAGGTATGTGCATGTCTCACTGCTAAGCTGTATGCCTGAAACTCATACAAAATAATGCTGAATGTCACCTGTAACTGAAAAAATAAAAGACAGCCCCGGCGGATGGGGCTCCGTGGACTGAGCGCCGGCCTGCAAACCAAAGGGTCTCCACTCGGATTCCCAGGCAGGGCACCGGCCTGGGTTCCCAGTAGGGGGCGCTCGAGAGGCGATTACTCATCGATGTTTCTCTCCCTCGTTCTCCCTTTCTCCCCCTCTCCCCAACACACATCCATAAAGTCTTTTGAGAAAATAAAACTTACCAGCAAGGCTGCCAATGGGGTAGCTGTTCCGTTTCATTTCACAAGTGGGGAAACAGGTTCGGAGAAGTCCGGTCAGGGCCCAGCAAACGCTTTCGGTAAAGGGCCGGAGAGAAAGTATTCCAGGCGTTGCGGTGGGTGAAAGTCTGTCTTGACTTGCGCAGGGCTTGTTGCAGCGTGAGAACAGCCGTCGTTGCCTGTGTACGGACCGGTAGGTCCGTATTTACACAAACAGGTGGCGGCCGACCCGGTTTGCGGACCGGGGGCCTCCGGCTCCCACGTGGAAGAACCGAGACTAACGCCCGCCAGGCGTCGAGCGCCCCGGGTCGCCGCTGCTACCGACTGCGATAGCTCAGACCCCCGGAGGCCTGTCTGGATGCTTGACCACGAGGGGAGCAGGGGAATTCGGGCTAATTAATTAGTCCAGACTTTGAAATCCAGAGAGAACAGCGCCTCATATGAAGTGCAAACAATCATCCTAAGTAATATATTTGTGGCACTTTCATTAAATTTTCTCGCAAATCTTGGAAAGTACGTATCTCTTGGCTGCCAGCGTTCTCATCTCCTATAATTACGAGGCCTCCCCAAATAATCGTTTTCCAGTTTGCGATGCGCACTGGGGCCCGACGCCAGCTGCTGAGTCTTGATGGAGCTGTTTAATTTGGGGCTGATTAGCACAGCACAGGTGAAAATGAATAAAGTCTTGGTGAAATTTGTTCATAGTGTATCAAACGTAAATGTCTATTGTGTAGTGATGTTCACTGAAAAAAAAAAGGAAAAGGTTAACATGAATCTGAAAGGAACAGAAACAATCCAGCGTCTATCAAGACAAATACAGGGATTTTAGAGACATTTTCCCCAAGATATTAATAAAAACCTGTTATTACAAAAAAAAAAGACAGATGTTTCAACATGCTATAACCTTTTCTGCGAACATTTGTTCACAGCAGAAAACGGTCAGAAAATTAGGTATGTGTTTCCTTAAATAAGCTGAATTACCTCCCTCTCTTTTTTTTTCCCGTCTCCTACATGACCAAGAATTGTTAACTCGAGAGTAAATTTAGGGTCGGTGAACCTGAAAGCGTTCCCCTCAATCCTAAAAAGACACATTTTTTAAGACACTAACATACCAACTACGTGGACGTTCTAACATTCTTATTTGCTGAGTAGGGCTCACAGGTAATTCCTTCCTCAGTTATAAATCAGTTCATCTTTTTTTAATCTTAAAAACACTGCCCCTGAGAAGGACAAGGACATGGGCAGTCGGAAGCAGGGAGGCGACCGGGTGAACCGCGAGGACATGCCGGGAAGCTGTGGGCTCGCTCTGAAAGGGCGGCCTTGACTTCGTGCCGCTTCCACTGCAGTACCAACAGCTCCCCGGCGTGAATGTGGAAGGCGCTGGCGTTCACTGGGCTCCTGCGTTACTCACTCGCCCCACAGAATAAAGGCTCTGCTCCCTACCTGCGGAGGGAAAGGAAAACAAGGCCTTGAAACGCAGAGAGCCACCTCCACAGACACAAAAGCATTGTGTTTTTGGAACACTTTGCCCAGGCAACCATTTTAGTAACTAAATGATTTAATAGACTTCTGGGTAATTCTAATATGTTTCTAAGCAGGAGCATTTCTAGCCGTATTAAAACAAATCAGAGGACTATGGGGACAGCGTTCCATTTCGACAGAAAATGGTCTATGTTTTGGAGGATATGTGGATGGCAACATCATGACAACTGAACGTTTTCATTTTACTTTAGGCTTCGCAATTTGTGGGTTTATTGTTCCATTTAGCTACCCCATGTTCACTGGAGTCAGAGAAAAAGGCTCATTTAGCCTGCCTTCAGCAGTGGTATTTACGTATTCATCAGCGACAAGCATACTTGAAAATCAGTCCATCAATTCTGCCCATTTCGCGCAGTAGAGTCTTCTAGGCGGTCGTTTCTTAGAACCCACTGTAGGGACAATTGCTTATATCCTGCATCAAATATTTCCAGATAGGAACCGATCCGTTCCAGCTTCCTTCATGCTAAATGAAGACCCGAAACTGCACATAGAGACGACAGCCTTCATCGGGGTCCTGAGTCAACCTATGCCAGGGACCTTCTTTCCTCCCTTTCTCCATTCTTTCCTCCTGATGCCCCCCTTGGTTCTCTCTAAATCCTCTCTGACTTGATTCAGTACTACCCTCCTTCTTTCTTTCTAATAAAGACTTTAATTATTTACTTTAGACAGAGGGGGAGGGAAGGAGAGAGGGAGGGAGAGAAATATTGGTGTGTGGTTGCCTCTCCTGCGCCCCCTACTGGGGACCTGGCCGGCGACACAGGCCTGTGCCCTGGCTGGGAATCGAACCAGAGACTCTTTGGTTTGCAGGCCGGCGCTCAGTCCACGGAGCCGCACCAGCCAGGGCTCCTTCTTTATTTCTTTAGTGCTAAGAGAGGAGACTTGAAGAAGTTGGAGTTGGTCAAGAAAAGCGTGTCCCAGGAAGGTTTCACTTGGGAGAATTTGATGTTGGATACATGGCTGTGTTCACCTTGCATCTTGCGATCATAATTTGGCTCGTAATAAGTAAACATTTTAAGACACTCATTTTCTTTCTTTCTTTCTTTTTTTTTTTTTGCAAAGATTCATTCTCAGTAGCAAAAAATGCTTGCTTATTCGCGCCGCCCCTCATCGCGGCCCTTGACGGGCCCCCATTGCCTCGCACCACGCTCCCCGTCCTGTTTTTGTTTTTCCACCCAGAGATAATGTGGGGCCATCGACTGCCGCCTGACAGCTGACCGGCAGATCCCTCTTCCTACACGTCCACGCTTCTGTCTGGAACACAGGGGACCCTCAGTAGTCCCACCCCTGTGATTAGGGCCAATGGTAACCATGACAACGCATGCGTAGCCAGGTGCTTGCTAACACGAAGGAATTAGGGGACGGATGGTGGGAGGAAGTGGTTGTGATTTCCAGCGACGACCCCAAGAGCAGCTATGGAAACACGGCTGTCATGGTTATGAGTCTTTCCTCCTTCCTTTGACACGGACATATTTGTGTATCGGCTGGCATGTTTGTCTCGTCTCCCTCCCGCCTCCCTACCCTCTCACATAGGACGCAGAGTCAGCCCTGGCCAGGTAGCTCAACCGTAATGTCAGAAGAACTCCTCGGGGTGACTGTTGAATGTAGGTAGACAGAGAATGTAGGTAGAGAGTCGTTCCACTACGCCAAGGCTGTGGGTTCAATCCCTGGTCAGGGCACATGCAAGAAACCAATGAATGCATCAGTAAGTGGAAAAACACATCAATGTTTCTCTCTCTCCCCCACTCTATAATCAATAAATAAAAAAATAAAAAAAGTATAGTTCACCTCCTGTGTCAGTAGCTACTTTCCAGGGGGTCAAAGGCGAGATGTGACTCGGAACAGAAACCGTCTGAAGTTGAATGATGGGCTTCGTACCCCGGGGGGGGGGGGGGGTTAGGACAGGCATGTTTTTTGTGGCCTGACAGGCAACTTCTTTATGTTTTTTATGTTTAGGCGGGGGGAGTGCAGTCTGCCGCTGCCCTTGTTTGGGCAATTAGGAGGGTTAAGAGCAGTGCCAACGGTCGCCCCGTTGGCAAAGGGTAGGCCGTGGTCGGACTGTGTTGATCTAGCTGAGCAGGAACTACGCTTCCCAGAACCCTCTTCCCTGCGCAGCGCCGGGTTAGCACTGGCCACAAGGGACATTTGCCCAAGGTTTAGAGGGCATTTTCTTTTTCAGGCCCCAAAGCCCGGTGCAGGGGCACGAGGTCCTGTGGCGGCTCACACACCCCTGTAGCTTGTCACTGCGTCCCCTGCCAGGGCGGCAGCCAGTCCTCCTGCAGCGTCTCCTGGAGGCCCCCCCCCGCAGGGAGGGGCTGGTGCACGTCCCTGGCCGCCCCCGCCCCCCCCCCCCCCGCACCTCCCTACTTCACTGTCTCCCCGCTCCGACTCCCAGCCCCCAACAGTGGGAGCCTCGGGCGCCCGGACAAAGTCCTCACGGGTCTTTGAGTGGCAGCGTGGAGTCAGGGTGGGCGCGCACAGGCTCCCCTGCGCGGGCACACTGGCCCCAGCAGAGAGCCGCCTGCTGACGCTACAGAGCCGTCCAGCTCGCCCGTCGGCCCACAGCCCCGGACCCCGCGGGGATCTCTCTCCCACCCCCCTTGATGGGTCCTCCGAAAAGCCCTGGAGCATCCCACTGGGAAGGTGTCCCTTCACCTGGATCCCCAGTGACCGGGGGAGCCGCTCCTCGTGGGGATGGGTCTGAGTCAGAGGGGCTGCAAGGAATGGAGATTCCCAGCTGTTGGGGGCAGGACCGGGGCGGAGTGGGGGGCGGGGGCCACTGTGAACTGGGACGGGAACAGCGCCACCTGCCGGCAGGTGAGGAAAGGGAACTGGGGGCGGGTCCTGCCAGCGCCTGCGCAGCCTCCCAGCCGCTGGGGTGCATAGAAGACAGCCGTTTCTCCCGCACCTGCAAAGTCACGGGGGGGGGGGGGGGAGTCAGTGTCCTCATGTAGTCCCCAGGGTTGGGGGTAGGGGTAAGGAGGGGCTGTGCGTCTTTCATATGTACTATATACGGGCCAGCGCCGCAATATTTTTTTGTTTTAGAGAGGGGAAGGGAGAGAAACATCAATGTGTGGTTGCCTCTTGTGCGCCCCCTACTGGGGACCTGGCCTGCCACCCAGGCCGGTGCCCAGACTGGGAATTGAACCAGCGACCCTTTGGTTCGCAGGCCGGAGCTCCATCCACTGAGCCACACCAGCCAGGGCCAGTGCCTCAATTTCTTATTCCCCTCCCAACTGCCAACGATGGAGGACGGCCATGACCGTCGGTAACTGAGGCTCTCTCTTGGGGAGGGGAGTCAGTGTCCTTCTGTCCCTTGCTCCGCACACCCAGCAGCACACAAAACAGAATCACGAGGTTTCTGACCCTTCTATTTCCAAAGCGCAATCGCGCAATCAGTTCCTAGTTCACAGATCACGGCACAGCTCCGGTACCCAACGCGGACATACCTGACTTAGGAAAACATTTATGTAGCCGTGTCGTGGCCCTACCACAGTTCACGGCACCACAACTGAGTGCCCCCCCACGGGGGCAGGTGTAGTTTGGGGCCACCATGAACACAACACTGTAATAACAGCTTTGTCCTGCAATTAGAACTGGTGCTTTGGCCGCGGCCGGATGGCTCAGCGGGTTGGAGCATCGTCCTGTGTACCCGAAGGTTGCGGGTTCGATTCCCAGTCAGAGCACGTGCCTAGGTTGCATGTTTGATCCCAGGTCAGGGCATGTACAGGAGGCAACCGATTGATCGATGCTTCTGTCTCTTGCTTTCTCATCAGTGACACCACATCTTTGGGTGAGGATTAAAAAATAGAAAGAGCAGTGTTTTTATTTCTGAAAGATCAAATCTCCATCCTGAGAGAAGGGTCACATCACAGAATATGCGCCTTGTTTGTTTTAATAGATGCAGGCTGCTGTCACCAGCTGGCTCAGCCACCCTGCCACCAGTGTGCCAGGCTGTGGGATGCTCCCTGAGGACATTCAAAGTGATTTTTTCAAAAAGGCGTTTTATGTCAACAAACAAGCGCTGGCAGGGAGGTGGAGAGAAGGGAGGCCTCGTGCCCTGTGGGTGGGAACGCAGGCCGGTGCGGCCCCTGTGGAAGGCAGAGTGGAGGGTCCTCAAAAGATTGCAGACGGAACTGCCTTCTGACCTAGCGACCCCACTGCTGGGAACACGCTCTAGGAACCCCGAAACGCCCGTCAGAGAGAA